TATGAATTCTTCTAAATCCTCGATTAAAAAAATGAGCATAACTTGTCTCCAATTTCATAATCGATCTGCTCGAACAAATTCCTGATGAGTTTTATTTCCTCTTTGTCGGTATGTGCTTCTCACAAAATTCCAGTGACTTATAAGCGGCCATAGGTACTCCCTGATAAATATTATTTAAAAAATCCGCATTAGTGCTCTTATAGTTCTTGAAAAAAAAGATTTTGTATGTTTTTGTTATGTGTTTAAATATTGTTCCTGATGATATCTTCCGTAGGAGGACGAAATATCGAAAATAATAAACAAATATTATTTGAAGACCTCGAGCTCAATTTAATAAACTTAAATTTTAAACTAGAAACCTGTAGTAAACCTAGAAACCTGTAGATCTCCTTTACAATACAGACCCTCCATAGCTCTTCCTCATGTTAACAATTCCATCCATCCTCTGTAAAGCTTACAGATCTCTGTTAATTTTTTTTTTACAATTAAACGCAACTTTTCCTCCTCCGACAGTTGTCTTTTTTTCCTATAACGTTATTAATCAATGTCAGCGAATTTCCGACATATTGAGAATCGAATATAATCTAAGCCAAACTTAGTTCTCTCAACAGTTGTAATTCGCCAATACGATCGTACGGACTCTTACGCAAACTAAGCAAAACAAAAATAATTCTGAAATCTTGATTATGGCACAAAATGCTACTACGGATCTACTCAGCCTAGACAATGAAGTCTTCACTGCATATCTGTACTGGTCTGGCATTTTGGTATTGAAAATCTTGGCAATGGCTATATTGACCGGGCTACAGCGTTTCCGCACGGGGGTGAGTAAGAATGTGTTGTTTAAATGTATCGAAAGTTTAAAATCAAAATATTTGATCACAATTTTTGGGTCAAACGATAGGCGATCAAAAATTTTCCAAAAAAAAATAAGATTTTGTCAAGTAATTCCCATTCAAATCTTCGGCGAATAATTTTAATCTAATGCAAATTAAATTACAGTTTTATTGAACATTTCTAACATTATTCCAATACCTGTTGTTTGTCAATTAACCGTCGCCTGTAATCATTTGTAAATGCCTGATAATGATATTCATGACGTTATTGAACCATTCATTACGTTTTCAGATTTATGGCATTTACTTTTTCGTATTCCGCTTTGTAGTGTGGCGTATTGGAAAAAATTATGTAAAAGGCATAGAATTAAAATGGAAATTGATTATGCAGTGAAAAAATGCTTATTCATGCCTTGGGTTACTTTTCGAATAGGAGGTCAAAATTGTTTTTTAAAAATCCAGAAAAAATATGTAGGATCACCCCTTGGGCTTTTTATATAATATATAGACGACTTTCTTCGCTTATCTAGCGTTGGACCAATGTTCTGCAGCCATGGGAAAGATTTTTATGAAATATAAATCGAATAGGTAAAAAAGCAGTAAGTTCGTCAAATTTGTCAATTCTCAAAAACAAAATAAAATCCGTTAACAATTCTGTTAAAATCTTAAAAATACCGAATGTAGCTGCTATATTAGACTGTATACGACGACATGGACCTGCATAGGTAACTTTTGTCACACACCATTACAATATTCAAATGCGAAACTTAAATAAAAACCAGTAAAGAAAGTCTTAAAGTCGGGCGGGCCGACTTTATGATACCCTACACCACTTTGCTAATTAAGTAGAGCTCCACATAACAATTAAAAGTTGTTATGGGAGAATTCAATCAAACACCCTATGATTATAATTATAATTTTAAGTTCGAAGAACCGAAGCATTTGTAACTTTTAAATTCGGAATTGTATTGCCCATTTGTGACACAATTAATTTGAAATCGGATAAAGATATATATGGGAGCTATATCCAAATCTGAACCGATCTCGATAAAATTTGGCAAAGATATTCCTGAGCTGTATTTGATATATTTCCCTGAATATCGTTGTTACGGAGTGCATATTACGGTTGTAGGTAACAAATATAACAAATCGGATGAATAATATATATGAAAGCTATAGATATATCTGAACCGATCTTCACCAAATTTGACATACTAGCTTCTAGACTCAATTCGTTCGTAAGTGCCAAATTCTATTCCATTTGGACATATATTAGACGTTTGGTGCACAATAAAAGGTAAATCGGACGAAGTTATATATGGGAGCTATATCCAAATCTGAACCGATCTCGATAACATTTAGCAAATGTATTTCTGAGCTGTATTTGATATATTTCCCCAAATATTGTTGTTGCAGAGTGCATATTACGGCGGCGGTGGACAAAAATAACAAATCGGATGAACAATATATATGGGAGCTATAGCTATATCTGAACCGATTTCGATCAAATTTGGCATACATATTTTCAGGCCTAATTTGGGTGTATGTGCAAAATTCCATACAATTCGGGCTGATATTACACGTTTGATGCACAATAAAAAGCAAATCGGATGAAGATATATATGGGAGCTATATCTAAATTTTGACCGATTACCTCCAATTTCAATAGGGTTCGTCCTTGGGTCAAACAAAAGATCTGTGCAAAATTTCAACTGGATCGGGCAATAAATGCGACCTGTACTTTGTTTACAAAAATACATGGACAGACGGACGGACGGACATGCATAAATCGACTCAGAATGTGATTCTATGCAGATCATCAAAAGGAACTATGGGTCTATCTCGTTTCCTTCTGCCTGTTACAAACAAATGCACAAAGACATAATACCCTGACCACCTTGTGGTGTAGGGTATAATGAGCCATGCAAGTCCACGTCTTTGTATAGCCCTCATATAAAGGTACCTCCCGATATTCGATATTTTGGTGATTTAAGCGACATTATTCACCGGAAATGTTTCAAATTTGGTATTTGAAGTTCGTAATGGATACTACAGCCTATGATAGAAAATTGTCTGTGCAGGTGCACGTCTTCGTATAGCCTCCATATAACGGTACACCCCGATCTTCGGTATTTTGATGATTTTAGCGACATTATTTACCGGAATTGTTTCTAATTTGGTATTTGAAGTTCGTAATGGATATTTCAACCTCAGACAGGAAATGGGTCATGCAGATACACGTCTTCGCATAGCCTCCATATAACGGTACCCCCCTATATTCGGTATTTTGATGATTTTAGGGACATTATTCACCAGAATTATTTCAAATTTGGTAGTTGAAGTTCAGAATGGATACTACATCCCAAGACAGAAAATGAGCCATTCAAGTCCACGTCTTCCTATAACCTCCATATAACAGTACCTCCCGATATTCGGCATTTTGGTGATTTGAGCGACATTATTCACCGGAATTGTTTCAAATTTGGTATTTAAAGTTCGTAACGGATGCTATAGCCTATGACGGAAAATTGTCTGTTCAGGTCCACGTCTTCGTATAGCCCCCATATAACGGTACCTCCCGATATTCGATATTTTGATGATTTTAGCGACATTATTCACCAGAATTGTTTCAAATTTGGTATTTAAAGTTCGTAACGGATGCTATAGCCTATGACAGAAAATTGTCTTTTCAGGTTCACGTCTTCGTATAGCCCTCATATAGCGGTACCTCCCGATATTCGGTATTTGGATGATTTTAGCGACATTATTTACCGGAATTGTTTCAAATTTGGTATTTGAAGTTTGTAATGAATACTACAGCCTAAGACAAAAAATTACGTATGTAGGCCCACGACTGCTACAGAAAATTGTCTATGCAGGTCTAGGTCTTCGTATATGCCCCATATATCAGTACCTCCCTATATTCGGTATTTTGACGAGTTTAGGTACAAAACTTATCGAAATTGTTTGAAATGTCGTATTTGAAGTTCGTAATGGATGCTACAGCCTATGACAGAAAATTATCAATGCCGGTCCAGGTCTTCGCATAGCTCCGATATAACGATACCTCCCTTTATACAATATTTTGATGATTTTAGCTACATTATTCACAGTTTATTTCAAGTTCCTAACTTGAATTTGGTAATGACTTATGGCAAACAATGCCTGTGTGGGTCCACGTCGTATAGACACCAATATAGCGGCTATATTCGGTATTTTTAGAAAGTTAACAACATTTTTTAAGGATGTTATTTCCAAATTCATTCCAAATGGTGGAGGGTATTCAAAGTTCGGCCCGGCCGAAATTACAGCTTTTTTACTTGTTTTTCGTTCGCTTTTCGATTTTCGTTTTCCTTGTGACATTACTAGTTCTTCGTTTCCATTGACTCAATGCATCTGCATTCTTCCTGCCTTCGGTTCTTTAAATTTTTTCGAATGACCATGATGGGTAAAAAACATGTGGTGTCCGTTGGAATTGTAATTTTCGAATTTCGAAAAAATGAAAGTTGTGCTGAATTGTGCTAAGTTTATGCTCAATTGTGCCGATTTTTTTTTTTTTTTTTTTTTTGAAATTCGAAAAAAATTCTGAGATATTCGAAAAAATCTGAGAGAATTTCAATTTTCGAATTTCTGAGTTGTACTCAGTTTGTGCCCATTTGTGCCGTTAAAATTTTTTCGATATCTCTTATCAATTTCGAAAAAACGACAATTTCGAAAGTATTCCAGAATTGCAGATTTCGAAAAATTTAAAGTTGTGCTGGGTTGTGCTTGATTTGGGCTAACTTGTGCCGTTTATTTTTTCTCAGTTTTCAAAATATGACAATTTCGAAAAAAAAAAAACAGGTATCAAAAATTTTTAACGGCACAAACCGAGTACAACTCAGCACAACTTTAATTTTTTCGAAATTTGAAAACTGCAATTCTCTCAGATTATTTCGAAAAAAAAAAATCTTTTTTCAAATATCTTTGAAATTTTTCGAATTTCGTAAAAAAAATCGGCACAAGCCTAGCACAATTCAGGACAACTTTCCTTTTTCCGAAATTCGAAAATTGCAATTCCAAGGGACACCACATGTTAGAAACCTGCCCTTTTTAGTTTCAAATCTCTCCGGCTATTAAGGCTGTTCATTAATAATTTCTTAATTTACACCGATCTCAAACTGTTTATTTTTGGCATTTAAAGTGGTTTTCCATTTTTATTAGTTTATAAAGTCGAAATTAAGATTTAATCTACATTGGCATATGGGTTGGAATTAAAAAGAGCATTTTTCTCGTCACTACAATAAAAGAGATATGAGAAATTACCAAAAAAATCAAGCTTCTTCCCAGCGGATTTTTTAGCACATACATCTTCCATCTGAGACCAATGACAATGTAGGTGCGACCCATCCAAAGCCTGTATACAATTTCTACTTACATTTACACAGAGATGGCCTAGGCCGTCAGACGAGTCCGAAATCTACCGACAATGTAAGCGAATGTTGGATGGGTCCGAAATCGACCGACAACGTAAGCGAATGTTGGATGGGTCCGAAATCTATCAACATTGTAAGCGAAGGTTGGATGGGTCCGATTCCATCAACATTTTAGATTGTGGAACTTAAATTTCAGCTGTCTTTTATTAAAATATTCGTATTATAAACGTGTTAAAATATTCTTATTATAATTAGAAATAATGCATAAAAACGAAATTCATAAAGCTTATTCAAAAGACGTGGGAAGAAATAAAGCTTAAACTAAAGGAAAAAAATATATTTTTCCAGTTTTTTATTGTAGGACATTGTTCGGAAGTGTCTGGCCTTAGGGAATTTGAAACAATTTCTAATCCTGTTCATTGGATCCTTCACATATGACAGCTTCTGAAATAAGGATAAAAAATATAGAACAATTTTTAATATTAAACAGTTATACTATAGAATAGACTAATGGACTACATTTTAAGGTAACATAATATCACTTTTCAATAAATATGTAAGAAAAAATTTAACTTACCGAAAATGGCCATGATTAAAATTTATATTCCTTAAACGCCTTTTTATTTTGGGTACCATCATAGCTGTAAGATAATATTATAGAAATGTCATTACTCTTGCAGAAGTTTTTAATCTGGCGAAATTATAATTTTTATGATACTAACCTGAAAGAATTTAAATTATTAATGGATTCTAACGGAGAGTTTTTAATATTCTTACATATTTTCCAAAATCTTCTACAATTTTGGAATGCATGGAATCTGCTCATTTTGTAGAATATCATTGTTTTCCAAACAGTCCGTCCTCAACTGTGGATTTCTTGTTAAATTGTCTGCTTCCACTTTCTTTAGTCGTCTTAAATTACTCCTACTGAATCCTGACATTTTATGTAACTTATTTAACACACAACACTTACTACATTCTTATTTTATTAATTTATTTTATTAACTTTTGTTCAAAATTCACAACTTGCACTTTCAAAAACACTTCACAGAATAAAATTTTGCTTCAAAAAAGAAAGAAGCATCAAAAATGAATAACGGTACAACAGCAGCTGCAACAATAAACAAAAAAGTTACAAAACAATACAAAGGCATCCGATTCAGATGCAAGTGCGATGGACAGTTTTTATTGTATTTTGTTTTGTTCTTTAATTCTAACATGGATTTTGTTCCACAATGTAATAGCAATGCGACTCATCCAAATCGGATGCTAGTTGTATGCTATTAACCACTGTTATTTCATTTTTTCCTATTGACAATATAGCATACATTTGGATGGGTATTAAATTGTAATGGCCAGCGGACTGCTGGGTTTCTATGGGCGATTGTAGGCCAAATAAGAAGAGAAGATAATAGAAACTAGAATTGAGAGAAAAAATATTCGATTATTTTATATTGGTTTGATTCTAATATTTCCTATTATAACTCTCAAAAAAAAAATAGAATTTACTGTTCAATGTTCCCAAAACGACCCCATCTATTGTCTATAATAAAAAATGCTGACTCAATTTTCCAAAATTTTCTCTTCGTCATGTTTTGCCAACTGTATAACAGTATTACACTTTGTTTTGCAAATTCTCTCTTTAATAGTTTTCTCCCAAACCTATTCATTTTGTCACATATATTTATTGGTCCAGTGGAAGATATGAACACAAGTTAGCTTTCAACACGTAATCGTTATGGATATAGGGGACAATCCATAACGAATTGGAAAATGACAGAACAGTTAGGATTTTGTTGGACCGATAAGGCTGGAATACTGAAATTGGAAAATACGATTTCTATTGTATTGTATGATACAGGTTGTTTTGGAAATGTGTACTAAATGGTACTAAAATGTGTACAAATTGTAATTATGATGAACCGACAGAGCTGGAATTCCGAAATTTGAAAATAATATTTCTATAGGATTGTACAGGGTGAGATAAAAAAACTGCCATAATTTTTACATTTTTTTTAACTTTACTGAAGGAAAGTAAAAAATGTCGGAGATAGCATCAAATTTTAGAATAAGTTTAGATTTGTTCGAATTGGTCACCTTTGCCATGAATTATGGACTTCAAACGGCCAATGAAACCGTCATACGCTGCCCGAATGTTGCTCTGCGGTATTTTGGCCCATTTCCCGGCGAAGCTTGAGGTGATCGACACTTTGGTATTTTTTAGTGCCAACCTTGCTTTCCAAAATGCTCCAGGCACAATAGTCCAACGAATTGATATCCGGAGATTTTGGTGGCCATTATGCGCTGGAAATAAAGCGAGGAACCTCATTTTGTAACCATTCTTATGAGGCGCGTGCTGAGTCCTGTTGGAACGTCCAAGGTCTGCGGCCAAAATGTTTGCGTGCTCAAGGCCTTAATACACTCTCCAGAATGTATTCGATATAATATTCGGCATTTACTCTGATGCCTCGGTTGATTAATATGAGCGGAGAGCGACCATCGGCTGTTATGGCGGCCCCCGCCATCACCATGGCCGGCGCTTGAGTTCTGGTGGCCAACTGAAGGTGCACATTTTCAGCTGACCTCTTTGGCAAGTAAACACGATAATTTTGTTTCTTTACAAACTGCTGGACAACGAATGTTTTCTCATCGGAGAAACCCAAATTCGGCAGTTCCCCACTTTCGGCCAAGCGAAGCAACTCTTTAGTGCTTTTGAGTCTATTTTCTTTCTGTTGCGGTGTAAGTCCTTGCACTTTTTTTTTAATTTCAATGGCTTTACCCCGAGCTCATTTTTTAATATTTGCCGAATGGAATATTGCGATATGTTCAGCTCACGAGCCATTTTTCGGCCACTGCGACGTGGGTTTCGATCAAGTCGCTTCTTTACTTTTTGAACCATTTCTGCTGATGTTGCTGTTTTCTTCCGTCCACTTCCCTGACGTCGGGCTACGCTACCAGTATCACGGTAACGAGCGATGGTACGAGACACAAAAGATTTATTCACATTTAAATGCTGGATATTTGGCTTTCCAGCCAAATATAAAGAGATCACACTACCACGCTTGAATTCCATCACGAATAACTTTTTTCTGGAAAATTCTCACCAAAATGCTTTCGTACGCTTGTAAACAATATAATGAGCTGTCACTGGAATAATTTCAACAGCTGTGGGACGAGTGGCTTAGAAATGACAGCAGTCTGAATTTGTTTACAATTTTTTCATCTCACCCTGTATTCGTAACAGAATTTTATTTATTTTACATAAAAATAATACTGTGGTCTTCTGTAAGAAAACAGTCCTATAGCAGAACGCCTTTTGGTCTCCTATACAAAAACTATTACTCGTCTAATTAGGAATAGCTCATATGCCTCTCATAATTGTTTGTTTGCCAAAACGATGTGAGAACCAAATTGGAAAACAACAATGGGTTGATGATGGGGAGATAGACCCCAACACAAAAAACATACACACACACACACACACACACTGGAAACATGGAAAGTGAGAGCAATTAAAAAGAGCCTAGTTTCTTCACATATTTCCCCCATACAAACTTGTCATGCAGTCAAGCCATTGAGTAATTGTGGTGGTAGTGGTGTTGGTGAGAATATGCCGGCAATTGAATTAAAATAAACAAAGATAACGACGAGAAACAGCGCGAACTAGTGAAACGCACAAAACATGCCATGACAAACAAAAATATGAAAAAAATATTGGAAACCTCAATTCAGTTAACTACAAAGTGCCCATTGAGTCGGTGGTCTCTCGCAGTTTCTTCTAAATTTAATTTAAAGTAAAAAATTAAACACAACAACAATAAAATGGCCGTATTGGATTTATTATCTTTCGATAATGCCGTCTTCAAAGCCTACGTCTTCTGGAGTGGTGTTTTGGTGCTGAAAATGTTGATGATGTCCCTGCTCACCGCCATGCAACGTTTCAAGACCAAGGTATGTATTTTTTGTGAGAGGAGCACTTAGCAAATTGTTATTGAAATTGGTTATCGGTTCGAAATAGTTCTGGTGTCTAGAAATTAAAAATAATAACAAATTCCCTCTGCAGGTGTGGCCCTTCTGGAATTATTTTCAAAAATGTTATCAATGGTCAACACCAAAGATAAAGACTTCTATAGGTTTTATATTGGATTTACTAGTATTTTCTAAAAGGTCAAAGGTCAAACATTTCTCTTCGGATTTAATAAAATCCATAACGTAACTCATACGTGTCTCTTTCAGATGGAAACAAAAACAAGTTCAAATAAATAGAAGTGATTGGAATTAATACTAGAATTTCAGGCTTAGAAAATGCGCTCTGGTGGGTCTAACTTTTGATATGAGGTGAAAGGCTATCATTGTACCTATCATAATTGGCTATAAAATTGCTGTGATTAAGACTTTAAACACTAAGCGCTGCGTGTGATAGAAACAAGTCAAGTTCAAGGTTCTCAAGCAAGCCATTTTCAAAAATTGTGATGTACCTACAGGGTGAGATAAAAAACTGCAACAAAGTCAGACGCCATAATTTTTACATTATTCAAAATTTTATTGAATGAAAGCAAAAAATGTCGGAAATAGCATCAAATGTTACAATAAGTTTAAATTTGCTCGAATTGGTCATCTTTGGCATGAATTATAGCCTTCAAACGGCCAATGAAACCGTCCGAATGTTGCTCTGCGGTATTTTGGTCCATTCCCGGCGAAGCGCTTGCTTGAGGTGATCGACACTTTGGAAGCGAGGAACCTCATTTTGTATCCATTCTTGGGTGGCGCGTGCTGAGTGCGTTAGTGCTGAGTTTTGTTGGAATGTCCAAGGTCTGCGGCCAAAATGTTTGTCTTTAATACACCCTTCAGAATATTTTCGGGATAATTTTCGGCATTTATTCTGATGCTACGGTCGATTAATACGAGTGGAGAGCGACCATTGGCTGTTTTGGTGTGGCGGCCCACACCATCACCATATCCGGCGCTTTAATTCTGGTGGCCAACCGAAGGTGCACATTTTCAGCTGACCTCTTTGGCAAGTATACACGATCATTTTTTTGTTTTGTTTGCAAACTGCTGGACCAGGAATGTTTTCGCATCGGAGAAAACCAAAAATCGGCAGTTCTCCACTTTTCTTTCTGTTGCGGTGTAAGTTCTTGCACTTTTTATACCTCCCACCATACTATGGAGGATATATGAACTTGGTCATTCCGTTTGTAACTTTTCGAAATACTCATGTCAGACCCAACAAAATATATATATTCTTGATCAGGGTAAAATTCTAAGTCGATTTAGCGATGTCCGTCAGTCTGTCCGCACGCAGTAGTAGGCAGGTTAAGTTCGTACATGAGCCATGTAGGTCCAGGTTTTCATATAGCCCCCATATAACGGTACCTCCCCATATTCGGTATTTTGATGATTTTAGCGACATTATTCGCCGGAATCGTTTCAAATTTCGTATTTAGAGTTCGTAATGGGAATTACAGTCTGTGACAGAAAATTGCCTATGCAGGTCCAGGTCTTCGTATAGGCAACATACCTCCCTATATTCGGTATTTTGACGAGTTTAGGTACAATACCCATCGAAATTGTTTGAGATGTCGTATTTGAAGTTCGTAATGGATGCTATAGCCTGTGACAGAAAATTGTCTATGCTGATCCAGGTCTTCGCACAGCTCCGATACGATATTTTGATGATTTTAGCTGCATTATTCACCGTTTATTTCAAGTTTCGAATTTGAATATGGTAATGGCTAATGACAAACAATGCCTTTGTAGGTCCACGTCGTATAGACCCCAATATAACGGCCATATTCGTTATTTTTAAAATTTAAACAGGATTTTTTAAGGATTTTATTTTTTGAAAATTCCCAAATTCGTTCCAAATGGTGGAGGGTATTCAAAGTTCGGCCCGGCCGAGCATACTGCTTTTTAACCCTTTTTTAATTTAGAAATGCATTTTTTCACTTAATCGGCAAAGGCACTTTGGACATTTTAGAGTTTTTCATTCCTATATTTTCCCTTTCTATAGTACTATGTATTAGAGCTATCACAATGGACTGGAAGCTCTCCGAGTAAAGGAACCTAACTTATTTCTCACTAGTATTTATGAAACTCCAATAGTTTTATCATTAAAATCCATCAAAACGAATCCATCGCCATTAAATAATTTTAATTTTTACAAGTCATTGTTGTTGAAAATTTCAAGATGGAAAGCCGTTAAAGATCTGCACACGCTTGGCCATTAAAAAAAGGTCAAAGTCTTTGTTGACAACCGATAATTAATACAACCATCGTCTGGCCAAACCATTTGCTTTCTCTATGTTATTCGTTTTTTTGCAAAAATGGGTGAAAGAGTTACTTTTTTTATTTTTGTTTACCAAATCAAAGCAGAAAAGTACGAAGAGATTAAGGAGAGAAAAAGAAGATTTGAATATTTTTTAAATAATGATTAGCTGCTTTTATAGTGAAAACCGGTAGGGAAAAGATTTAAGCCGGGGGTCGACTATATGTTACCCTACATCAGTTATGAAAGTACTTTGTTTACCGGGTTTTCAGTCATAATTTTTCGTTTTTATTTTAGTACTTTCCCCACTAGCCCTATTAGAGTGTCGCCGGATTGTTCTGTCCTTACTTTACATATATTAATTCCCTTATGATTAATCCTCCCAGGCAAAATTCAGATTGAAATATATATTTTCAGAAAGAAAAAAAAGTTTGATTTCTTCGCAAATATCAAAATAAATCGAGCAGAGAACTCTATTAAAACCAAGCTGTAATCATGACTGGCAATGTTTAAGCTCAAGTCCAAAATACAACGGCATTGTCATATAATGGTTGAAACTGGGTGGAGTAGTTATACTGGCCGATTAAAGTTCATATTTGCTAATCGATTTTTTTTCACATCGCACTATGCTAATGTGTGGAAGAGAACAAATTCACTTTACTCTCTGCTTCACAAGGGAGAGAGAAATAAGCATATTTTTGTTGACTCATTATGATTTGCAGGTGTGTTTATGTGCAAAGAGAACACGTGCCGCCTATTCTGAAAATGGCAACATAGGCATGACTTGCAATTCATATTTTTCATTATTAGCTTAAAAGCCAAGTAGACCAACTTACTTTTTTATGCGGGCTATCTTGGGAGAGTATTAATGTTATGGACGTCTCTGAATGGGTTGATGCTTGAAAGTAATTGAAAGAAGAAGAGGATAAATTGGATAAAATGAAAGAAAATTTAAAATAATACCAGAAAAAACTGTAAGAGCGGCCGGACCGAACTTTGAATACCCTCTACCATTCAGAACGAATTTGGCAATTCTCAAAACCAACAAAATTCGTTTAAAATTCTGTTAAAATCTTAAAAATACCGAATGTAGCTGTTTAATTAGGGTCTACATGTACGACGTGGACCTGCATAGATAACTTTTGTCAAAGCCATTACAATATTCAAATACAAAACATAAAAAAATCGGTGAATAATGTAGCTAAAATCATTAAAATGCCGAATAAAATGGTGAATAATGTTGCTAAAATTATCAAAATACCGAATAATGGGAGGACCGTTATATGGGGGCTGTACGAAGATAATTTTCTGTCTTCGGCTGTAGTATCCATTACGAACTTTAAATACTAAATTTGAAACAATTCCGGTGAAAATGTTGCTAAAATTGTCAATATACCGAATATCGGACTTGCATAGACAATTTTCTGTCACAGACTGTAGTATCCATTACGAACTTCAAATACCATATTTGAAACAATTCCGGTGAATTATGTCGCTAAAATGATCACAATACCAAATATCGGGAGGTACCGTTATATGGGGGCTATACGAAGACGTGGACCTGCACAGACAATTTTCTGTCGTAGGCTGTAGTACCCATTACGAACTTTAAATACCAAATTTGAAACAACTCTGAGGAATAATGTCGCTAAAATCATTAAAATACCAAATATCGGGAGGTACCGTTGTATGGGGGCTATACAAAGACGTGGACCTGCACAGACAATTTTCTGTCTTAGGCTGTAGTGTCCAATTCGAACTTCAAATACCCAATTTGAAACATTTCCGGTGAATAATGTACCTAAAATCATCAAAATACCTATAATAGGCAGGTACCATTATATTGGGGCTATATTAAAACGTGGACCTACATGGCCCATTTTTAATACCAAAAGTCCAGCAGACATAGTATACCTTTGAGTAAAATTTTATCAACCTACTTTATTTCGTTCGAAAGCTAGAGTGATTTCCACAGACGGGCGGACATCGCTAAATCGGCATTGAATATTATGCTGATCAAGGTGTTACAAACGGAATGACAAACTTAATATATCCTCCATACTAGGTATAAAAAATAAGATAAGAGGTTTGGGACTTTCCTGACACAAATAGGTAGGACGATATTTCGTTTTTAAATTGATCTTCAAGATAATTGGTCGTGTGGATTTGATTTCTAAATTTGGATTGATAACGCCATTGTGTGGGTGTAAATTATTTGTTTATTTGGATTATAATTTAAAATGTCCTCAATATTCAATGTGGCTAACATTTCGAAGAAAACTCCAGGGATTCAATAATTATTACCTCTCAATCGCTCGTATTTATATGTACTCATATGTAAATGCAAACTTCGGAAATCGCAGTCCCGGATGTTCTACAATACTCCAACGAAATAGACGTCCATCCATTAATGAGAATACACACATATACAAAGAAACGAATGTATGTAAACATCAAATGGGACAATAATTGCAAATGGGACAAGTGCAAGAGAATCATTAATAACGTCAAAAAGTGATCCATAAAACTAAGACCATGGTAGTTCTTTCAAATATAAGTAGATTTTTATATGTTTTCTTATACGACGTCATTCGGAGGCTATTATAATTCGTGTTTTTCAACAATTTTTACAAATTTAAATAATTATTCATTCAACATTTTCAATTCCAAAATTGGTTTGACAGTTTATTGTCCCAGCAAATGTGTCGATACGTCTACTTATATTCTTCTACCATTCTATGACTGATACATAAAGAAAGGAAATACAAAATAAGCATGGAATACAGCAGGAGATTGCGGAGAGCTCTATGTGGACTTTTACAAACAATAATAACAAATTGTTATAACACACAATAACAATTTGAAAATAATAAATATTTTCCTTTTTTTTTCCTTTTTTTTCTTAACAGACCTTTGCCAACCCCGAAGATTGCATGTCCAAGAAGGATAAGGTGACCTATGACAATCCCTACGTTGAACGTGTTCGCAGGTAAGCACTGATATTAAAGAGTCTAAATTCCGAAAAATATTTCAATTTTTTTTCTTTTTGAATACTTTCAGAGCCCACTTGAACGACTTGGAAAACATTTTGCCTTTCTTCGCTGCCGGTTTCTTCTACATCTTGACCAACCCCTCGGCTTTCATTGCCATCAATTTGTTCCGTGCCGTCGCTGCTGCCCGTATCCTCCACACAATTGTCTATGCCGTTGTTGTTATTCCCCAACCCGCTCGTGCCTTGTCCTTCTTCGTCGCCTTCTTGGCCACCGGCTACATGGCTTTGCAAGTCGTTTTGTATGCCTTGTAAATTGGGACGACTTTGGTAGCTAAGCGAAATACTTGTTTTCAAAGTATTTGAAAGTTGCGAAATGTGAAATATGTACATTTAATTGTAGAGTGTATATTTGTTTTTTTTTTTCTATTTTAATAAAAAAAATAATAATTAAGAAAATTTACTTTTGGAAGTGACAAGCTGGGCTGGATTCTTGTTCTATGAAAATATGAAATGAAAAATATTTCCTTTATAATATTTTTCATTTGACATTTCTTTTCTCTATAAAAATTTTAATTTTAGATTTTCATGGAACAAGAATTGAGGCCCTGGAAAGATATCCACGAAATTCATGGCCTACATAAGGTCAGCCAGTAAACCCATCTGACAACTCAATTTGCTGTCAAATATATAATTGGGATGTGGAATTTGAAGAGAATCAAATCACAATGGTGCAAAAAGTACTTATTTTATTATCAAATTGTTGTCAAAATTATTCTTCTTGGCCGACCTTATACAGACCTTGAATGTAATTTATAGAAAATTTCAGAAAGGTATTACTATTAGACCAAAACAAGAATAATATTTTCAAGGGAGGTAGGGGAAAATGAGCATAGGTTCTGAGTATTGCCATCTAACCTGCATTTCATAAGAATATGTCGAGGCTGGATTTTTAAATCAGAACAGATATTACTCCCTTTATCTTATTTCGAATTCAGGAATTTTCAAGGGAGGGAGTTGCCATAGGAGTAAATCCCTTTTTTATACCCTACAACACTATGTGTTGGGGGTATTATAAGTTTGATTGGGCCAAAAATTATGTAACACCACGAAATATTGGTTTCCCACATAGGAAAGTATATATGGATCATCCTAGCTCGCCGAGCTGAGTCGATCTAGCTATGTATGTCCGTCCGTCCGTCTGTCCATGTTAATTTGTAATCACTCTACAGGTCGCAATTATGGCCCGATCTTCACGAAATTTGGAATGGAGGTCGGGGTTGGGCCAGAATAGAACCCTATTTCTTTTTGAGATGATCGCCAAATGTTTAGGGGATGAAATGAACCAAATACTGAAAAAATGTCGGATTTTGCAGTAGCTATACAGGTCGCAATTATAGACCAATCGACGCGGAATTTCGCATGTAGCTAGAGTTTAGGACGGGGAAGAAGCCTACCAATTTGGGTGGTCATCGGATAATATTTAGCGGGTAAAATAGACCATATATTTTGTGTTGAAAAAATTCAAAATTTTTCATTAAACCGCGAATATTTTAAATCCCGGCGAAATCACAAAGCCATGACAAGGTTACTTCTGACCTTTACATTGATGTTAACATCCAACAAAACGGATATATAGCAAAATATGTGCGATATACATGTTTATCAAAGAATATATGCTTGAAAGATCTCTTATATGTCGAGAACGGCTGAACTGATTTCGACAGTTCTCATTAATTCAGAATGGCCTCTTGGCAGGAAAGAAAAAACGTCTAAAAAAATCGCATAAAAATATCTCTCTAAAGATGAAAATATTGATTTTGTAAAATTTTCTCATATTTTTTCAATTTTGTCATATTTTTGGCATATTTTCATTTTGAATTAAACATTTGGTAATATTTCTACAGCTATCAAAACTAAGTAGTTAGGATATCAGGATATCAGATACAGATCGCATTTATGGCCCGATCCTTACGAAATTTTGCATGGGGATAAGATGAGGGTCAGAATAGATGCCTACTCTTTTTGGAGATGATCGTTATATATTTAGGGGTTGAAATGGACCAAAAAACTGCAAAATTGTCAGCAGGTCGTAATTATTGCCCGAGCCTCACGCACATTTGGATGGGGGTTACCGGACATTGCAAAAGCCAAGCAGTTTTGGATGGCCATCCAAAGACCATTTACGTGCAACATCTTCCAATAAATAGGAAATGAGCAAATTAGTTTAAATTGCTATTATTCGAAAATTAGAGAACGAAACCTGATGGTTTTCTTTTATTATTTGTCACAATATCTTGTGGAATTCTTTCGAGTATCTCGCCTATATAAACAGTATCGTTTATTATAGTGTTGTAGGGTATTCAACGGTCGGCCCCGCTCGACTGTAGCCTTTGCTTACTTGTTTGGTAATAGGTTTTACGAAACTTTGGAAAAATCTGGTATTAATTCTACCTATTATGAGAGTTAACATTAACCCTTTTTGGGGCCACGTAGCAGTAATAGTGGACCAATATTTTTCTTATATATATTTCTTAGCCTATTTTTACTCTTCACGAGGTTTTGTCATTATTTAACGGATCTTCGAAGGAATTGACAGTCGAACTAATAAAATTTACTTTTTAAAACCACCGTCTCCGAGATAGATGAATATCACAACATCGTTTTGAGCGACATCTGTTGGGAGAGTGGGATTTTAATACATTGTTATATTAAGATTAGTTTAGTTTACACATGTTGTCAGAGTATATGTAAAGTAATTTTTTTGCATTTATAATTAGCATTTTAGAGCATACTTTTAGGTACCCACACAAATTTTACATAGGTTATACATATGTGCTGTCACTTTTATTACCCATGTGTATTTCCGTGCGTATGTCAATAATTTCAATTTTACATATGACTCATAAATCATGCGATCACACACTTGCATAGGTTTTTTACCCTCCACCATAGTATGTTGGGTATCATAAGTTTGTCATTCCGTCTGTAACACCTCGAAATATACATTTTAGACCCCACAAAGTAAATATTTTTGATCAGCATTAAATTCCATGTCGATTTAGCGATGTCCGTCCGTTCGTCTGGGGAAATCACTCTAGCTTCCGAACGAAATGATGTAAGTTGATAATATATTACTCAGAGGTATATTACGTCTGCAGGACTTTTGGTATTGAAAATGGGCCATGTAGGTCCACGTCATCGTATAGCCCCCATATAACGTTACCTCTCGGTATGCGGTATTTTGATGATTTTAGGGACATTATTTGCCGGGAACGTTTCAAATTTGGTATTCGAAATGGATACTACGGCCTATGACAGAAAATTGTCTGTGCTGCTTCACGACTTCGTATAGCCCTCATATAACGGTACTTCCGGATATTCGGTAATTTGATGTTTTTAGCGACATTATTCACCGGAATTGTTTCAAATTTGGTATTTTAAGTTCGTAATGGATATTACAGCCTATGACAGAAAATTGTCTGTGCAGGAACACCTCCCGACATTCGGTATTTTAATGATTTTAGCGACACTATTCACCAGAATTGTTTCTAATTTGCTATTTGAAGTTCGTAATGGATACTACAGCTTAAGACAGAAAATTGTCTGTGCAGGTCTACGTCTTCGTATAGTCCCAATATAACGGTACCACCCGATATTCGGTATTTTGATGATTTTAGCGACATTATTCACCGGAATTGTTTCAAATTTAAAGTTCGTCATGGATACTACAGCCAATGACAGAAAATTGCCTGTGCAGGTCCACGATGTGGTATAAACCCCATATAACGGTACCTCCCTGTATTCGGCATTTTTAGCTACATTATTCAAGGAATTTTTCCTTCAAGTTTTGCATTTGAATATTGTAATGGCTTATGGCAAAAATTGCCTATGCAGGTCCACGTTGTCGTGTAGACCCTAATATAACGGCTGCTTTCGGTATTTTTAAAATGCTAACAGAATTTTTAACGGATTTTATTTTTTTTTTTTTTTTTTTGAAAATTGCCAAATTTGTTCCAAATGGTGGAGGGTATTCAAAAAGGCCGAACTTACAGCTTTTTTACTTGTTTTTTCCGTATTTTCTATAAATATATATCGTATTTTCTATAAAATTATAATATTTTATGGATGACTTTATACCGTAAATTTAATTTTATGAATTTTCACACAACAAACAAACAACACTTTTGATCAAATAATATATTTTCGATGCCTTATATATTTCACACCTGTCCATGTATCAAACGATACGTGGACTTTCTACATATGGAAAATTTGACATTAACAAACCACTTTTTTCTGATAAAGCCCTCAATCAGGTTTTTTCTACCTTTTAAAAACGAATGCTGTGTAAAATAATAAATGAAACAAACAAAGAAAATATGTTTATATATAATCGTTAAAAGTGTACACAATTAAGAAAAAACTGTCTTTAACGTAAAAATTGATGAAAGCTCATGTCTTGTAAGGTTCCCCTAATGTGTTTGTATTTAATCACACTTCACTGGAAATGGTGTAATACCCGATGCGCCGGCACGTTGTTTTTCCAATGGAGGGCCAACCGACATGAACAAAAGAAAACAGAAAAAACCGGCACTGAGAGATGAATATGCCTGGGAGAGTGCTACAAGACAACATGTGTATGTACACATATGTATATGTAGTTGGAAGTGTGTGACTATCTCTTTGCAGTGGATGAGAATATTTACTTAGGCACCACAATTGATGAGGTTATAAATTCTTGGATAGGTTCGGTGGCTGTCAGTAGTCATAAAAACTCTGATTGAACTGGGGGCGCGTGGTATCCTCGGTGTTTGTCGTGAGCGTGTGTGTGTGTTTGTACAGATTGTTCCCAAACAATTGGCAGTGATTTTCATTTACATTTACTTAACATTTGCTCTAAAAACACACAATTGTGTTTTTGTTTTTTTATTTTAATAAGGTAAAACAACAATTACATATGGCAAATTGTGTATAATTGTAATGAAAGACCAGACATGTGGTAAAAACAATCAACAAATGGGGAAAAATTCCAGTTCGAAAGAACAACGTTGTTTTCTTCCAAAGCAAATTACAGTGGTAACAATGGGAGATACCTATGTAAAGTAACTTTTGTTGTTGTGGTTGTTTTTACTACCTTAATAATGGCAGGGTTGCCAATTTGTGCGGTATTAGTTAGCCGTTTTTATTTAAATAGCTAGGAAGTGGTGATAATAAATAAAACTAATAAAGAATAGATTAAAAAAATAAATATGAAAAATTACCGCCAACCGTGTAATGAGCATATCTGTCAAAGGGGCCAAACTGAGCGAGAGAGAAGGAGAGAGAGAGTAATTATTTATGTTCTGTTATGGTAATGCTTCCATGCATGGTAATCATTGTATGGTTGTTAATCGACATCCGTTATTATCTGTTAAAAGTTAAAATTCAATTCAATTGAAAGTTTAAATTATTTATGGGCAACTCTGTATAATAGCACACCGCTGTGTTATTCAAATTTCTTCTCACCGTTTTACCAATGGAAAAAATATGCCTAATTATTTGCACAACACTCTCCAACGGATGTTTTTTCTATTTGAACAGAACTATATGCGTGTGTGTGTCTGTTGACACACGCCCACATGTCACCCCCCAAAAATTATTATCTCTTCGGCCTTTGACAGCAGCTGCGTAAAGAGATAGTAAAAAGACGGAAAATGTTTATTAAAAAAATATACAACGTGTTTCATTCGCTTTTATCTATGTTCAATGGAATCAATTAACAGGTTTTTTGAATACTTTGATATGGTCTTACCAAAATTAATAGATATTTACTTTTTTGTGGGGAAGAGGAGTTTTACCATTACTTTGTTCCAGAACTTGCAAGAATCTAAAAGTTTTGCAAAGTTTTAAATTTTTTTCTTTTAAAATTTGAAAAGTTTTGCAAATACTTGCACGGGAACACATACTATAAATATAATAAAACGTGATATATATTCCTACCTATTTATAAAAATAATTACCCACTGATTACTTGATTATAAGTGTGCATATTTATCGTATTCCAATAAGGTATTTATTTTGTTTTCCAAACTGAAATTGTTGCAATTATAGAATAAGGAAGCAATTTGAGTTAGGATCTAACTCTCGGTTCAATGGAAACAGCGTTACATGTGGTAGTATAACGAGATTTCAAGATATATTTTATTAAAAACTTTTTCAAAAACATAATCAGGGAAACTGGGTTTTCTATTTGTATAAGAATTTTCGGAAAGTCTTCAAGAATATTTTAAGAGAGCTTCTTCCTATTAAAGGTCTCTAGAGTTAGAAAGACATGGTGCAAGTCGTAATTATGTCAGACCGAAACGAAATTATGTTAACCCTTAACTACAGACGTCAAATTATACGAACGTTAGTACAGACCACCGGTAATTTTTACCGGTTATATAAAACACAAAAATTTTCTGTAAAACAATTGAAAAATTTGTTTAATATACGTCTGTTATGTATTTTTTGTATATCAATATCTTGAAAAAGTTTTAAAACTATTTACTTTAATAAAACCGCACACGTTTGTATATATTCAATGGATTTGTAAATAAACATTTTGACCATGAAATGTTGTCAAATATATTGGTCAGTTCTAGAACTTCAAGAATGTAAAAGTTTTACTACGATAATAATAAAATCTTAAAAATACCGAATATAACCGTTGTATTGGGGTCTATACGAAGATGTGTTTATGCAGCAATTTTTGCCATACACCATTACAATATTCAAATGCGATACTTGAAAAAACTCCGGTGAATAATGTAGCTAAAATCATAAAAATACCAAATATAGGGAGATTCTGATATATGGGGCCTATACGAAGGCCTGGTGCATAGACAATTTTCTGTCATAGGCTGTAATGTCCATTACGAACATCAAATGCCAAATTTGAAACAATTCCGGTGAATAATGTCCAGAGGGTAAAGTGCTCAGAAAAAACTTCTGATCTGTGCAAATTTTTAGCTGATCAAGAATATATACACTCATGTCTAAAATGATTATTTTGATGAGTTACTAACGGAATGACGAACTTAATATACTCTCAATCCTATATATGGTGGAGGGTATAAGAAGTGATTGAAAAGGCTAAAAGTGAGAATACAAAAACCGATTTGTTTGACTGACTTAAGTCATTGGCTGGCTTCTTCGGAAAAGAGCAAAGGAGCTTAGGGCCAAAATTGAACTAAGTCAACTTAAACCCCTATCTTTCTTTACGAAGAGGCCTGCCGATGACTTAAACCAGTCAATAAAGCCTTTTATGTATTCTAACCTGAAGTTCTGCTGCGTAGGCGAGTTTTTACAAATTCGTACTAAATGGGTACGAGAAGTATTAAAATGTTCTAAAAATTGAATACTTTGTGTTGAACAAACGTAGTGAGCTAGAATTTGGAATGAGACTGACTCATTGATGATGTAGTGCAGAATAGATTTTCCAAAGGATTTCTGGACAATTGCTACAATTTGGTATTGGTTTAAAAGATATTGATCATGTGTAGCCTGGACATATGCAGGTGGTTTCGGAAATATGTACTATAATGGTACGAATAGTACTAAGTGGTACAAAAATGGGCATTGGAAATAGAGCTGGAATCCCGAAACTTGATACTAAGGTCTCTCTTGGTATTTGGGTTGAGATATGGAGGTGGTTTTGAAAATGTGTACAACAAATGCACGAAAAGTACTTAATAGTACTATATTTAGTACACATTGGTACTGGGTGAATATATAGTGCTTCAAATCTTAAATTTTGTATTGGGTGGCTGTTTATTTGTTTTCTGGATATATGGAGATGGTCTCGGAAATGCGCACTATAATTGTACGAAAAGTACTAAATGGTACTAAATTTGGCATTATGTGAAGAAATAAAGCTGAAATCCCGAAATTTCATATTTAGGTTTCTGGTGGCATCTGCAATTGAGATGTGGAGATGGTTTTGGTAAATTTTTGCAGTTCGAGACAAAGATATTGATTTATTGCCTTGCGTAAAGCAAGGATTGTTCAATTTCACGATCCAGTGGGCTTTCTTTTTTATTCTGTTTTTTTTTATTTTATTTTTTTTGACGCCAGCAATGCGGATTCGGTTTGTTGTGAAGCCAAGGGGCACTTGTTACACATTCTCCAATTCCAAACCGATAATATAAGCCTCAAGTCTACCTTTTTCTCAGGAGTCGATATTTATTCAACCTTTCGGAAACATGAGTATCACAATTCTAGAAAACATCTTTCAATAATACTTTGGGATCTACAGTAAGTGGCGGATCCTACACTGGATTTCCCGCACTTTAAAAAAGAAATAGACCAATCAGGCCGATGTTCTGAAACGCAAACAAAGAACACATGTTTTAAACCAGAATTGACGCAATAGCTTTAACATTTTTTTTTTTGAGGATGGCTAGGTTAAAGGCCAATTTTGGCATCATTCCATGTTATATAATTTTCATCAGCAGCCAGATTTTAAATAAACGATAATAAAATACCGAAATCATTTTGGCTCTTTCACGACGACCACGATTCTACGTCATTTAAAGGCTGATGCCTGCCTTCAAGTCTTGCATAGTGTCCCTCTTTGTTTGAGCTTTATCAAACATTATGGAGGCATTGTCCCTCATCACTCCATCACCATTACGTTGACAATTTTCTCTGGGCCCGCACATGGTCAAGCGTGGAAATATACGCAAAATCCCAGATTTCATTATCAGTTGCGATTAAATGCTTAACTTAAGCTGTTTTTGTTTGTTTGTTTTTGTTGCCTTAGCCAGCTTACGAAGTGAAGCTATCGCAGAACTTTCTATGGGGGCACAAAACAATAATAACAAAAAAACAATTAACCAAAACCGCAATTTATTAGATTAAAAGGTTCACCAGCAAAGGTGATTAGAGTAGAGCGATAGCGTCCCCAACATAGAAAATAATCATGCAGACAGTTCAGTTGCCAGTCACCATTAAATGCGGAAGTGTTCATCATTTTGTCGAACGCAACTAATTTCGAAATTTACTTCGCCTCTCTAGCCAATAACTCTGTTTCAAAAATAAATCAACAATATGCCTGCCACAAAACCCTATGAAAGACCAAAGGATTTCATTGATCCTGGAAAACCCTCAAAATGTCCCTGGAAATTGGGCACCAAGGAGAAGACTGCACACACTCAGCGAGGAATGTAAGTTTGGAAGTACCCCTTAAAAAAAAAAAATCGGAGTAATTAATGCTATTTTTTTTTTATTTTCAGTGCCCACCGTCAGAAGATTACCCCCAACATTTTGGAGGCCATTGGTTGTACTCCTTTGGTCAGACTAAACAATATTCCCAAATCAGAGGGTATTAAATGTGAAATGTGTAAGTGTGAATGGTAATCAAAAAAAAAAATCCTCAGATCCGAGACCGGGTTTAACTATAAAAAAAAATTACCCCCGAAGCAGGTGTCATTTTTTTCTATTGAAAAAAGACCCCGAAGAGGTCCTGATTTTTTTCTATCGAAAAAATTCCCCCAGTTTCTGGGGGGTCCTGATTTTTTTTCTATCGAAAAAAAAAATTCCCCCAGTTTCTGGGGGTCCTGAATTTTTTTCTATAGAAAAAAATGACCCCCAAAGCTGGGGTCCTGAATTTTTTTCTATAGAAAAAAATGACCCCCAAAGCTGGGGTCCTGAATTTTTTTCTATAGAAAAAAATGACCCCCAAAGCTGGGGTCCTGAATTTTTTTCTATAGAAAAAAATGACCCCCAAAGCTGGGGTCCTGAATTTTTTTCTATAGAAAAAAATGACCCCCATAGCTGGGGTCCTGATTTTTTTTCTGTAGAAAAAAATGACCCCCAAAGCTGGGGTACTGATTTTTTTTCTGTAGAAAAAAATGAACCCCAAAGCTGGGGTCCTGATTTTTTTTTCTGTAGAAAAAAATGACCCCCAAAGCTGGGGTCCTGATTTTTTTTCTGTAGAAAAAAATGACCCCCGAAACTGGGGTCCTGATTTTTTTTCTGTAGAAAAAAATGACCCCCGAAACTGGGGTCCTGATTTTTTTTCTGTAGAAAAAAATGACCCCCGAAACTGGGGTCCTGATTTTTTTTCTTGTAGAAAAAAATGACCCCCGAATCTGGGGTCCTGATTTTTTTTCTGTAGAAAAAAATGACCCCCGAATCTGGGGTCCTGATTTTTTTTTTCTGTAGAAAAAAATGACTCGCTGATCCACTGGGGTCCTGATTTTTTTCTATAGAAAAAAAACAGACCCCCCGAAACTGGGGTCCCGATTTTTTTCTATAGAAAAAAAACAGACCCCCCGAAACTGGGGTCCCGATTTTTTTCTATAGAAAAAAAACAGACCCCCCGAAACTGGGGTCCCGATTTTTTTTCTATAGAAAAAAAACAGACCCCCCGAAACTGGGGTCCCGATTTTTTTCTATAGAAAAAAAACAGACCCCCGAAACTGGGGTCCCGATTTTTTTCTATAGAAAAAAAACAGACCCCCGAAACTGGGGTCCCGATTTTTTTCTATAGAAAAAAAACAGACCCCCGAAACTGGGGTCCCGATTTTTTTCTATAGAAAAAAAACAGACCCCCGAAACTGGGGTCCCGATTTTTTTCTATAGAAAAAAAACAGACCCCCGAAACTGGGGTCCCGATTTTTTTCTATAGAAAAAAATGACCCCCGAAGCTGGACCCCAGCTTTGGGGGACAAAAACGACACCCAAAGCTGGGGTCCTGATTTTTTTCTATAGAAAAAAATGACTCCCTATGTTGGGGTCCTGATTTGTTTTCTATTAAAAAAATGACCCCCGATGTTGGGGTCATGATTTTTTTCTATTAAGAAAACCCCAAAACTGTGGTCATGATTTTTCTTCTGGTGAAAAAAATGACCCCCAAATCTGGGGTCCTGATTTTTTTTCTGGTGAAAAAAATGACCGCCGAATCTGGGGTCCTGACTCTCAGATCCCAAGGAGTCGAGATTTTTTCCAATAGAAAAAAATTCCCCCTATAGAAAAATAATTGCCCTAGATCCACTGAGGTCCTGAATTTTTCTTTAGGAACAAAACTCCCCCGAATAAACTGGGATCCTGATTTTTTTTTTCTATAGAAAAAAAATTTCCCTGATCCCAAAGCCCGCAGATTCCTTTTGAGGTAATGAAAATATGCTTTATCATTAATTCAATTTCTCCTTCCCTTTCAGATGCTAAATGTGAATTCCTTAATCCTGGTGGTTCGGTCAAGGATCGCATTGGCTATCGCATGGTACAGGATGCCGAAGACAAGGGTCTACTTAAACCTGGCTGCACCATTATTGAACCCACCTCCGGCAACACTGGCATTGGTTTAGCCATGGCCTGTGCCGTTAAGGGTTACAAATGTCTGATTGTTATGCCCGAGAAAATGTCCAATGAAAAGGTGTACGCTTTGAGGGCCTTGGGTGCTAAAATTATCCGTACCCCCACTGAGGCAGCCTATGATTCACCTGAAGGATTGATTTGTGTTGCCCAACGTTTGCAGAAGGAAATTCCCAATTCCATTGTTTTGGATCAGTATCGTAATCCGGGTAATCCACTGGCCCATTACGATGGTACTGGTGCCGAAATCCTTTGGCAATTGGATAACAAAGTTGATATGATTGTGTGCAGTGCTGGTACTGCGGGTACGATTACTGGAATTGCCCGTAAAATCAAAGAGGAACTGCCCTCATGCCAGATTGTTGGTGTTGATCCTTTCGGCTCGGTGTTGGCACGCCCTGAGGAGCTGAACAAATCCGATGTTCAATTCTATGAAGTTGAAGGCATTGGCTATGATTTCATACCCACCGTTATGGATCACTCTGTCATTGATGTTTGGACTAAGATTGGCGATAAAGATTGTTTCCCCATGAGTCGCCGCCTCAATGCCGAAGAAGGTATTTTGTGCGGTGGCTCTTCAGGCGGTGCCATGGCTGCTGCTTTGAAATTTGCCAAAACCCTAAAGGAAGGACAACGTTGCGTCGTCATTTTGCCCGATGGCATTCGCAACTACATGACCAAATTTGTCTCAGACAATTGGATGGAGGCTCGTGACTTCAAGGAGGTGGTCAATGAACATCAACATTGGTGGTGGAATGTACCCGTGAGCGAGTTGAAATTGAACACTCCATTGACAGTGAAATCAGATGTGAAATTCTGTGATGCCATTGAACTGATGAAGAAGAATAATTTAAATCAAATCACCATGTTGGATGAAGATGATGGGTAGGTCCCAGAAATCTAATATTTGAAATTGAAAATGTTTTAAATTCTCTTTTTAATGTTTTAGCTCCATTCTGGGCACCGTGGGCCAGGAAACCTTAATCAATCAAATTGTTAGCATGAACCGCAACACTGACGAATTGGCCCTGAAGGCCATTAACAAAAGAGTAATACGCATACCTTCCTCAGCAATTTTGGGCAAATTGGCTCGTGTCTTGGAAGTTGATCCCTGTGTTTTGATCGTGGACAAAGAGGGTAAGTAGGACTTGGTGGAGTTATCGTAAATTTGCAAGACTAATTTCATTTGTTTTCAGATGGCAAAGATGTTCTTAAAGGCCTGGCCACCAAAATAGACGTGATGAGTTTCATTGCTGCCGGTAAACCAGCTCAAAATGGTGTCAACGGAACTCACTAAAGTTTTTTTTTACAATATATATATACATTGTATGTATGTAGTTTTTATGAAAACAAAAGCAATCATATAAAATTATATTATGGCTTACAAAAAATATAATTAATTAAGTGTTTTTTTTCTTTCGTAGAGTCTGGGTTTGTATGACGATCAGATAACATTTTATTATGACTTTAAAGAATACAAAATTAAATTGGGTCTTTTCCTAGTTCGGGTCTGTATGATACAGATACATGGCGTTAGCATTTTCAACCCTGATTATTCTGCTTTTTAGTATAATTTTAATGCATTCATTCAGGGTGGAGGAAATACCAGAGACAGAGGGCATTATGAATCGATTCCAGCTTCATATGGTTAAAAGGCAAGACGCCCCAATAAAAATATCGAGGAAAACTGCCAAAGTATAGTTGGAGTATTTTACGAAATCTGACAGCATTCTATCGACTGATCCAAAATTTACGTTTAGCCTTCTTTAACTCACTAAAAATGTGGAAAGATTCACGATATTGAGTGTCATCCTTGCTAATCCATGCTACTCTTTTCTGCATCATTCCAATTTTAGTATACAGGGGAGATAAAAAAACTGCAACAAAGTCAAAAGCCATAATTTCTAAATTTTTTTTTAATTTTATTGAATGGAAACAAAAAATGTCGGAAATAACATCAAATTTTAGAATATTTTTAGATTTGTTCGAATTGGTCAACTTTGCACTAATTATGGCCTTCAAACGGCCAATGAAACCGTCACACGTTGCCCGAATGTTGCTCTGCGGTATTTTGGCTCATTCCCGGCTAAGCTCTTGCTTGAGGTGATCTACACTTTTGTATTTTTTAGTGCCAACCTTGCTTTCCAAAATACTCCAGACACAATAGTCAAACGGATTGGTATCCAGAGATTTTTTGTAGTATCCATTACGAACTTTAAATACCAACTTTGAAACAATTCCGGAGAATAATGTAGCTAAAATCATCGAAATACCGAATATCGGGAGGTGCCGTTATATGGGGGCTATACGAAAACGTGGACCTGCACAGACAATTTTCTGTCTCAGACTGTAGTATCCATTACGAACTTCAAATACCAAATTTGAAACCATTCCGGTTAATAATGTCACTAAAATCATCAAAATACCAAAAATCAGGAGGTGCCGTAATATGGGACTATACCAAAACGTGGGCCTGCACAGACAATTTTCTGTCTTAGGCTGTAGTATCCATTACGAACTTTAAATACCAACTTTGAAATAATTCCGGTGTATAATGTCGCTAAAATCATTAAAATACCGAATATCGGGAGGTGCCGTTATGTGGGGGCTATACGAAGACGTGGACCTGCACAGACAATTCTGTATTGGGCTGCAGTATCCATTACGAACTTAAAATAACAACTTTGAAATAATTCCGGTGAATAATGTCGCCAAAATCATTAAAATACCGAATATCGGGAGGTGCCGTTATATGGGGGCTATATCAAAACGTGGACCTACATGGCCCATTTTCAATTCCAAAAGTCCTACAGACATCATATACATTTGAGTAAAATTTTATCAACCTACTTCATTTCGTTCGGAGGCTAGAGTGATTTTACCTGACGGACGGACATCGATAACTCGACATAGGATTTTATGCTGATTAAGAATATATTTACGTTGTGGGATCTAAAATATATATTTCGAGGTGTTACAATCCTAATATACCCTCCATACTATGGTGGAGGGTATAAAAATATTCTTAAAAATCTACGCCTACTCGGAGTTATTCAGAAAAATTCATCGAAAAATTATAGGATATAAAATATATTTACAAAAACAAAGCCTATAACTCGGGGTCATTAAAACATATTATTAAAGATCTTATATAATAGATCATTATATAAAATTTTGTACAAGGACCAATTCGGGACTACAATGAGCTGTTACTTTAGGGCCACCTTTCCTAATATTAAGAAAAAAATCACACAAAAACATCCATTTCATTTATAAAATATATATTTTATTATAGAAAACCTGTCTGTGTGTGTTGTCATGGATGGTGAGTACGCATAGATACATGTTGTCTTAAATTAATTTATTCGAGAACGTTTTGTGTGCTATTGTATTTAGAGTTAAAGATTTAATACTTTTTCTTGAGAGTTTTGCCTTCTTATTTGTTAACTAATTTTTTTAGCTTTTGTGTATTCGATGCACTTGTTTAGTTTCAAAAGAGATTCATTCATTAGGGTTAGGGCATTTTCTAAACAAATACAGAAGAAACTTCATAAATACTGAGTGTTTTACAAAAAAAAAAAACATGAATTGATCAACAATATTTTTTTTTAAGATACAAATCAAAATCACTTTTAAGTATTTGTTAGAAATAAAGGGACATTTTGTATATAAACAAGACGGAAGCCGTGTGTGATCCATCCCTCTCTCTTTAAACACCACGATTACTTAAATCCTTAACTCTATAGATTCGCACCAGCCAATGTTCTGTGGTATAAGCCTCCTCCAAGACATCCAATTCGAAATCTTTATTACCAATTTCAGCAGCTCTGACACGATCATAACCCGGTGGCTTACCACCTTCGGTGTAGACTTGACCAAAACGATAATAGCACATTTTGTACATTAGACAGTTGAGCAATGTTGGGGAGCCTTCCTTGTCAACACGAAACTCTCCATTGGCAGCATAGTAATCTTTTTCCTTGATATGAGCACCACGATCTGTACTGCCACCAATACGCACCATCCATAGGAACTTATTAATATCGTCCGATGAGTAACCGGTCAAACCGCCAAATATAACCAAAACATAATCGACATCAAGTTCACGCATGATTTCATAAGCCTTTTCCTCAGAGGAAGCCATGGCTTGGCCCACACGTGAAATGTGAGTATTATTCCAGGTATTGTTGTCCACAAGTATGGTGCGATTGGCCATGGCTGTTATTTGATAACCATAATCCCACCAAGACATGATGCGGGCATTCTAAAAAGGAAACCAAAGAAGTCTACATTACTATGTGATTCTGTGTTGCCAAAATGTTTATAAATCTAATTTTGTATTCAGCTTAGTTGTAGTACTCATTATGTGTCATACTCTTCCTATCAAGAATTACAAGTGTTCATCATTTTAACAATTAATTTAAAATAAATAATTTTATGTAACTTACCTCTGGTGTATTCATTTGCAGCCAATAGTAGGCCTCACGAAAATCATCGAATATAATGCGACCACCATCATGAGAACGGGCACTCAGCACAATGCTGGGTGATGAATATGCCTCGGATGTTACCCAAGTACAATGGAATGTATAGACTATCAGCATCATTGTTACAATACCGACAAAAGTTATGGCAACTTCCTTTTTAATGCCACCACTTTGTTGTTCCATCTTTTTGTATTGTCTTTTACTTTCAACTGGTTTTTGTGCAGCGGATGCCACCTCTATTGACTGGATATATTTGGCCAATAAATGGGAAACTGCAATGCCCGATAGTACACACATAACAGGTGCCAAAACCAGCATTAGACGGACCATAACACCAGCAAAATAAATGCTAGTCACACCATAGAGTATTATAAAGATATTGGCATCGGTGAGTTTGACAAAGCAAAAGTATAGGCCGGCTGGGAAAAGGAATACCAAAATCTGAAAGTTTAAGTGGAAAGTCATTAGTTTATGGAATTATTCTACACAATTTCTATTGACTATTTTAAATGGAATGCATATTTGTGGGTGGTATTCGCTCAAGAAAAAAATGGATGTCAGCGATCAAAGTGTATGTAATCAATGGGTGACATTAAGGCGTACTCATACACGCTCAATGCTATCATCATGAAAGATATGGATTTAGTAATGAATTCAAATAAATTGTGAAACTAAAACATACCTGCAGATCAAAGTAAAATGAAGACCAAGATGTCGGTTGATGTTCCGATACCGAGGCAATAATGGGAATGTGATTTTTTGCATAAGACGGATCCAGCAAAGAATAGAAACGACCAGTCCAGGGAGAAACTTTACCAGTTACCGTCAAAAGTATGCCAACAATAAAGGCCACTGTCAGCACGGTAGAAACCAATGCCTTAAAAAGCGTTTCAAAATGATCGGCTGGCATGCGGGAACGTAGATAGTCAACAAAGGCATGGATTTGACATAGACCAAAAACTCCCAAGGCCTAAAAACATAGGAATTATATTAAAATCTCGAAAATTCCACAATAATACACGTTTCAACTTACCAACATATGCTCCGAACTCTGAATGGGCTGGAATCCCACAAATGATATTTGCATAGACAAAATCGTACCCAAACAATACAAAGTACTGTAGGCAATGTACACACGATGCGAGAAACGTCCCGTGCACATCAAGGCCAACACGTGCAAAGGTATCAAATTTATGAGGAAAACATAACCTCCCCAAGAGGAAACCATATAGAAATATGCCAATGCGGACATGGCAGACCAAAAGATGGCTCCAGTCTTAACCGCCTTTATCCATAGATAATAGGTTAGGAGCATGCAGAAAATTGCAATGCCTTCATTGTCATATGAACCAGCCACAGAACGTGAAATGTAACCAGGCACAATGGAAATCAATGCTCCAGCCACCAAGCCGGCACCAGTGCTCTGAAATACACAAATTCATACAATTAAAATTACTTCCACCAACGAAATAAAATAAATTAACTATCTTTGGAAAAAAATATCAGCTAGTAGTGGTACTCATTATGTGTCATACCCTTCCTATCAAGAATTAAATTAAAATTCATCACAAAATTCGCAAACATGAGGTCGCACAAAAAACATAACCTCAAACTTAACACACAGTTTACAATACTTACATGGATCTCCTTGGTCAGGGCATAGGTAACCAACGTGGTGAGTGAGGAGAAAAATGGCGCCAAAAATACACAAACATTGCGTATGTCCACGGTAAAATTCAATAACCATAATATCCTATATAAGGCTGCCGATGTTACCATCAAACCGGGATAAATGGTTCCACCAATAATACGCCCCAATGGATACCAGGCACGATCATCGAACCAATTATGGAATTTATAGAAGCCATTTTCGGCGAGGAAACGTGTCGTGCGATAATTGAAGTACGGATCAAATTCATGAATTACGCTTTCGAAGCGCAGCACAGAGAATAAACGCGTGGCGAATGCTGTCAAAGTTACAATTGAAATGGAAGAGATAGAAAAAGGAAATAAATGAAAATAACATTATAGGGAACACTAGATTCGATTATTTGGTAATCGTCAGTAAATCTCATGCAACTCTGCACATGTACACTGAACGAATTTGTAGTCATTTACTGTAAAAAATACTGTTTGGGGATTTTTCTCGGAAATTGGACACAACTGAATGAATATGAAAATAAGATATACTTATATTTTTCTTTCAAAGAGATATTTTATCATTATTTCGTTCACATTTTTAATTTTTTTCTAAATATGTTGACATTAAAATTATATTCATGCATTTTCCAATTTTCAAATTCAACAGAATATACAGGGTGAATTGAAAAAAATGCAACCAACTTCAGACTGCTGTCATTTCTAAGCCCCTCGTCCGACAGCTGTTAAAATTATTCCATTGACAGCACATTATATTTTTTACAATCCTACAAAAGCATTTTGGTGAGAATTTTCCAGAAAAAAAGTTATTCGTAATGGAATTCAAGCGTGATTTGCTTATATTTGGCTTGAACACCACAAGTGGCTATCGTTAGAGCACTCCAGCATTCAAATGTGAATAAATCTTTTGTGTCTCGTACCACCGCCCGTTATCGTGATACTGGTAGCGTAGACCGGTCGAAAACCGCGTCGCAGTGGCCGAAAATGGCTCGTGAGCTAAACATATCGCAATATTCCTTCGGCAAATATTGGATCCGTCTCTACTTAACCCATATGAACAACATATATTTAGAAAGCAACTATCAAACAAGTGCTCAAACGATTGGGTAATTTGGAACAACTCTAGTTTAGTAAAAACTCTTCGATTTTTTCGAAATTTTTTCCAGAGGTAGGTATTTTTATCCTGATCCCGGGAATCTATTTTTTTTCTTGGGGGACGGACCCGGGACCCCAGTTTTTGACCCAAAAGTCCGGGATCAAGACCGCCTGGACCCGGATCCACTTACCCGATATGGACAATATGGGTATCGATTGAAAGCTTATGGAAATACCTATCCAACAAGATTTTTTGGACCCGGATTTTTTATGAAACCCCCAAAAAGTCAAAAAAGGGCCCATTATGGGGGTCAACAAAATTGTTTCCAAATTAAAGCTGACACTCTTACCTTTCCAAAATGCTACAATTTGTGCTAATACCTTTTTCGATAACCGATATTGCCTATATCGGGTAATTGGATCCGGTCTCGTCGGGGTCTTGAACCCGGACTTTCGGGTCAAAAATCTGGGGTCCCAGGTCCGTCCCCCAAGAAAAAAATACTTTCCCGGGATCAGGGTAAAAATACCTACCTCTGGAAAAAATTTCGAAAAAATCGAAGAGTTTTTACTAAACTAGAGTTAAGCCGGTAATTTAAACCTATTCGGGAGAGAAAAAAATTATGGTTTGTTTAGAACCGGATCTTTTTTATTTAGAAAGAACAATATTTTGGAGCCCACAAAATATTTACAAAATTATAGCCGGCACTCGAAACTTTCCCAAGTGTCATATGGATCAATATAATACCTGAGTCCAGTGATGAGTCTTTGAAATCTTCAACCAGTTCAATAAAATTCTTGTTTGAATAAAAAGTCGGTGTTGAAGTTAATCCCAAAAATATAAAATTAGAAAAAAATTTCAATCCCCACCCAAGACTAGCAATATTCAAGCCACGAACGAAGGCTTACTACTTCAAAAAAGTACAAAATACTATGGTTCCCTATCCAAAGTGAACTTGATCATAAACCCCACGGAAAGTGTAAATGGAAGCTTTGTTTCGCGTATCCGGTTATGTTATATTTCATACGGCACATTTTCCATCGACCGACTGTAAGAAGTCATTAGTGGATGAGAAGTATGCATAATCTCAATTCCATTTTAAAACAAGTAAGCAAAGGCTACAGTCGAGCGGGGCCGACCGTTGAATACCCTACAACACTATAATAAACGATACAGTTTATACAGGCGAGATACTCGAAAGAATTCCACAAGATTGTGACAAATAATAAAAGAAAACCATCAGGTTTCGTTTTCTAATTTTCGAATAATAGCAACTTAAACTAATTGGCTCATTTCCAATTTATAGGTAGATGTTGCACGTAAATGGTCTTCCTAGATCTGGAACTAATATTTCCCAAAGACCTATAATCTCTCAGAAGTGGCAAAAGATTAACATTTATTGTTGGTTTTTGACTGAAACGCATCTATAGCATTTTCAGATTAAATGAAACCTTTGCAATTCAAATGAATCTTTTTGCAGCGGGAATGAAACCTTTTGCAGTGGAATTGAAACCTTTTGCAGTGGAAATGAAACCTTTTGCAGTGGAAATGAAACCTTTTGCAGCGGGAATGAAACCTTTTGCAACCGAAATGAAACCTTTTGCAACCGAAATGAAACTTTTTGCAAATCAAATGAAACTTTTCGATTTTTAGAAGGAAAAATAACAAATCTTTTTTTTTTTAGTAGGATTAAAATTAAATCAACTAATTATAACTAATATATAGTTAAAGAGGAATTTTTATTGATTATAAATATCTATGTTTTTATAACATTTTTTCTTAAAGCTTCCATAAAACACAAGTGTAGATGCAGAAAGATTGAAAAAAGTTCTTCAAGGTATTTTTTCAAAGGACCCGAATTAGGTATATTTTTATAATCTCCTCCATGGAAAGGAGGATATATTAAATTTTTCATTCGGTTTGGAACACCTCTAAATATTCGTCGTAGACCCCATAAAGTATATACAATTATGATCATAGTTGATTTAATGATTTCCACTTATCTGTCTATTGAAATCACGACTGCTCTATCTCCATAATCAATAAAGCTGCGAAGCGGAAATCCTTTATTAGGTAAGATTAATAGTATACTATAACTATAAAAAATTGTGGTAAAGCTTAATTTCACATTTCAGTCCTGGCCATACCTATAAAGGCCAAAATTTGTTTAAATTTCTCTTTTAGCGTTAGCCATTTGGAATTTAATAATATGGAAGCATTTTATATCAAATCAATAAAGAACCATTTGTTATTACAATAATTGAAAATTTAAGAAATAATATAAATAAATGTAGATATTTATAATCAATAAAAAATCCTCTTTGTCAATATATTAGTTATAAATTATTGATTTAATTTAAAAACTACTAAAAATAAAAAGGTTTTGTTATTTTTCCTTCTATAAATTTAAAAGTTTCATTTGATTTGCAAAAAGTTTCATTTCGGTTGCAAATGGTTTCATTTCGGCTGCAAAAGGTTTCATTTCCACTGCAAAAGGTTTCATTTCCACTGCAAAAGGTTTCAATTCCACTGCAAAAGGTTTCATTTCCGCTGCAAAAAGTTTCATTTGATTTGCAAAAGGTTTCATTTAATCTGAAAATGCTATATATGAGATACAGACATTTGACTATATTCTTCAACGAAATCAGCGTTAACGAAATAGTCAGAAGTGTGTCTTTCCTACATTTGTGAATTCTCCAAAAAGTCACTGGAATGGAACTTTTCGTATTTTGGCAAACTATTTCACACATTGAATATTTGGATGGCCATCCGAAACTGCTTGGCTTTTTGCAATGCCCGTAACCCCCTTTCAAATGTGCGTGAGGATCGGGCAATAATTACGACCTGCTGACAATTTTGTAGTTTTATTGGTCCATTTCAACCCATAAATATATGGCTTCTATTCTAACCCTCATCTGATCCCCATGCAAAATTTCATTAAGATCGGGCCATAAATGTGATCTGTATATGATATCCTTATATCCTAACTACTTAGTTTTGTTAGCTGTAGAAATATTACCAAATGTTTAATTCAAAATTAAAATATGCCAAAAATATGACAAAAATTGAAAAAATATGAGAAAATTTTACAAAATCAATATTTTCATCTTTAGAGAGATATTTTTATGCTATTTTTTAGACGTTTTTTCTTTCCTGTCAAGAGGCCATTCTGAATTAATGAGAACTGTCGAAATCAGTTCAGCCGTTCTCGACATATACGAGATCTTTCAAGCATATCTTCTTTGATACACATATATATCGCACATATTTTGCTATATATCCGATTTGTTGGATCTTAACATCAATGTAAAGATCAGAAGTAACCTTGTCATGTCTTTGTGATTTCGCCGGGATTTAAAATATTCGCGGTTTAATGAAAAAATTTGAATTTTTTTAACAAAAAAGATATGGTCTATTTTACCCGCTAAATGTTATCCGATGACCACCCAAATTGGTAGGCTTCTTCCCCGCCCTAAATTCTAGCTACATGCGATTGGTCTATAATTGTGACCTGTAGAGCAACTGCAAAATCAGCAAATTTTTCAGTTTTTGGTCCATTTCAACCCCTTAATATTATGCAATCCTCTCCAAAAGAAATAGGGTTCTATTCTGACCTTAACCCCACCTACATTTTAAATTTCGTGAAGATAGGCCCATAATTGCGACCTGTAGAGTGATTACAAATTAACATGGACAGACGGACGGACGGACATACATAGCTAGATCGACTCAGCTCGGCGAGATAGGAAGATCCATATATACTTTCCCATATGGGAAATCAATATTTCGTGGTGTTACATAATTTTTGGCCCAATCAAACTTATAATACCCCCAACACAAAGTGTTGTAGGGTATAAATACTTAATGACTCTTAAACTCGAACTGTTTTTCACGAAGTTTAAGGCAACTTTATGTTCTTTGTGCTGAGAGCCGGCTATGCATTCTCTCACCAACATTAAACATTTCTCCTTTCCCTCCAATCACTCCATTCGTAATTCAAGTGGCATTTGACATTTTAATTTAGTACTTACACAAAACCGCTGCTATTATTAAAATAGCCATTTTTACAAGATGTTCCTGTTTCTCCCATGTTAGAAATTTCGTCTTTGCCGCTGGATTTGCGGTTTCAACTGCCATTTTTGCAAAATTTAATGATCATACACCCACTACACGACAAAACAAAAACCGCAATAAATTATGGCAGTTATTAATTTACAATGAATGCCGTACTGCTTCTTAATTTTTTCTGCGACTCTCTTTTGTTTGTGTGTTTGCTACCAGAACCGGTGTCTGGGGTTTTATGACAAAAAGTTTTTGCGTCTTTTCTCTAATTCACAGCCACTATTTCATATATTCTATCTATTTCTTCATAATCTTTTGCAATTTTCCATAGTTTTATCACGATTTTGAGTTAAATTATACAGTTTTTCCCAGTGAATTTAAAGACACACAAGTTAATCCACACTCCCATCAAGAGAGCCGAGTCAGACTGAAGTTACTCTTAACGCCGTAATTAGAATGAAAAGGGCGACGAAGCCGAAACGCCGTTCATTTGGCTTTTGAAATCAGTAAATATTTCTTCAAAATAACGGCTAAAAATTAATCTTGTTGATTTTAGAAAAAAAAAAATAACATTAATAAAATGTAAAAAAATGTTAGATATGTAAGCATCTGCTGCTGCATTTTATGTTAATGGCTATTATTGATATCAACACATTAAAGTTAGTGAGAATGAGGATATACATACATTAGATTTCAATTCCTTTGATTAGGCTGATGAGGCTTCGTAAAACCCATACAGCAGACTTCAAATTGATATATTGAAAAAGTGATATATTATAGTATTGTATTAAATGTTGAATGGAAATAATTGATTTGCCAACTTTTTTGGATTTTTATTTCTATATATACAGGGTTGCCCATATTCGACGGACCCATCGATTGTTATGCGACTTGTGTGCGGTGTATATAAAAATGAGTAAAAACGAATAATCTCGACTACTCTAAAACAGAACTATCTGATAAAGCGAAGTTCGCAAAGGAAACCAATCTTTTTATCTATTCATTACTATGATAAACCGTTTTCTTTTTTAGCATCCAAAGAGTTGATTCAGAATGTTGAAGATAATATAGGATGATCCATTATTTCATCCATGGTAAAATTAGGAAGGTAATGCCATGTTTACGTTAGAACTGTTTGTAGGGTTAACCTACTTTGAGAGGATTTATTTGAAGTATAAGTAATACTATTGACAATTTAAATCCAAATCCAGTCGGTTAACCCATTTATATATAAACGTACTGTAAAATCATTTCAAATAAGCATACCCATCTCTGGATTTTCTGTAATTTACCTTGTCTAGTTTCACTGCATAGAAAACAGGTTCCCAACTCTGGGGGTGGATTCTTGTTCTATGAAAATATGAAATGAAAAATAGTTCCTTTATAAAATTTTTCATTTGACATTTCTTTCCTTTATAAAAGTTTTCATTTCACATTTTCATAGAACAAGAATTGAGGCCCTGATTTGCTTATGAACAATGGATTTATAAATATATATTTTGACAATAAAGTGTTGTCAAATGAATACTTTTTGAAAAAAAAGAAAAATTGTAAACATATGACTGCATGACTTTACCTTCTTAATTCTACCATGATTTCATCTGAGATTAAAGAAATCGGAACTAATGTATGTTCCCTAAATTCGGATTTTTGATTAGTCGTCGATAAAATATTTTAATGAAAAGGCTTTGGTGATTTCAAAAAGAGAATTAATGAAAAAACCGATAACATCAATAGATAAAAACATTAATCGTTATTTTTTCAAATGTTAGTCTCCCCCAATTTTTGATCTGTCCCAGAACTTTATGAAATAAAAGAATAGTTAAAAATTGCCGCCAAGAAAATAATATTTAAAAAATACATTTTAATTATTTATATTCTGTGCTTTGGTCCCACCGCCGCCGATAAAATATACAATGCGGCGACAACGCCGTCAAAAAATCGTTCCGCCTTGTTGTCTTATTGGAATGTACATCATTATTATTATTATGGATTACACTCATTCGTAAACAACAGAGTACCCGGAGTCTTTGCTTTCTGTTTATTTTTTATCGGGTATTCCTTTGTGGCCTTCATATTCGTTTCGTTGGAACGTTTTTCATTTTTGTTGCCAACGCTCGCAACTAACAACCAAACCAAGGTAGATCTACCTTGTGATGTACATTCCAATAAGACAACAAAGCGGAACAGTTTTTTTGACGGCGTTGCAGCCGCGCGTAATATTTTATCGGCGGCTGCGATAAATATAAATATATACATTTGTTTGTGTTATTTTTAATTAATTGTTAGTACTCAAAAACAACAACAAATTCAAAAAATTTCAAGTCAAAAATTGACTGGAAGTTTAGTTAATGAAGAAAAAAGAAGAAGATTTTCGCAACAGAGAAGCTGGGAATAACATTTGCTTTGTGTGTTGCATTTAAGATTTTTTTGCAAAGTTTGCAGTGGTGTTAGTGTGCATTGTGCATTGTATACCGAGGACCTAAACAGAGATTGATGCCCCTTGATCTGGATTGTAGAACAAAAAGGAACGAATAAAAGTAATGTCTTTTAATGCATCACCTTCTCCGTCGCTGGGATTAAATTCCCCATCCGGAGTTCCATTATCTACAGCAGGTCGCAGCAATTATAAAGATATATATGACCTATTGGAACGTTTGTGTAAAAGCTTTACAGGCGCCAAAAGCAATCACAGTAAGTTTTAATTAAAAAAATGTTAAAGTTATGTCAAATTAAAAAAAAAAAATATTTATGCAAAACATTGGTATTAGTGTTCTCAATAATTTTATAATTAAAAACTGCAAAAATTGGAAAATACATCTCATTGCAGTGTTTATGTTGAGGTTATCTTGTGAGTTACCGCCTAGCATCGTTCTAAATCAAGTGTCCTTGCCATTTCCTTAAAATTATTTTTATTTCTATTTTAAGGGGATATTTTACGCCATGTAACCCAGTACATATCAAATTGCCCCTCAGCTTTGGGTTCCACTATGCCTTATGATGAATCTTCATTGTTAACCAAAATAACTCAACATCTTAATGCAACGCAGGCATCTGGCACAGCTCACACTGCATCTATTTTAAGGGGATCGAGCGGTGGTTCGACAAACAATGCCGCCTTGTTCCTGAACTTAAATGAACAATTAAAATCCAGTGTAGGTATTAAATAAAATACTTAAAAAAATAAATAAAATAATTTAAATTTATTTACAGCAATTGGAAGCACGTCAGCGAAACGCTTTGCTGACATTCCTTTTATTTATGGCAGATTCGAAATACACCACGGAGAATGGTTCTTCCAGTAATCCTAGTGTGCCACCGAGCTTTTCTCGCACACGCTACAGCAACCCAAATGCTTTCTTACCACCAAATAATACCATACAAACACTAAGAGGTCACACATTTCACAAGGCACAAAATTCCACACCTTTTGTGGGGAATGGAGGGGTAATTATTTTCAATGGCGTATAACGTTGAAATTCACTTACAAATTCTCCATCTTTCAGGTATCCTCCGGCATTTATAATTCCTCTGAAATTAATCACAAAATATCAGTTTTAAGGCAATCGAATTATCAAACAGGCAATCATAGTGGTTCTGAAAACGATTCGACACCATCCTCGGTTAGTATGATACCCACAGCTGCGAGTACCCAATTTCCCCTTAGAGCCGGTAGCATTGGTCCAGACCCAAGCAAAATGTTGGAAACGCAAAGCAATATCAATGATGACATTGTACAAAATGTCATTTATGCCTTTACCGGAATTCCAGGAAAATATCTCAAGAAAGATGTTGTTTCAGGCAAATTCAAATTAGATGTCAAAGCTAAGAATCTTAATGTTGTGCAAGCGGGTATGATGTTACGTCTAGCTGAGCTAGGCTATTATCATGATCTGGTCAAGTCATATACAGACACCAAGAGTGGTTTGTGTGCCTTGGGATTAATGGGCCAGGGATTTATATCAGCTCTGAGAGCAGAATTGACAAAGTATTATGGCATGGTTGCCTTGTTACAGGAACAGCTGAATAAACAAAAACAAACGGAAAAGGGTGCACTGCATAGCATTACAAATCGGCAGGAACGATTGACTTTAATGAAAATTCTGGTGTGGTCTGTGGATCCGTTACAAAGGCTACAATTACTCGCAGCAATTGCAGAGGCATGCCAGGAGAAGAAAGGTGGTGCTTTGGCCTCTACGGTCCATGGTTTCTTGAGTAGTGGCAATCCAATGGTTAAGAACTTGGCCAAAGAACTACTGGTGGCAATATGTGGCCCTTTGTATCAAATGCTTACCAAGTGGTTATTGGAGGGTGAGATTTGTGATCCTCATGGTGAATTTTTTATTGAATGCCTTGTTGAGGTGGGTCCAGATCGCCTTTGGCACGATAAGTATCGTGTGCGTTCATCAATGTTGCCGAATTTTGTGACCACCGATATGGCTAATAAGATTTTGGTAACAGGGAAAAGCATCAATTTTCTGTGTGAAATATGTGAGGATAAACAACCGGTGAAGGGCAGAGATGAGCTAAGGCAGTGCATAGAAGAAAATGGTGGGAATATATAAATTATTATTTAAATTATTAAATATTCTAATTTATGGTTCTTTACTTTTAGCTGAGCACATTTTCTCCGCAGTGGCTGATACAAAATTGCACTCAACCATAGATTCAATTTATTTGAATACTTCAAAGCGTGTCCTTGACATTGTTATGGGTCCACATAAATTACTGGAACACTTACAGGCAATGCGCCGCTACTTGTTGCTGGGCCAGGGCGATTTTATCGGCATTTTAATGGAAAACTTAAAGTAATTATATAATTCGAGATAAATTGTTTTACCTTGTGTTTAAATTGTCCATTTGATTTTTCATATGGTAGATCTGAGCTGGATAAACCTGCCAAAGAATTGTATTCTTATGATTTGTCTTCCATCATGGATGCTGCCATACGTTCAACCAATGCCCAATATGATGATCCAGAAATCCTTAATCATTTAGATGTCAGATTAATGTCGCCCTGTGATGGTGATATTGGTTGGGACATACTCTCATTACAGTATACCGTAAGAGGTCCCCTGGCTACAATGCTCGAACCATCAATGCGCATTTATCAAGTGTTGTTTAAACCGCTCTGGCGTATGAAACATATGGAATTTGTATTATCATCAAAAATATGGAAAGATCAGAAATGCAATTCAAAGGTAAGAATAATTAAATATGTGATACCTGTATGTCGATAAGAAACTGAGAGCAAAAAAAAAAAAAAAACACTATTCCAAATGGGATTTCAAAATTTATATTTAACTAAAATCTTAAATTAACAAGCTACTAAATCAATATACAGAGATAGGACCTGAATTTGGGTTACCCCCACCATTTTTGTTTGACAACAACCTTGATGAATTTTCCGTACATTTGGGTATTATAAAATCATTTCTAAGTCAGTTGAATATTGCCAATAACTACGAAGTTGTCGAACGTGGAAATAATTTTATTCTTGGAAACGAGACTGAATTTTGTTATACTAAAATTATTTTTTCCACAAAGGCTTCGCATGATAGGATTCGTTAATATCCTAGGGCATAGTTATAAATGTATGGGGAAGACAAATGTACGAACTTTAACACCTTATTCAAAGATTAATAAGTATGTAGATATATGTGAACATCTAATCAGGAATGATCAGTCGTTGATAACAATATTAAATAGATAACATCAAAGTCGAATTCGATTCGATGATAATTTTCGATTTTTTTTTTCTGGGCAAAGACCTGATTGCAAATGAAAAGGCAAATTTTAATTTATGATTATTTTTAAAGGCAATCAATCTAAATATAATTTAAATATTTATAAAGTCGATATTAATTCTCAAAGCAGTGGCATGGTCTGACACTGTAACAGGAATACAGCAGTTCATAATTAAGAATTCACCAATAATTTTTAAGAAGTGAAACCCCATCCCCATGGCTGTTAGAAATTGGAGGTACGGAAGAAATCTATTCCCTTTATTTTACTTATTTGGTTAATAGCTTGGCTTAAGGTCATTAAAAAACTATGTTTTTATTTTTGAATTTTTCCTTTTTTATTCATCCAATATTTCGATTTCCTCCGGAAATCATCTTCAGGGATATTTTTAAAGTAAAAAGCTCGTCTATTGAGTTTAAATGTCACTATCATTTAAACTCAATAGACGAGCTTTTTACTTTAAAAATATCCCTGAAGATGATTTCCGGAGGAAATCGAAATATTGGATGAATAAAAAAGGAAAAATTCAAAAATAAAAACATAGTTTTTTAATGACCTTAAGCCAAGCTATTAACCAAATAAGTAAAATAAATATAACAGGTCAACAATATACAACAACAATATTCCCTTTATTTCTAATATCAAAGTCTTGTGGTCCAAATTATACAAAACTTATTTCAAGTAACATGAATAGTTTATAAATGAAAATGTTATATGACTTTTTATTGGCAATCTCTATACCCAATGGATAAGATTACTAATCTAATCCTTTACTTAGTGGTCATCAGTTATGCGAAATATCTTATCAGAACACTTTACCCAGGCATATCAAAGTACAATTTCGTTAGTTTCTTTTTTTTATAAAAGTAGATTTTTATTACACATTTAAAACATTCAACATTTTCTTGTTATTTGCAAATATACAACATACATTTTCCCATATATTATTATTTTTTTATTTTCTTTCATAGAAAACAACACTACAAAATCGATTACACTAAATTATTATTATTCTTATATTTATATAAAAAAGAAAGGAATTATTATAGCAGCAGGTGTTTGAATGATTGTCGCTTCAAAGGGAATTTACAACTTAGCCTTGGCAGCTTGCAACAAGGGAGCCAATTTCTGGGTCAACATAATGTTGCCGGCAATCTTGAGTTTGCCCTTCATGAAAGCGGCTTGAGGGTTCAATTTGCCCAAACCAATGTCAACCATATCTTCATCAGCAACGGTGATGGTGGTATCAACTTTGACACCTTGGGCTGGACCTTCATAGACCTTAGCGTTCTTTAAATCCAAAGCTGAAAAAAAGAAGAAAAATAAATTAATTACATTTCTCCATGTTAAGTAAATATTGTTAAGTCATGGTGTTTGTAAAACAAAATGTTAATAGTTATTAGCCGTCGATGATATTAGTGCCAAGTGTTTGCCTAGTGCTAATGTGTTGGTTCAAGAGCCAATAGAAAACGCCCTTTGTCCCCACAGAACAAAGTAGCAGTTTAAGGCAATTTCCATAATGAATTTTATTCACTTTTCATCGAATACTTACTCCATTCCTTGGCAACTTTGCCATCCTTGGTGATTTTGTAAACGAAAACACCATTGACAGCCTTAGCTTTGGCTTCATTGCCTTTGATTCCATCGATCATTTGTTGGAAGATAGCATCAGAACCGAGAGCCATTGTTGTTGTTTTTGTTTATTTGCAAACTTAAATGTAGAAGAAAAAAGAAATTCACATTAATTACAATATTGAATTCGGGTTTATTTTCACTTTTTGGTGGCCTTTAGCACTTCACGTTATTATAAATTCATTCTATATACACACAGAGATGTTGTCACCACCACCAGAAACCAAATGTAATGCTTACTCTTTGAATGGAAAATGTTAAATGCGTTTCGTGTTAATGTTTCTGCGGCGTTTATATGTTAACAGAATTCTACTCTCAGCTGGCGAGTAATGTTATCATTTTGACATTCGTTCACCAACTGTTGTGTTATCATTACTCACTTCGTTCTGTTATGTGGACATCTGTTATTTTTAACATTTCTCATGTTGAATGACTCGTTATTGGTGTGGTGTTATTAAATCGTTTAAATAAATAAACGATTATAATCAAATTATGTTAAACAAAAAGTGAATGTATTAATAACATTTTTATTCTATATTAACCTTTGCTTCTCCTGTTATAAATATCGACAACTGAAACAAAATTTATTCTACCAGCTGTCATGTAATGTAATCAACTTTGTTATCTTTGCCAGGGATTTTGTTCTGTTGTGTGGGGAAACTGTTATTTTTGACATTTGCCATGCTCATAGTCTGTTGGTGGTGTTGTTAAAATATTTCGATAATCGAATATAGATTATATGTAAATAACCATATGTTCCTCAGATAAGATTTGCTTAATTCTTGTGCACCAAATAATGTTACTAAATTTAATAGTATTTTTAACCTTTGGTTTAGGTTAAATGATAACCACCAGGCATGAATTGATATTTTGTAGTAAGGTTTTTGATTATTGTACATTAGATTGTGCCAAACAATAATTTGATCTTTTCCAGAATCTCTAAAAACTAAAAAATATTACTACTATAACCGATTTAACTTTATGATATCGAAAAAAAATGCAAAATTAATAGATTCTTGCTCTGAGAGCATTTTTTTCGATTAATTATTAAAAATTACCAGTGAATTGTTACAAATTTCTGAATGAAATAAAACTTCCTATTTGGGTTTTTTAATAAACTAGATACAAAAGTGTTATATGAATTTAAAACAATTTACAAGCTCTCAATAAAAGCACTGTCAAGGCAAGAAAAGTGGCTTAAATTGTCGAAATAAAATGGCTTACATCTTCGGGATGTGCCTCAAAAACGTGGACGAACTTGGCCTGTCTATAAAAAATTGTGCTTTATATTTCAATGCAACAACTTTAGTTTAGAAAAAAATCTCGGTTTTTTTTTGTGATTTTTAACAGAGTTAGATATTCGGTAAAAACTTGTCGATTTTTTCGAAATTTTTTGCAGAGGTAGGTATTTTTACACCGATTGAATGCATTTTTTATTTTTTTCTTGGGGGACGGACCCGGGATCCCAGATTTTTAACCCGAAAGACCGGGTTCAAAACCCCGACTAGACCCGGATCCAATTACCCGATAGACAATATAGGTATCGTTGAAAATGAAATTTTTTTATGAAATTTTTTATAAAACCCCCAAAAAATCAAAAAAGGGCCCATTATGGGGGTCAAGCAAAAAAATTGAAGAGTTTTTACTAAACTAGAGTTAAGCCGGTATTTGTACCCTGATTCCAGCTAATGAAAATATCTGTCCAACAAGTGGGCACAAATAAATAATAGATTTTTTTTAAAAATCCTCCAGTACTCTGGGGGATCACCTTTAAAAAAATGTACAATATGTGATTTTATCTCTCCTGGATCCAGAGATATGGGGTTTTGAACTCGAACAACCCGATTCTGTGCATTACATTGATAATTTGTTTTCATTGGCTTTCAACCCTTGGACCCAGACTTTCGAGTCAAAAATCCTTTCTTGTTTCAGACACTTTACAAAATATGAGATCTAAAAAAACCAGATTGTCGGTCACGACTCTTCCCATATTTTCGTAACGTGTATCAATATTCCTTTAATACATTTTCACTTCATTAAGCCAATCATATTTTAATTGTTTGCCATCCCTTCTCTGTTTCGCCCTCTCTAACAGCCCCTGCGACCAATGGCAGCCGAGTTGGATAAGGTCCTTTATCGTCTACATCTGTTCACATCCGAAATGATACATTTTATCCATCAAATGCAATATTATATACTCTTCGAAGTTATCGAGTGCTCCTGGGCTGAGCTTCAAGAAAAAGTGCAAAATGCCAAGGCCTTGGACGACATACTCAATGCTCATGATGAATTTTTGACCACCATCAAATGTGGAGCATTTTTAGATTCGAATTCTGGTGATCTATGTCACAATATGGAAACCGTGTACGAGGCCATTGTGCGTCTGGAAGTGTGGCAAGATAAATTCTATGAGCTATGCTTTCGTGAATTGAATTCGCGCAAAGAATTCGATAAAGATGTACTGGAGTCAGAGAAATTGGGTAAATTTGGTGTAACGGCTGAAAAGAAATTGGAGCGAGATCAAGAACATAAAATATTCGAACAAACTCTTAGCAGTTATCACAAATCATTGGAGAATATTGGTGGTGATTATGAGGCGGCAGTACGTTGCTTTTTGCTGGCCCTCAATTCGAATAATGATCATAATTTGCAATTGTTTGGCATACGTTTGGATTTCAACGAGTACTATAAGAAGCGAGATCAACGTCTGGGTGTACCCTTGACATTTGAACACATGCGTATGAGTAATATTTATTTTAATAACAGTAAAAGCCTATTGGGTAGTCGCATAAATTGACAGCACCACCAGGAACAGCAGGAGAACGAGAAGAAGAATTTCGATGATGATGATGATAATGCCCAGGATACGGCTGCCAACATTTTGCCTTCATCTATCGTTGATAATAATAACGATAGCAATTTCACCTTTCAACGATCCTCGTCAACGGAACATGGTGCACATTTATTAAATTCTTGTTGTCTTCACAATGGAAAGAAGAGGGGCGATAAAGACAACTTAACCGAGGAAACCCAATTACTTAAATTTCTTCTCGAAAGATATCGCCATTTATGTAGTAGTGACACTAGCTTTAAGACTCAGCCTTATGAACAAATTACCTGCTTGCAAAGAAAAGAGAATACAAAACAATATGCTTATGCCGCCAATAACAGAGATGATGATGGTGATACTGGTGCAGATACTTATAGTAACGATAACGATGGTAATATGAAACGTCCTTTGATTTTAAATGAAAATCGATTTTATGAGCCTAGAAAAGAAATGATTTTACAAACATGTTGTCGTATATTGTAAAACCAGAGCAAAGAAACAAAAAATGTAAGGAAGAAGACAAAAAAAAAAAAAGAATAAAATAACTAAAATGTTTGGAATCTCTTAAAATTAAATTAAAGAAGGATTAATTATTGGCTATAACATGTTAATTTAGCATTGTTTTCCCATTAGTTCCATTATTTATTTGAAAAAAAGAAAGGAATCAACAAGTATTTGCATTTTTGGTATTCGGGCCTTTGTTCCGAAATTGATTCGCAACCATTTCTTTAAAATCAAAAATATTTAATTATCATTTGCCTTGATACTTTTGTATTGTATTATTAATGTCTTGTTGGTAATTATTTTAACGAACAGGTTGTATTAAATTCAATTGTGTTTTTTCCTATATTCAAATAAAATGCAGAGTGAAGTTTAGTATTTCCATTCGAAAGACAAATTGGAATATTTATATTAGAATAAAAACTTCCCAATAGTACCAGGAATTTTCTGAATATCATTTAATAATCTTTCTCTCCCCCTCATTCTGGCCCATGGTATCGCACGTACAAGACCTAATTGTCTCAAATAAAAAATATAAAGTATTTTGAATTAGATTATACCTTTCCAAGGTTTAGTGCCAATTTTTTGAGAAGTATTTTTAGATTATATTGCTAACTTTCTGAAAATCAATTATTTTTCTCTTACCTTCTCCCCTTTCTCTCTATTTGGTTAAAGAATCTTTCAATTTGAAAACATTTCTCACCATCGGGGTGTATTTCAAATAAAAATCTTCTTTTAACAACATTTTCAAATGCTGTTAATTTTTTTATACTATTTTCTGAAAGAAAATTATTTTCTTTTTCCCACTTTCCCATTGTCCTTTTTAGGAAACCTTATTTTAATCAATTTTTTGAATTTTTTTAGATTGCTATCGTATAAATTGTCTATTTTGTGAAAATTAATTATCTTCTCTCTCCCTCTCTTGGGTTATAGAACCTTTCAATTTGAAAACAATTCTCCCCCTAACGTTTAGCAAGACCGGTCAGTGAGTCGCAATTTTATGTTCTCCCAATTTTGTTACTCTCTGAGTACATAGCTTTTCAATGGATCTAATTGAGATAATAACAGTTGCCTACTTTTGCCTGGTCTTGCTTTAATGTTTTTACATGAATATCTTTAAAGAACATTTTATACAATGTTTTAAACTATTTTCAAAAAAAGAAAAAACACTGTAATAATCTACATGCCTGATTTGCATTGTATTTTATTCTCTATATAATTATTTAAATCACTCAAATTACCCCTTGCCCACCTTTTAGTTTTAATAATTGTTTGAAAAAATAATAATAATTTTGAAATATATAAAATATCTTCTAAATATGCATACTTTTTGCGTTTATTCTACACTAGATTAGGAATAAATCTGAATTAATTTTACTTAATTTAGTTACGTCCTTTTTGTATAATGTAAAACAAAATTATATTTTCATATGGCACAATTGTTGTTTGTTATTAATAATTTTTTTGTAATTTAAACCCCAATTTAAAAAAAGTATTATTAATGAATATTACTAATAAGTATCATTGTTTGTTTCGAAACAATGTGCTCAATAACAATTTATTTTGAAATGGCAATAAAAATACAAAATTTATTTAAAACAATAGAAACATTTTTTTTGTTTGAAAAATTCAATTCGTCATGGAAGTCTTTTAGAAGAAGTACAATTAAAAAAGAGAATGGAAAAGGAAAAGTCTGTTGTTTGCACAGATTGGGCAGCACCATCGCACTCAGCACGCGCCATCCAAGAATGGTTACAAAATGAGGTTCCTCGCTTGGACTTTTGTGTCTGGAGTATTTAGGAAAGCCAAGTTGGCACTAAAAAATACCAAAGTGTCGATCACCTCAAGCAAGCGCTTCGCCGGGAATGGGCCAAAATACCGCAGAGCAACATTTGGGCAGCGTGTGACGTGGTTTCATTGGGCGTTTGAGGACCATAATTCGTGGTAAAGGTGATTAATTTGAACAAATCTAAACCTATTCTAAAATTTGTTGTTATTTCCGAAATTTTTTGCTTTCATTCAATAACATTAAAAAAATATGTAAAAAGAAGTAAGCAAAGGCTACAGTCGAGCGGGGCCGACCGTAGAATACCCTACAACAATATAATAAACGATACAGTTTATATAGGCGATATACTCGAAAGAATTCCACAATATATTGTGACAAATAATAAAAGAAAACCATCAGGTTTCGTTCTCTAATTTTCGAATAATAGCAACTTAAACTAATTTGCTCATTTTCAATTTATTGGTAGATGTTGCACGTAAATGGTCTTCCTAGATCTGGAACCAGTATTTCCCAAAGACCTATAATCTCTCAGAAGTGGCAAAAGATTAACATTTATTATTGGTTTTTGACTGAAACGCATCTATATGAGATACAGCTATTTGACTATATTCTTCAACGAAATCAGCGTTAACGAAATAGTCAGAAGTGCGTCTTTCCTGTATTTGTGAATTCTCCAAAAAGTCACTGGAATGGAAATTTTCGTATTTTGTCTACAAAAGTTGGCAAACTATTTCACACATTGAATATTTTTGGATGGCCATCCAAAACTGCTTGGCTTTTGCAATGTCCGGTAACCCCCATTCAAATGTGCGTGAGGATCGGGCGATAATTACGACCTGCTGACAATTTTGCAGTTTTTTGATCCATTTCAACCCCGATCATCTCCAAAAAGAGTAGGCTACAATTCTGACCCTCATCTTATCCCCATGCGAAATTTCGTAAGGATCGGGCCATAAATGCGATCTATATATGATATCCTGAAATACTAACTACTTAGTTTTGTTAGTTGTATAAATATTACCGAATGTTTAATTCAAAATGAAAATATGCCAAAAATATGACAAAATTGAAAAAATATGAGAAAATTTTACAAAATCAATATTTTCATCTTTAGAGAGATATTTTTATGCGATTTTTTTAGACGTTTTTTCTTTCCTGCCAAGAGGCCATTCTGAATTAATGAGAACTGTCGAAATCAGTTCAGCCGTTCTCGACATATAAGAGATTTTTCAAGCATATCTTCTTTGATAGACATATATATCGCACATATTTTGCTATATATCCGATTTGATGGATTTTAACATCAATGTAAAGATCAGAAGTAACCTTGTCATGGCTTTGTGATTTCGCCAGGATTTAAAATATTCGCGGTTTAATGAAAATTTTTGAATTTGTTCAACACAAAATATATGGTCTATTTTACCCGCTAAATATTATCCGATGACCACCCAAATTGGTAGGCTTCTTCCCCGCCCTAAACTCTAGCTACATGCGAAATTGCGACCTGTATAGCTTCTGCAAAATCCGAAATTTTTTCAGTATTTGGTCCATTTCAACCCCTAAATATTATGCGATCATCTCCAAAAGAAATAGGGTTCTATTCTGACCTTAACCCCACCTCCATTTTCAATTTCGTGAGGATCGGGCCATAATTGCGACCTGTAGCGTGATTACAAATTAACATGGACAGACGGACAGACGGACGGACGGACATACATAGCTAGATCGACTCAGCTCGGCGAGCTAGGAAGATCCATATATACTTTCCTATATGGGAATCCAATATTTCGAGGTGTTACATAAATTCTGGCCCAATCAAACTTATAATACCCCCAACACATAGTGTTGTAGGGTATAAATATGGCGTTTGACTTTGTTGCAGTTTTTTTTTATCTCACTCTTTATATGTGATTGTGGAGTTTATGAATCGGAGGAATATTTTGGTATATTTGGTATATTTGATCCATGAATTGTGGCATTCAGTCTAGTGCGGAATCAGTTGTTCTACATTCTTGACGGGACTTAGGTTAGGTTAAAGGACGAGCGGTTGCCGTTCTGTACATTGTGTTCATTCTAAATGAAAAAAGAAAAATTGGTGGAAAAAGTGAAGATATTATTGATAGGAAATAGAGTTATAAGGTAAAAACCTCAACCATTTGGAACGAATTTGGAAACTTTCAAAAAAAAAAATAAAATCCTTTAAAAATTCTGTTAAAATCTTAAAAATACCGAATACGGCGACGTGGACCTGCATAAGCGACATTTGTCATACACCATTACATTAACAATATTCAAATGCGAAACTTGAATAAAAAAATTCGGTAAACAATGTAGAATAATGTTAATCATCAAAATACCGAATATAGGAAGGTACCCTTATATGGGGGCTGTACGAAGACGTGGACCTGCACAGACAATTGTCTGTCATAGGCTGTAGTATCTATTACGAACTTCAAATACTAAATTTGAAACAATTCCGGTGAATAATGTCGCTAAAATCATCAAAATACCAAAAATAGGGAGGTGCCATTAAAGGGGGGCTATACCTAAACGTGGACCATTTTCAATACCAAAAGTCCTGCAGACATAATATACATCTGAGTAAAATTTTATCGACTACAACTTCATTTCGTTCCGAAGCTAGAGTGATATCAACAGACGAGCGGACATCGCTGAATTGACATAGAATTTTTGCTGATCAAGAATATATATACTTTGTGGGGTCTAAAATGTATATTTCGAGGTGTTACAAACGGAATGACAAACTTAATATAGCCTGCATACTATGGTGAAGGGTATAAAAATATGTAACCCTTACAAAAAATATATCTTCTTGATTTTGCGCCTCGAACTTCCATTCCAAAAAAAAAAAAAAAAAAGAAAACAGTGTGGAGCCAGTTTATATTTTAAATGTATAGTTTTTATTTTGTTCTTTTCTATGAATCTCAAAAATCTTTTGCAATAACGTAATATGTGTTATTATGGAATAATTAAATTTTATGAACTGTTTGTTAATAAATATTGGTCAAAATAACATATACGATTTGTATCAAAACAAAAGAAACCAAATGGCAGACATTACATATTGTATTGTTGGTCACTTGGGTTATGCTGTGGCATTGTCATAAATTAATGGATACAATCACTTAAATACAATCATCCAAAATTATAATCATTTTCAAAACTTTTTTTATCAGGAGTCTTATTATTTTAATTTATGCTTTTGTAAATGTTTCAAGATTGTAGGTTTCCATTATGCCATGCGAAGACAATTTGTGTTCCAAAAAATGTTTTGAAACACTTAATCGAAAGTATTAATGAGTGAAATTATCGAATAAGCAAATTATTTGCAGATGTAAATATTTGATCGTAATATGTCAACAAATTTGAATCTCAAGTCATATATATTTTTTTAATAATCAATTAAAACATTAGTTTCGGCTTAAAATAAACAATACAAATGTAGATAAGTTAGTAAATAAGTAGTTATTTTTTATAATTTAGTTAGAAATTATGGACGTTTTAAGACATTTGACACACTGTGCAATATGAACACACTATTTACTAATTGCTAGTAATGGAGAGTGAAATATGAAATTCACTCTGAGAGAACTACTTGGTATAAAAAGTACGGAGAGGAAAAACTTGTAGAAATGTCAAAATTGATCAAAGCCAATCAGAAGCTCACAGTCATGTTACTATTTTAAATTTATCAAAATTGTCTGATAAAACGTTTTTTTGAAAGCGTAATCAGTTTTCTTGTATTTTCTTAAATTTGCCCACAACTACTTTAACGGTAGGCAAAGCCTTCATCGAATTTCGAGGATAAAAGTTGAGATGCGACAAGATTGAGCTGAAAATAACCCGATGGTGTCATACGCTGATGATTGTTCCATTATTGTAACAGGCGTGAACATTGACGAAGTAAGTGCTTAGATATCCGACAACTTAGACACCATTATTAATTTTCTACGGGAGTGTAATCTCACATTATCTCCTACAAAGTCATCACTGTCGCTATTCACTTTCTGGACTAGACAAGTAAATCGGGAATTGGACATATTCATCGAAGACAGGCGCGTATCCACAATCATAAAACAAGTTAACTAGTATCAGTCGGTTTAGTCGACAGATGTATATCCTCAGCCAATATTCAATATTCGATTATAATAAATTTTGAGTTGTTGTGATTTTTCAACTCTCTATGGAGTGGGTTCCGGCGGAATGGGTTAATATTGTCCATTTCATAGTGGACCTAAATAAATATGATATAAATATTGCGACGTGCCAGCTTATGAGATAATTTTTGAAAAATGTTAAAAGTGTGCGCGATTTACCACATATAGTCGACCGAAGTATTCCATTTTCATACCTCATCTAATACAGATAAAGATTTTATGCGAAATCATAAATTCCATATTCATCTCAGATTTCTGACTAAGGGAAATATTTAGATATAACAAATTGTATAGAATCGCCGACTTGTTTCACAAATTATGACAGATATAAATATGGGAAATTGTGACGATTTGTGTTGTGGTACCAGAACGGGTTGGCAGATATCTGCTTCTTTACAACAGATTTTGCGTGGTGGTACCAGAACGGGTTGGCAGATATCTGCTTCTTTACAACAGATTTTCCGTTAGCAAAAATGCATGGATGTGTGAAATTCGAAGAGAGTTGAATGCTTATTTCGCTTTCTTTGACCGTTTTGTTGTTCAAAATCTTGAACCCTATGTGGGGAAGTATCAGTAAATGATCCGATCTCTACCATCTTTGTAATAGATTTTTCGTTGATGGAAATATTTATATGTATCAAGTCTGAATGGAATCGAATGTTAATTTCGCATTTTATGAATTTTAAGGATATTCAAAATTTTTACACTTTGAGGGGGAGGTACCAGAAGGAGTGGGCCGATATATCCCATCTTCACAGCAGATCTTATGTTAGTAGAAATAATGAGAACCTGATGCTTATTTTGGATTTAATAATCGTTTCGGTTATTCGAAACTTTGACCCTTTGTGGAGGAGGTAACAGAAGAAATGGTCCGATCTCTACCATCTTTATAACAGATGTTGTGTTGATAAAAATTTTGAGATTTGCCAAGTCTGAAAGGAATCGGATGCTAATTTCGCGTCTTATGAGCTTCATAGATATTCAAAATTGTTGGCCCTATGTGGGGGAGGTACCAAAAAGAGTGGACAGATATATTTCATCTTCACAGCAGATTTGGGCTAATAAAAATATTGTGATGTGTGTAATTTGAAGACAGTCGAACTCTTGCATCACATTTTATAAGAGTTATAATTATTCAAAATGTTGACCCTTGTGGGGGAGGTATTTGATGGAGTGGACCGATATTGTCCATTTTCGCAGGTGACCTAGAACTGATGCAAATATTAGGATTTGCAAAGTTGGAGCAAAATCGGATTATCCTTTCTCTCTCTGTGCAGTAAAATATATTTTTTGAAAATTTCGATCTTTCGTGCGGGAGGTACAAGTTTGACAAAAATATTGCGATGTACCAAGTTTGGATCAAATTACTCCCTTCGAGAGTTATAGTGCGCACCTGCCAGCCAGACAGACGGACGGACATCGCTAGATCGACTCCAAATGGCCTGAAACGGATTTGTTTCAAAGAGACCTAGGGTCTAAAAACCGTTATTTCGATGAGGCACGTTTTGGCCTTATCAAATGATATATACCCTCTCTCTAGCCATATGGCTGAGGGTATAAAAATACTTGGGGTAAGGTTTATGCAGGCTTTGCCAGGACGAGGTAGAAACTGAGACGGTGGAGCACTTTCTCTGCCGCTGTCCAACTCTTATAGGAGCGAGACAGAGGCTACTGGGTAAGCAAATTCTGCCAGACTTGTCCTCCCTCTTCGACATCGAGCCAGCAGTCATTCCTCAATTAGCCAGAAGACTAAAATGGCTGAGGACGACACGCTGATACACCATGAATGCAAACCTACTAACTTCTCTACTCTTTATTAAAATTCTCAATTCTTCACTATCCGCTATTCATTTCCTTTCTCTTCCCTCTATTCTATCCTCCTATCTTCTTAAATTAGGATGAACACAATGGACTCAATAGGTCTCCGAGTGGAGTGGTTGTTTATACAACCGCGCATCCTTTAACCTAACCTAGCCTAATGTTTATGCAATCATGGCGTCGGGTTCTGGCGTTGATGATATATGTGTATGGTGAACATCTATCTCGCGGAGCTTGCCGCCTACTTCCACGCGAGGAAACGCCATATGGTTTAGGTTATAAAATGTTCTCAAAATACCACTTGATGTTCTCGCGAAAGCATTAAGAAAAATCTGAAAGGGAAAGGGATTTGGTGATGGCTCTTTCCGAAACCATGGTATTCCCTGCCTTATGCCCTGGTAGGTAAACAATATCGTCTATCTCCACTAATAAACAAAAGTTGTTTTTATAAAAACAACAATAATAGGATTAGGCCTAGCTAGTTTGCAAAACAATACAACTATGATATCCCGAACAAGAATGCCAACAGTGTTCTATGAAGAACGATCTTCAATTTCATGTTGTACAGTGTGATTGATTTGTTACTGAATGCTAGTTGTTAGTATTTCTATTTCAATTAAATTAAAATAAATTTTAAGTATGTCAAATTGAGTTGATCATACCGTATGTATTGGTGTTGTGTAGAACGTGTGTGTGTTTGTGTCTTTGTGTTTATAGTATGTTGAGAAATATTATTGATTATTTAATATATATAAACTATACATTATATGATTATATATAAAATATTATGATTTTGTTTATTTTTTTTTTAATTAGATTAATTGGTTTATTTATTTATTTCTTTTTTTTGTTTTTCTTTTGCTTACTACAAACTAATTTCTGTATGTATGTATATTAGATTCTTGTAAATAATTGTTCATAGATTTCTTTTATCGTACACATAATGTTATTTATATTTGTTTCCTTTTTTTTTTGTTTTAAATTTGCTTGATGATCTTTTTACAAATAAGTATATTTTTTTATAACAAAAATTGCCAACAATTATTATTATTTTTCTTTTAGAAAAATTTAAAAAGAACGGATTCAAAATCAGAGCTGTAGTTTCATTTGTAATATAATATGTGTATTTGTTTTTTTATAAATATTTTGTTCAATACTAATAAAAATAATAAAAATTATGTTAAATAATTGCATTTGTTTAAACCAAAAGAAGAAAAGTAGTAATGGAATATGTGAAAACGCTCGAAATAACACGAGTTTAAAAAATCTCTTTACTGGGTGTTGAAATGCCCAGGGCTTCTTCATAGTCATTGGCAGCCACCACAGAGGATTTGTGGTGATGATGGCTAGACTTTTTCTTATCCTTATGATGGTGATGATGATGATCTTTCTCCTTTTTGTCCTTTTTCTTTTTCATGGAGGTAGTCTTTGAAGAAGATTCTAAAAGTTCATTGTCGTTATTTTGTTGAACGTTTTTCAATTCCTTGGCTGATGTAGACGACGTTGATTGTGATTTGTGGCTATGTGACTTATGATGTTTCTTACGTTTCTCCTGCGCGGTGTCCAATGTGGAGAGAATCGTCGAAGCTTCGGTATTGGAGGTGGGATGGACTAAGGTATTGGAAATGTTAATGGGTGCTTGTAACTCTTCCAAAAATGTACCCAAGAGATTGGCACTGTTCACATCATTGTTATTAGTAGCTGTTGTTGCTGTGGACTTCTTGGACTTTTTGTGTGACGATTTGTGTTTTTCTTTTTCATTCTCCTTATTCTTGTCCTTGTCTTTCTTCTTTTCTTTTTTATGGGTTGTCGACTGAGAAGTTGATCTTGATTTCTTCTCTTTTTCAAATAGTTCAGGTTCGGTGGAATCCTTTTTATTGCTGCGATATTTCGGCTCCTCCAAATCGGGACTGAAAAAAAAAATAAGAAAAAAATGTTGATTTCATACAAGTTACGTATTTTGAGAGTAATATTAAAAAATTTATAGCAATCTCCTAACCGGAAAAAACCTAAAATTAAAAAAAAATAATTGGGATGGTTGCTATTCGTGAAGCAGCTACGCATAGTTTGCCCTGAGGCCGCATAGCTGACCACAGACAGACCAATCGCGTTATAAAGTTCAACAGGGTCTCATTTTGTCGCCGAAAGCTTTGGCTTGCGCGGGGTAATTCGACGATGTGAGAGACGTTGATTTACCGGCAAATATTTTTTGATTCCTCGCGTGGAAGTAGGCGGCAAGCTCAATGAGATAGGTGTTCGACCTTACACATATATCATCAACACCACGACCCGACGACATGATCGGATAATCATCCGCATACGTTACAACATCTATGTCGTCTGGAGGGCGAGGAATTCTGGAAAGGTAGAGGTTAAACAGTTTCGGAGATATCACCTTATCTTGGGTGACTCCCTGTTTCACTCTTCGAGGTTTGGACTTCTTGTTCGGGAAATCCACGTACGACTGGCGTCTAAACATCTTTCAAACTTATTGCCGGAGGTTAGTTCTCTCTACGTCCTTAGTGTGGCGTGGTTGACTATATCAAACGCCTTTGATAGGTCAAGGCAACACTCTTCTATGACACGACTTTAACCCTCGACTGATATGTGTGGATATGACGTGCGATGCTATGTTGTGGACGGAATCCGTGCTGATGGTTGGCAACTGGATAGCTTTTTCTAATGCTGAGGAGGAGTAAAGCCTCAATGGGTCTGAATGACTCACTTTGGTGGCATCATTTGTCTGACTTTAGTAGTGGGACCACCTGTCCCATTTTCCAGACTTCGGGAACGATGTGGGCGGCTAGCAACACGTCTCGGCCAAATACCTTGGATGACTTAGCCTTCGGATGACATTTGCAATTTCACCCATCGTAAATTCTTGTGGCGCCTCCTCGGCGGAAAAAAATTTGACTGACAAACTGTCGGTTAAAATATTCTGTGCACCTCTTTGGATTATCCCAGAGTGTGACTCGAGAGTGTCTTAACCGTTACCCACACCTTCAGATAGTCAAACCACTTCTTCTTCTTCTTCTAATAATCGGTTGACGTCACTGATACTGGGATCAGTATGGTTGGAACGACGGAGATTGTCACGCTCATTTGCTAGTCCCGTTGTTGGGGAATTTGGTCTTATTTCGACCAACAGGTATATAGCGAGCGGCTACAGCTTTAATTATGTCTCGGAAAATTCTTTCGTGCTAACCGAAGATAAAAAAATTTCGGCAGTTCTCTGAAGCAAAGGTTGTTGATCACTCTAAATTCTGACCAGTGAGTTTACCGGGGTTAAGGAAAGTGGGGCGCTCAAATAAACGAACCCCGGAATAGAGTATTAGACTCAAGTTAAAGGTTAATGGACAGACTCACAGATTGTTCTTCAAAGGTGAGAAATTGACGGTGCCGGTTTTGAAGCTGAAATAAACATATATGCAGTCCCTGAAGATGAGAGACACAACAAAACTTTTAAGCATCAATTTTGTCAGTGTCCCATGCGTATGCTCAAATACTAATTCAATTTTTTTATATCTCTCTTCTTTAGTTCTACAAGAGCCCTAAAAGGACCTCAAAAAATATTTCACAAAATACCTATCTACTTTTTATTAAGACTTGTTTAACTACTTACATATCCAATTCAATGTCTAAAGCTCTATGAGGATCGTCGGAATCAAATTTTCCATCTTTATCATCACCATCGGATAGAGAAACTCCTTCGGGCATATCCAGAGTGGTATTGACAAAATGCATGGGTTTGGGATCTGTAAAAATCAAAAATAACGTCAACATATGCCAACAAATTTGCATCCAATGACTATTTTATTACTGACCATCTTCCGATTCAGACGTTGAATTGTATGTAGGTTTTGATTTTGATTTTTTGCTCTTTTTTGATTTTTTATGTTTTTTCTTTTCCTTGCTGCTGGCCTTCTCTTGTAGCAGATATTGATCTGAACGTTTGGTGGCTGTTAAACAAAAAACAATGACATTAAAAAACCTGAAAGATTCCTTATAAATGTATGTTCTTACTTCCAACTTTCAATGGAATGTCTAGCGATAGTTCCGCTATGGGTATATCATCAATATTATCATATTGATCGGCATTATGTTGTGAGTTATTGCTGCTCAATGAACGGGCATGCGAAGAATCCACATCCGGCGTGGATGGGGATGATTTCAAATAGTGAGGATTATTCGATTGTTCAATCATACGTTGCATGCGTTGACGTTCAATTTGTTCAGGTGTCAATTCATCGCTAGGTCTTCGTTTTCCACCCTCTTCCAATTGGGCCGAAGAACTAATAAAAAGTTCTTCTTTTTCATCATGCGACGATTCATCTGTATCATCTTCGGGTGGAGGATTAATCCATTCATCTAAATCAAGGCCATCGGGTAGAGGAACTTTACGTTGAGCTTTGGGAGCCACAGGTATAAGATCACCGGCAAATAGTAAAGCCATTTCTTGGACAATTTCAATTGCCAATGTGGGTATGGCTGAGATTCTCCGATGCGATTCGGTAGCTGTATCATCCGAACCAATAAAATCGACCTGATGATTGCAGGATGCATTGCCATCATCGCCATCATTAAATTGAGCTCTTAACATTTCGATGAGAATGCAAGCTGAATTGGCACGTTCTTGAACTTCAATATCATCGGAACTGTTAAAATCTTGCAATTTTTCCAAAACATGGTTACAAAGCTAAAGGGGAAAAATATTGAAAATCATAATTTTCAAAAACGTATTGCGAATCTCAAAAACCTTACCCTAACTAATCCTTCGGGATCTTCATTTTCTAGGCAAGTTGTGGCCAAACGTGTAAAGAGCTTAACAACATTTTGTACAAACACACTTTGTATGTGTCCCGGCACTTGACGTGGTCTTAATAGAATATTTAGAGTATGCTCGGCATCCTCCAATTCACTGTGAAGCAGAAATAATGAATGAATTTTTCCTTTAAAAAACATTTCGGGTTTTTCTTACTTGGAAAATTCGCCAACAATCCAGGCGGCTGCATATAAAACTTCATACATCGAATTACTTTGAGAGGAAATGGAAAATGTATCCAATAGATTGGTCATTTCTTTTACAGCAAATTGTCGAACAACAGGCACTCTAATAGCAACATCTAATAATTGTTCGGCAATCAAACGCCCTGAAATGAAGAAAGATTATATAAAATTAAAGCTAATGATGATCATAAAAGTACATCATAAGTATATGGATGAATCGCAAGCAAGCTCACTGCCTAATAATAAGAACATGTATACTGCTGCAGCCGCTCGCTATATACCAGCTGGTCGAATACCCGAAGTAAGACCAAATTTCCCAGCAGAGGCAGCGGGATTAGCGAATGAGCGTGATGAGCTCCGACGTACCAACCCTACTGATCCCAGAGTCAGTGAACTGACAGTGGGCGAGGCGAAGAGTACTACGTCGTATAAGAGCTCTTCCCGCCGAGGATGTACCTCCACAGTTTACGATGGGTGATGTTGCGAATGTCATCCGAAACGCTAAGTCATCTAAAGCGTTGGGCCCGGACGGAATATCAATGGTAATGTTGAAGCAACTGGATACGCCGGGAGTTGAGTATTTAACCAAAGTCCTTAACTTGTCGTTAGCCACCCACATAGTTCCCGAAGCCTGGAAAATGGGCAGGGTGGTCCCGCTACTGAAGCCTGGCAAGGATGCCAGCAAAGGCGAATCATACAGGCCAATTTCGCTTTTGTCGCCAGTAGCAAAGACTCTCGAGGCCTTACTCCTCCCCAGTATCAGAGGAAGCTATTCAGTTGCTAACCATCAACACGGTTTCCGTCCACTACATAGCACTACAACAGCATTGCACGCCATATCCACACATATCAGTCGAGGACTCAACCAGAACAGGCCGTGCCACAGAACAGTAGTGGTGGCTCTCAACCTATCAAAGGCCTTTGATACGGTCAACCATGCCACGCTGTTCGAGGACGTTGAGAACACCACCCTCCGGCCAAGTTTGAAACGTTGGATAGTCAACTATATGTGTGGACGCCAGTCGTACGTGGAATTCCGGAATAAGAAGTCCAAGCCTCGTAGAGTGAAACAGGGAGTTCCCCAAGGTGGGGTGATATCTCCGGAACTGTTTAACCTCTACCTTTCCGGAATTCCGCGCCCTCCAGACGGCATCGAGATCGTAACTTATGCGGATGGTTGTACGATCATGGCGTCGGGTCCTGTAGTTGATGACATATGTGTCAGGGTGAATAATTATCTCGCAGAGCTTGCCGCCTTCTTCCACGCGAGGAATATGAAAATATCCGCCACTAAATCGACGGCCACACTATTTACCACATGGACTGCGGAGATGAGAACACAGCTGAATGTGCAGGTCGAGGGGCATATAATTCCGACCACCAACTACCCCAAAATTCTTGGGGTCACATTCGATAGCATGTTCAAGTCTTCCGCGCAAGCCACAGCTATTTGCGATAAAATGAAAAGTAGGAACAAGGTCCTCAAGGCGCTAGCCGGCAGCACTTGGGGTGCGGATAAAGAAACCTTGTTGACCTCTTATAAAGCGATAGGTCGGTCTGTGGTTAGCTATGCGGCTCCAGTGTGGTCGGCGAATACAAGTGCAACGCAGTGGAAATGTATTCAGACCTGCCAGAATGCCGCCCTGAGAACTGCAACAGGGTGCCTCCTCATGACGCCTGTGGACCACTTACATGAGGAGACGAAGGTTCTTCCCTTACGTCAGCATAATCATATGCTTTCGTTGCAGTACCTGCTTGGGTGTTATCGCGGGAGTCACCCTAACCACCATATGGTGGATAGAACTCCCCCACCCAGGCGTGTCAGGAAGGACCTGCACGATCTAGAGAGAGAGGTCCAGCGATATAAGAGAGAGCCTCTAGATCATGAAGCCTATCAAGCAGGTCTGAATAGCATTCATACTGATGCAGTCGCAGAGGTAGTCAATAATTACAGTGTGAATGCCATACTCGGAGTCCACCCCCCATCCATTGCAGCTGAAGAACGTCGGCTGCCTAGGCAAACCAGGGTAGTTTTGGCTCAACTACGTTCAGGATGGTGCAGCCGTCTCAATTCGTATTGGGCACGAATTGATGAGGATGTGCGGAACGCCTGCCCAGCGTGTGATACAGGCCCGCACAACACGCTGCATTTGTTTAATTGTCCTGCCAAGCCTACCCAACTCCGTCCAGAGGATCTATGGCTACAGCCCATAAAGGTAGCAGAATTCCTAAACCTGGACATTGAGGAAGAACCAGATTAGTCAAAAAAAAAAAAAAAAACAACAGAACGTGTAAAACTGCTACAACAACAACAATAATAAGAATTGCAGGATATATAACAATATAACAGCAACTTCTTGAACGTAATTGCGTCAAGACTACTCTGGCTCTGGCTTTCTCATGAAAACGTTATAATTTTTAGTCTCCATTATGATAGTATCCCCATATTTTTAAAATAGTATTCTAGACAGTATTAAGACATTCTACTTACCATGTTTTGAACCCGCCTCCAATTGTATCAACTCGACCAGCACCGTTAAATACCATTCAAAATTGGTAACATACAGATATGAACTTTGTGAACAAATCTCAATGACTTTATACAAGAGTTCATCGCGATAATTGGAACCCTCAGCTCTCTCCATGTGACCCAGTAGACGTTTGACAATTTCCATAAGATTCTTTTTGGACACCATGCCATAGAGTAAATCCAAAGCTCTCAAACGTATCGATTCGTCCTTATCATCCAAACAGGCCAATATAAGATCTTTATGGGCTTGAACACTTTTTGGATGAGTTTTTAAGATCTTCGACATGGCCAAGAGGCCCAAATATTTTACTAAAACAAAAGAAGAAAAAGAAAGACGATTCTTAGAGAATGATCAAGTATGTGCAGGGTGAGATGAAAAAAAACTGCAACCAAATTCAGACTGCTGTCATTTCTAAGGCACTCGTCCGAAAGGTGTTAAAATTTTTCCAGTGACAGCTCATTACATTGTTTACAAGCGTACCAAAGCATTTTGGTGAGAATTTTCCAGAAAAAAAGTTACTCGTGATGGAATTCAAGCGTGATAGTGTGATTTTTTTATATTTGACTGGAAAACCACAAGTGGCTGTGATTAGAGCACTCCAGCATTTTAATGTAAATAAATCTTTTGTGTCTCGTATCATCGCTCGTAACCGTGATACTGGTAGCGTAGCCCGACGTCAAGAAAGAGGGCGGAAGAAAACAACGACATCAGCAGAAATGGTTCGAAAAGTAAAGAATCGACTTGATCGAAACTCGCGTCGCAGTGCCCGAAAAATGGCTTGTGAGCTGAACATATCGCAATATTCCATTCGGCAAATATTGAAAAATGAGCTCGGGGTAAAGCCATTGGAATTCCAAAAAGTGTAAGAACTTACACCGCAACTGAAAGAAAATAGACTCAAAAGAGCTAAAGAGTTGCTTCGCTTGGCCGAAAGTGGTGAACTGCCCAATTTAGTTTGGTGGTCTCCGATGAGAAAACATTCGTTGTCCAGCAGTTTGTAAAAAAAAATGATCGTGTTTACTTGGCAAAGAGGTCAGCTGAAAATATGGACCTTCGGTTGGCCACCAGAACTCAAGCCTCAAGCCGGCCATGGTGATGGTGTGGGCTGCCATAACAGCCGACGGTCGCTCTCCGCTCGTATTAATCGACCGTGGCATCAGAATAAATGCCGAATATTATCGTGAAAATATTCTGGAGGGTGTATTAAAGCCTTGGGCACGCAAACATTTTGGCTGCAGACCTTGGGCATTCCAACAGGACTCAGCACGCGCCACCCAAGAATGTTTATAAAATGAGATTCCTCGCTTCATTTCCTTTTCCGCACAATGGCCACCAAAATCTCCGGATACCAATCCGTGTCGGGAATATTTTGGAAAACAAGGTTGGCACTAGAAAATACCAAAGTGTTGATCACCTCAAGCAAGCGCTTCGCTGGGAATGGGCCAAAATACCGCAGAGCAACATTCAGGCAGCGTGTGATGGTTTTATTGGACATTTGAAGACTTTCGAATATTTTCGAAAGCAAGGTTAGCACTAAAATATGTCAAAGTGTCGATCACCTCAAGCAAGCGCTCCGCCGGGAAGAGGCCAAAATACCGCAGAACAAAATTCGGGCAGCGTGTGATGGTTTCATTGGCAGTTTGAAGGCCATAATTAGTGCCAAAGGCGGCCAATTCGAATAAATCTAAACTTATTCTAAAATTTGATGCTATTTCCGACATTTTTTTGCTGTCATTCAATAAAATTTAAAAAAGAAATGTAAAAATTATGGCGTTTGACTTTGTTGCAGTTTTTTTTTTATCTCACCCTGTATTTTTTACTTTTACAAATACTTACAATTTTGATCGGAGTCTTCAATAAGGATACGCAACTTTTGTACACAAAGTTGTATAGAGGCACTATGGTTTGGCATACCACTGCTAATGCTGATCAAAACGGCTATAACTGTGTTAATACATTCATACAATAAGCTCATAGCCGATGTGCTGTTGAATGGGAAGAAGAACAGACAGAAGAGATAATGTTAAAATTGGAGCAAATTGTGTAACAAAAACGAGAAATAAAACAATTTTTATTATTTTGACTTTTTTGGAATATTTAAAAAAAAACGAAAGAATTTACATTAAAAAAGCTACAAAGTGTAAAAGTGATATTTGCTTGAATGTACTTTTCTATAATAATAATAAAAAACAATAGATAAAAGAAACAAAACAAATATAATTTTATATTAATTGCACTTTAAATAATTAGAAAGAAGAAAAACAAGAGGTAAGTGAATATAATTGTTAAAAAAAGCCTTTTTGTTAATAATTTTTATTGTTTTTGGCATTCCATTGAAGAAGACGAAACATAAATAAAAAGGAAATCATACACAATGCGCACGCAACACACGTTCATTTTATTTTATTTTTTTGTTTCAAAGAATACATCGCCAAACAAAAGATGTTTAAAATTGCACTTGCTGTATGTTTTGGTTTTTTTCTTTTTCTTTTCATTTCTTTTTGTTACATTTTTTTGTTCATTGCTTTTTTTGTTTTGGTTTTGTTTTGTTTCGTTACGAGAGACACATAAACATAAACTTGCCTATGGATAAGATTTGTGAGTGGTTCTATTAATTTCTTTCCTAGCCGGGGTTCTAAAGGAGTTAAAGCGCCAAACTGCAAATGCAAAAAGAGATAAAAAAGAAGATAAAAATGATAAAACCAAGCTAAATTCAAAATCAAATACAGTTTTTTTTTATTTCAATAATAACAAAATTACACAATGAAGAACTTATTTGCTATTTGTTGTTTAATTGTTGTATTTTTTATTTTTGTAGACGATGTTGGGAGGTTGTGTTTTTGGAGATTTCACGAAAGAGCGTTTTTGAGTTAAAAGAGGAAAAGTCCCGCGGAAGTCTTTAAAGTAAATAATCTCTATATTGACAAACATACTTTTTGGCAAGAAACATTCTCATGTTTAACAAACTGTTTTAGGAAAGGTATATTGATTTGAAAAGGATTACATTAAAGTGTGTGACAGCAGGAGGATCATCACATACATACATGAACTAGCCAGTTGAATACCTGAGATAAAATATTTAAATTCGATGCTACACAGAATAATAATCTTAAATAATAATCTATAAATATTTTGAGGAAGATAATAAAACAGGATGTAACGAACAAGAGGATTGCAAAAAACATTTTTGAAGAAATATCCGCCTAATTAAAATACCTAAAAGATTTCTACCGAACTTTTTTGCTTTCCCACATAAAAGTAAACATTTATTTTCAAATTAATAACACCAATGGTAATCAACAGGGTGAGATGAAAAAACTGCAACCAACTTCAGACGCGCTGTCATTTCTAAGCCACTCGTCCGACAGCTGTTAAAATTATTCCAGTGACGGCTCATTATATTGTTTACAAGCGTACAAAAACATTTTGGTGAGAATTTTCCAGAATTCAATTTTCCAGAATGATGGAATTCAAGTGTGTAATGTGATTTCTTTTTATTTGGCCGGAAAACGCAAATGACCATCCAGCATTTAAATGTGAATAAATCTTTTGAGACTCGTACCATCGCTCGTTACCGTGATACTGGTAAGACAGCAACATCAGCAGAAATGGTTTGAAAAGTAATGAAGCGACTTGATCGAAACCCGCGTCGCAGTGACCGAAAAATGGCTCGTGAGCTGAACATATCTCAATAATCCATGCAGCGAATATTGAAAAATGAGCTTGGGGTAAAGCCATTGAAATTCCAAAAAGTGCAAGAATTTACACCGCAACAGAAAGAAAATAGACTCAAAAGAGCTAAAGATTTGTTTCGCTTGGCCGAAAGTGGTGAACTGCCGAATTTGGTTTTCTCCGATTAGAAAACATTCGTTGTCCAGCAGTTGGTAAAAAATCAGCTGAAAATGTGATCTCGGTTGGTCACCAGGCTCAAGCGCCGGTCATGGTGATGGTGTGGGCCGCCATAACAGCTCTCAGCCCGTATTAATCGACCGTGGCATCAGAATGAATGCCGAATATTATCGCGAAAATATTCTGGAGGGTGTATTAAAGCTTTGGACACGCAAACATTTTGGTCGCAGACCTATGACATTCCAACAGGACCATCGCACTCAGCACACGCCAGGAATGGTTACAAAATGAGGTTCCTCACTTCATTTCCAGAGCACAATGGCCACCATAATCTCCGGATACCAATCCGTTGGACTATTGTATCTGTAGTATTTTGGAAAGCAAGGTTGGCACTAAAAAATACCAAAGTGTCGATCAACTCAAGCAAGCGCTTCGACGGGAATGGGCAAAAATACAACAGAGCTACATTCGAGCAGAGTTTGATGGTTTCATTGGCCGTTTGAAGTCCATAATTCGTGCCAAAGGTGACCAATTCGAACAAATCTAAACTTATTCTAAAATTTGATGCAATTTCCGACATTTTTCGCTTTCATTCAATAAAATGTAAAAAGTATGGCGTTTGACTTTGTTGCGGTTTTTTAGCTAACCCTGCAAATCATATAGATCTAAACTTATATACGATATCCATAGCTATATCGGAACCGAATTTCTTGGACATGTTTTTAAGTAATACCCAAAATGTTCTTCCTCTTTAAAATGTGTTTAGCATTTTCGGAATTTTTTCCAATGTTGAAGATAACTATGTTTCACGACTCCGTCAGAAATCAATCAAATCGACCAGTGAAATGATCGCATCACATGGAAACATTTTCATTGGATTTCGCAAGGTATAAGTACCCGTATTCTTAATTATTTGAGATGTATAAATGAATAATTATTATCCCCAAAAATGTTTTTCTTAAATAAAATGAAATGTCAGAGACACAATTATTTCGGGATCGATAAGTTTTGGCGAATACCTTTCGAAACTTGAAAAGAGATTATGAAAAAAAAATATAATCAATCGATTCTAAATAAAATAATATTTGAAAGATTATCTTAAATGCAGCAGAATATTTCGGAAGGGCAGCTGAATGATGAAGGAAGTGAGAAGTTTGGGGATTGTGGAAGACTTAATAGATATATTGGGTAGCAGCAGTCGTGAACAACTGATCCGTGACAAGGAGAGAATTTTAATCGTAAATACACGGGTTATATAAGACAAGTCCAAGGACTCAGATAATCTAATTTCTTCAAGCAACAATGATCATGTCATGTATGTTACGCTAGATATAAATACCCATATTCTTTATTATCTGAGATGTATAAATAAATAGTTATTAACCCGAAAAATATTTTCTAAAATGAAATAAAAAAAAAGTCAGACACAAAATCGTTTTACGTCCGAAGAGTGAAAATATATGTAAACCCATTTGAAATATTAAAATAGTCTTCTTCATTGTAAAATACATGAATTGGAACAGTTAATGGACCATGTGATAATTAAAATGAGCAATTTTGTGTTTCTGAAACTATGATTGGAAGAGATCCTCTTGCTTTAAAAATAATCTTGACGCAATTAGTAATATTTTGTGAAATAAAAAGATTTAATCCGTTGTTAGAAAACCGGCATGGAATCGATCTTCCTCAGCCGAACTAAGTCGATCTAGCTATTTGTGTCCATTCGCCTTTTCATATTAATTTGTAATAACGCTACAGATTGGTCAGATCCTAACGTCATTTTGCATAGAGTTGGGGTTAGGTCAGTCAAAATAGAAGCTTATTGCTAAATGGGCCAAAAACAGAAAAAGACCCAATTTTCTGTTTTTGGTCCAGTTCCTCGACGTGGAATTGTGCCTGGATAACGAGTTTAAGAGAAGGTAGTAAATTATGATCGTCAGACAATATTTAGGGAGTGAAATGGACCACAACTTTGTGTAAAAATTTCAACCGCAAAAGTCACTTTTTATGAAAATTAGAGAAGGAGCCTTGATGTGTGGGATGCAGTAGCTAGGGTTTCAATTATTCCCGTCGAAAATGTTTCAGTTCTACAAAAATCTTAGCGAATAAATTATATTTCGATTTTTAATTTTTTGAGTATTATTTGAGTCATATTTGTATTTGGGGATAATTTAATCTACAACACCGGATTTTTAGACGTTTATTTTTGATAAATCATTTCTTTAAGAACATGTATGTTACCGGCGAAGTATGATACTGAGCCTCTGTCTAGAGTTCGCGATTTAAAAATTATCATTTTCGGTTTATCCATGTAATAATTTTCTAGTTTTTCTTCCATTCATGTAAAGTGCGTGAAAAAGTAAGAAATAAAATCCTAAAGTTATAGTAAATTTATTTTTCAAAAGTAAATTGTTTAATTCAAAACAGTTTCCTTTGAATTGATGTGCTTTAGGAAATATTTTGAAGACAGAGGACGAATGTGTACAAAAGTGGGGGTGTTTTAAACAATCCGTAAGTGGGTGGGGAGAAGAATGAACATGCCAACAACTCCTAAATGCGGCAGCAGAATAGAAATAGAAATCTTAGGTGACGTACAAACCAAAATGTTTTTAAAGAAGAAAACATCCTTTGCAACAAAGCCTTTTGGGTACTAAAAGTGGGGGGACTGACTGACTGACTGGCGGAGGACTTGACTTGTGAATAGAAAAATTTGGCTGGCTATTTCGATGATCTTTGACTTTAAATTGTACTTTCTTTCTTCGTGTTTGAGACGTTTCGTGTTGAAAATTAAAATAAAAAAAGGTCAAAATTCCAAATTAAATACAAATTCAAATTGACTACATTAATTGAAAAAACAAGCTATTTTTCAAAATTATTATAATTAAAACATAACGATAATAATAACAAATTATTGTGAAGGCCGGTGGTGGTGGTTGTGGTGGTGGTAGTAGTAGTAGTAGTGGTGGTGGAGAATATCAATTGAAATTAGGAAAATTATAAAAACAATTATAGCTTATCATACGGAACGGAAAATTATAACAAAGAAATACGAACGAAAACTCAAAAATGAAATTCCAATCTTTCCAAAAGACACATAATCCAAATAATATAAATATATTTCTTTTAAATAAATTATTGTTTAAGAAAGGATTAAAAAAGAGTTTATTAAACCTGGAAATAATTTCAATCAAGGGTTGAGTTAATTTACGTCCCAACGCTGGTTCAATAGTGGTAAGGCTGGCAAACTTTTGTTTTTGTTTTTTGGTTGTGGTATACGGAGTTAGAGGAAAATAACCGGGGGAAGGATAAAATATAAAAAACAAAAATTGTTTCATTTTAAAAGTATTTTCATATAAAAATTATTTAAATTCATGTTCGAAGAGACTGAGAGACAATAATATTTGACGAATAATTTAAAAAAAAACACTTAAAAAATATATGAAGTTGCCATATAAAACGACAACAACACAATTTTTACAATGTACATTGTTTGTATGTATGTATGGTAAATATCAATAAATTAAATAAAAACAAAGAAAACATTTAACTCACCAATTTTATAATTTTAATAAGCATCCAATTATTGGTTGATGTTGTCATTAGTTTAAAAAACACAGGAGCTAAAGGAAGATAATTTTTGGGGTTCTTACGTGCTAGTTCACAAACAACATTAACGGCAGCGGATTGTACGCCTGAAAGAGAAACATGAAAGAGAAAACGAATGTTATTATTTGCCTCTGGGTAGAATGGAGGAATATAGAAATGATTATAAAACCTGGATCAGGATCTTCCAGTTTCTCTTTAAGTTTAGGAAATGCAGGTTTTAAAGCTTCTGGATAACGTAGAAATACTTTATACATCATAAGGACGGCTTTCATGCGTAGATAAGGTTTGGTGGAGCTCATCTAAAAAGAGATTGAGAAAAAATTGAAAATTGATTTTTAATAAGAAAAAAATTTGAAAGATCGGAAGCACAGCCAAATGATAAAGGAAGTAAAAAAATCGGGATAATGGAACACCTAATACAGGATGAGATAAAAAACTGCAACAAAGTCGAACGCCATAATTTTTACCTTTTTTAAATTTTATTGAATGAAAGCAAAAAATGTCGAAAATAGCATCAAATTTTAGAATAAGTTTAGATTTGTTCGAATCGGTCATCTTTGGCACGAATTATGGCCTTTAAACGGCCTATGAAACCGTCACACTCTACCCGAATGTTGCTCTGCTGTATTTTGACCCATTTCCGGCGAAGCGCTTGCTTGGGGTGATCGACACTTTGGTATTTTTTAGTGCCCATCTTGTTCTCCAAAATACCCCAGACACAATGGTCCATAGGATTGGTATTCGGAGATTTTGGTGGTTGTTGTGCGCTGGAAATGAAGCGAGGAACCTCATTTTGTAATCATTCTTGGGTGGGTGGTATTTACCACCATTCGGAAGGAACTTGAAAATTTTCAACAAAAAAATTCCGTCGAAAAAAATAACTTTATATGGGGCTATACGTAGACGTGTTGCTGGATTAGTAATTTTCATAGGCTGTAGTAACATTTCCGAATTTCAAATACGAAATTTGAGCCTATTCCGGTGAATTATGTCGCTGATATAATCAAAATACCAAATAAAGGGAGGTCTCTTTTTATGGGGGGCTATACTAAGACGTGGACATGCACAGACAATTTTCCGTCCTAGGTTGTAGTACCCACTACTTACTTCAACTACGAAATTTGTCGCAATAATGTCGGTGAATAATGTCGCGAAAATCCTGGAAATACCGAATATCTCGGGGTAGCGTTATATGGGTGTTATACTAAAAAGTAGACCTACATATATAGGCAATTCTCTTCCAGGGAATAAAAAACTGAGAGGGAACTCCTTGTGTGGAATTTTCAGAATATTCAATTGAAAAATGTTATCAAAACACCCAATATCGGAGGGTGCCAGTGTATGGGGGCTATACCATATCGTGGACCTATATAGAAAATTCTCTATCGAGGGATAAAAGTACTCAAAGAGAAATCCTTGTGTGGAATTTCAGACAATTACATTGAAAATGTGGTTAAAATCATCCAAATACCGAATGTGGGGAGATACAGCTATATATATGGGAGATATACGATATCGTTGACCTATATAGACAATTTGTTTTCAGGAGGTTAAGTACTCAGAAGGAACTTCTTGTGTGAATTTTACGCCAATTCCATTGAAAAATGTGGCTAAAATTATCAAAATATCCACTATCGGAGGGTACCATTGTATGGGGGCTATACGATATCGTGGGGCTATATAGACATTTATTTTTCAGGGGGTAAAATAGTCACGAAGAACTCCTTGTGTAGAATTTCAGAATATTCCATTGACAAATTTGGCTAAAATCATCTAAATACCGATTATCGGGGGTACCGTTATATGGGGGCTATACGATATTGTGGACCGATATAGCCCATCTTCGAACTTGAGCTGCCTGGAGGCAAGACAGATCGGTGTCAAATTTTAGCTTCATGGCTTTATTTGTTCCAACTCTACGGGTGATTACAACAGACGGACAGGGCTAAATCGTCTTAGAATTTTATGCTGATCAAAAATATTTATAAAATAACTCACAAGCGGAATGACGACTGTATAAAAACATAATGTTATGCTAAAACATATTTCCAATTGAAGAGGGAACCATAAGATAAATACATTATCATGAAAATACTTACCAGTGTCATAATATCATTGGCTAAGTCTCGTGATAAATCTGGCGATATAAAACAGCTAAGACCACTTAATGCCACACCGGCATCATATTGATTTTGTGAATTTAAATCTTTGCGTATCATGTTTGTGGTTAACATCAGTAGCTGAAAAAGGAACGAAACAACAACAACAAAATAAAAAATTAAAGTAAACGTTTTAATAAATTGTTTGCTATCTTACAAGAAAATAGACTAGGCGCAAAAAGATTTATTGCTAAGCCATTTATTTAATATTGTGTCGTCGTGTACAAACACAATCACTGAACAACGATACATACCTCACTATCAGGATGAAAGCATTGACTGGCAGCCAAATAACCGATACGTTTACAAGTGAAGCGTGAAGAACTCATTACTTCGATGATATTAAAACCAGCCCATGATATATCATAGCCTAGCATTTGTATCTGGAAAAAATTTGAAAAGAAGAAAAATTCGTCACAGAGGCTTTCATACACATAGACAAAAATAAAACATTAAATAAATAGGTTGTATTGTAAATAATTGAAATTTGGGTGTTGTGGAAAATGAATTTTAAACAGTATGCCTTTTGGTTTGAGAATAAATGCTTCTATATTAATAGACCGTCGTCATTGACAAATGTTGAGAGTGTAATTAAGTGTTCTTTTCAATCTGCGTAAACGGTTTGTACTTAAAATGTACTCGTACAATACATACAATACAGTTAGTTGGGAGAATGGAATGTTTCATTAAAGAACATGTAAAAAATGCAGACTAATTTTGGGCAGGTTGGAATTTTTCTCAAACTTCCATTGGGAAAATGAAACGAACAAGTAAAAAAGTATCAGTCGGTTTTGCCGACTCTCAGGAAATGTTTAAAATATTTTTACTTTTATTTTAATTATTCAAACTGTTGGCCCTCTATGAAGTAGGCTCCGAAGGAGTGGGGAAATACAGGGTGAGATAAAAAAATGCAACAAAGTCGAAAGCCATAATTTCTACATTTTCTTTTTAAATATTATTGAATGAGAGCAAAAAGTGTCGGAAATAGCATCAAAATTTAGAATAAGTTTGGATTTGTTCGAATCGGTCATCTTGGTCACGAATTATGGCCTTCAAACGGCCAATGAAACCGTCAAACACTGCCTGAATGTAGCTCTGCAGTATTTTGGTCCATTCCTGGCGAAGCGCTTGCTTGACGTGATCGACACTTGGTATTTTTTAGTGCCAACCTTGCTTTCCAAAATACTTCAGACACAATAGTCCAACGGATTTGTATCCGCAGATTTTGGTGGCCATTTGTGCGCTGGAAATGAAGCGAGTAACCTAATTTTGTAACCATTCTTGGGTGGTGCGTGCTGAGTGCCATGGTGCTGAGTCCTGTTGGAATGTCCATGGTCCTCGGCCAAAATGTTTGCGTGCCCAAGGCTTTAATACACCCTCCAGAATATTTTCACGATAATAATTGGCATTTATTCTGATGCCACGGTCGATAAATACGAGCCGAGAGCGACCATCGGCTGTTGTGGCGGCCCACACAATCGGCATGGCCGGCTTGAGGCTTGAGTTCTGGTGGCCAACCGAAGGTGCACACTTTCAGTGACCTCTTTGTCAACTAACACGATCATTTTGTTTGTTTACAAACTGCTGGACAACGAATGTTTTCTCATCGGATAAACCCAAATTCGGCAGTTCACCGCTTTCGGCCAAGCGAAGCAACTCTTTAGCTTTTTTGAGTCTATTTTCTTTCTGTTGCGGTGTAAGTTCTTGCACTTTTTGGAATTTCAATGGCTTTACCCAGAGCTCATTTTTCAATATTTCCGAATGGAATATTGGGATATGTTCAGCTCACGAGTCATTTTTCGCCCCTGCGACGCGGGTTTCGATCGAGTCGCTTCTTTACTTTTCGAACCATTTCTGCTGATGTTGCGGCTTTCTTCCGTTCACTTCCTCGATGACAGGCTACGCTACCAGTATTACGATAAAGAACGATGGTACGAAACACAAAAGATTTATTCACATTTAAATGCTGGAGTGCTCTAACGATAGCCAATTGTGGTTGCAGTTTTTCATCTCACCCTGTATTGTTTATTTCTTATCTTATTTAAATAAATATGTTATAAATATTGCGACGTGCCAAGTTTGGACTAGATCGACTATTTCCTGCACTTTATATAAGATATGTGATAAACTTTAGAGAATGTAATGGACCGAACTTATTCTTTTTCCCACTTTATATAATACAGATAAAATATTGGTATGGGGAAAAACTACAAAAAATCGAACATTTTCGTCCAATTTTATTCGAAATTATAAATTCCATATTCATCTCAGGTTTCTGATGAGAGAAATATATAGTTGTAAAGGATGGCCGACTTGTTTCGCAAGTTTGGCAGATATAAATATTGGAAATTGTGACCCATTGTGGGTAAGGTACCAAAAGGTATATATCATCTTCACAACAGATTTTGTGTTAGCAAAAATATTTGGATGTGTGAAATTTGAAGAGAGTTGGATGCTTATTTTACTTCCTGTGAGTGTTTTGTTTTCAAAAAAATCTTAACCCTATGTGGAGGAGGTACCAGAAGAAATGGACCGATCTGTACCATCTTTATAACCGATCTTGTGTTGATGGAAATGTTGGGATGTACCAAGTCTGAAAGGAATCGAATGTTAATTTCGTGTTTTATGAGCTTCATGGATATTCAAAATGTTGAACCTTTGTGGGGGAGGTACCAGAAGGAGTGGACCGATGTATCCCATATTCACACCAGACCATGAGTTAATAAAAATATTGTTATGTGTGTAATTTGAATAGAACCTGTAGCTTTTTTCGGATTTTATGATCGTTTTTGTTAGTCAAAATGTTGACCCTTTGTGGGGAGGTACCAGAAGAAATGGTGCGATCCCTACCACATTTATAACAGATCTTGTGTTAATGGAAATATTGAGATGTACCAAGTCGGGATTGAATCGGATGTTAATTTCGTGTTTTATGTGCTTCATGAATATTCAAAATTTTGACTCTTTGTGGGGGTGGTACCAGAAGGAGTGGACCGATATATTCCATCTTAGCAACAGATATTGGGGGGAGGCACTTAATGAAATGGACCGATATTATCCACATTTGATAATTTCCTGGTTAGGTTAGACAGACCATCCTGCTAACTCTACCTTGAGGACATATGTATATTTAAAAAGCACTCAAAAGTCGAAGAATTTGGAAATTATAAAATCAAATCTTCAACTTTTGAATATTTGAGTAAAAAGTACTCCTCATAAGCTTTCCACCAGTCACACACTTGACCCGGCAGAATTGTCCTGGCCTGGGGTATGAGGTTATCTTGACTCATAGAATTCAGGAAAAAGTCGACGAATTTGGTGATTCTGAAATCAAATATTAGACTTTTAAATATCATACAACAGTCACTCACTTGACAAGGCAGAATTGTCCTGGACAGCACAGTGGGGGTCGAACTTGTCATGACTCATAGAATTCATGAAAAAGTCGCCGAATATTTGAGTAGAAAGTACTCCTCATAAGCTATCCACTTGGCCTGACAGACTCTCCCTGAGATGATATAAGGGTCCGTTGTGTCTTCGCTAATTAAATTCGAATTTATCGAAATTGATCTACATATATATCGGATCTAAGGCTATATGTGAACCGATTTGGCCCAAACGTATCTAACTTTATATATGGGAGCGAAGACATATATGGGAGATTTTTTCCAAATCTAAACCGATCTCCAGAAAAGTTTTGGAAAGATACGAATTGGCTATATCTGATATCTTATACCGAATATCGCTGTTATGCGGATGGAACACATGTATGGGGGCAATAGCTATTTCTGATTTTGATTTTCACCAAATTTGCACCCTTGCTCCAATTCTAAATCTAAATTCGGTTGTACGTTTTAATACTCATTTCCAAATGATTTCAAATAATCGATTTTGTCTGATTTTCTAACCATAAGAGGGTTGGAGGTAGGGAAACTGAAAAAAGGAAAAATTCGATAATCTGAAACCATTTGGGAATATAAGGCGTTGGGGCGTCTTTTTCCAAGTACTTAAGATCTCTAAAGCTCAGGGTTGGAAAGAAAACTGCATTTAACGCCAGTGTAAAATTTGTGAGCGTTGTTAGAGGCTTTGTATTGTCGATTCACTTAATCCATATTTATATAATGACGTTTAGTTCTGGACTTCTGTACAATTTTTCGCATATTTCGTTCCTCTTTCCGGAAAACCTTACGGGCTCAGAATACGTTGTTCTCCAAAAAAATAAACCCTCTTCTTTAAATTGAAACAAATAATAGTTTTAAATATTTTCCTTTTGTCTTAACCGCATTGCCACTTCAAAAAAAAAAAAAAAAAAAACAGCAACTATTCTTTTCAATTTAACCGCCACTTCAAAACATAGTCACAGCAGAAGAAGCAGCAGCAGCATAATTATTTCAGAGCACTTTCTCAGCAATACCTATTAAATTCTAATTGCTATGCCGCTTTATGACGATGCCTAGAGTCCTTTTTATTTCCATAGTACTTATAGTGTATGCGCTGAATGAGTGTTGCTGTTTTTTGTAATTATTTTGAAGAGCACCCACTCTCTTTCTCTTACACAAACACACACTAACACACCGAATGCTGTCCTTAATATACGGCATTGGTGGTGGCATGGGTAGAAATTTTGTGGTCTTTTCCTTCTCTTGTCATCAAATGCCTGAATGAATGTAGATTGTGAACATAGGTGGTATATGGGGTGCAAAGGCTATGTCACGGTATTAATTGGGTTTGTTGTTACGATATGATGTTGATTAATGAACCAATCAATTCCATTAACTTACATAAGTTAATTTGGCCACTGCATTGCATTTAACATTGATATTATCCTGTCGCAGTTCTTGTTTGATTTCTTCAATGCACTGGGAGATGTATTTGGCCTGTAAAAAAAGAGAGAGAGATAAAAAAGTAAGTGTTATTAAGGAAAAATATTTTTAGATGTAAATTAAATTGTTTAGTTATATACAACGTGAGGCTAGGTTGACATCCTTTAAGGTAATAACAGATCCATCATGACCTATGTGATGTTTGTTTTGCATATGTTTTACATCAAATGAGTCAAAACACTATCCCGACGAAAGGGACATCTGGCAAGAGAGAAATTTAAAATTCCGGGGTATAAAACTATCTCACGGGCGGGGCCGACTTTATGATACCCTACACCCCTTTGCACATTTATTAGCTTCATATAATAAATAAAAATAATGAATATAACAAATCGGATGAAAAATATATATGGGAGATATAGCTATATCTGAACCGATTTTCATCAAATTTAACATGCTTGTTTTTAGGCTCAATTTGGTCGTAAGTGCCAAATTCCATCCCATTTGGGCTAATATAACACGATTGGTACACAATAAAAAGCAAATCGGACGAAGATATACAGCTCCCATATCCCACCCCATCCAAATCTGAACCGATCTCGATGAAATTTGGGAAAGGCATTTCTGTGCTTTATTTGATATATTATCCCAAATATCGTTGTTACAGAGTGCTTATTACGGCTGCGGAGGATAAAAATATCAAATCGGATGAACAATATATATGGTAACTATAGCTATATCTGAACCGATTTCGATCAAATTTGGCATACTTAATTACAGGATTATTTTAATCGTATATACAAAATTCCACTCTATTTGGGCTGATATTACACGTTTGGTGCACAATAAAAAGCAAATCGGGCGAAGATATATATGGGAGTTATATCTAAATTTTGAGTGATTATTTTCCATAGGGTTCGACCTTGGGTCAAACAAATAACTTGTGCAAAATTTCATCTGTATCGGGCAATAAATGGTACCTGTTTACAAAAATAGATGGACAGACGGACATGCATAAATCGACTCAGAATGTGATTCTATGTAGATCATCAACAGGAACTCTTTTACCTGTTACAAGCAAATGCACAAATACATAATACTCTGACCACCTTGTGGTGTAGGGTAGAAATATTCGTGGTAGCAAAGGCTGAATAAGTAAGAATAGTATCGAAAATGGTAAGATCTATGATTTGTCAAGAGTCTTTAAATCTACAAAATCCTTTGACCGTTAAGATAGGTTCTTGAAATAATTTTAGTTGCTCTGTAGCGATAGCAAGATATAAGCAAACATTCTGAACCTTCAGGAAGTTTTTTAGTGGATAAAAACGCTTTACATGGTCCGCTATATATAAAGGAAAAACTAGTGAATATGTTCTTAATTATACCCTCAGCCATTTCGCTACAGAGGGTATATATCATTTGATACGGCCTAGTCGAAATAACGGTTTTAGACCAAAGGTCTCTTTGGACCAAATCCGTTTCAGGACATTTGGAGTCGATCTAGTGATGTCCGTCCGATTGTCTGTCTGGTGCGCACGATAACTCTTCAGGGGAATATCCGATTTGATCCAAACTTGGTAAATCGTAATATTATTGTCAAACTTAGATAGAGTTCGGAGATGGGCAATATCGGTCCACTTCTTTTGGTACCTCCCTCACAAAATGTCAACATTTTCAAAGAAAATAATTTTCTGCATTTCATGTCATATCCTAATATTTGCATCAGTGTTAGGTCAGGTGCGAAAATGGACAATATCGGTCAACATTTTGAATAACTTTAACTCTTATAAAATGTGATGTATGAATCCGATTGTCTTCAAATGACACAAATCACAATATTTGTATTAACCCAAGATTTGGAGTGAAGATGAAATATATCCGTCCATCACTTCTGGTACCTCCCCCACAAAGGATCCAAATTTGGAATATTCATGAAGGTCAAAAAACGCGAAATTAACATCCGATTCCATTCAGACTTGGTAAATCTCAATATTTCCATCAACGCAAGAGCTATTATAAAGATGGTAGAGATCGGACCATTCCTTCTGGTACCACCCCCGCAAAGGGTCAAAGTTTTGAATAACCAAAACTGTTATAAAATCCGAAATAAGCATCCGGTTATCTTCATAGTTTACACGTCCTATTATTTCTATTAACACAAGATCTGCTGTGAAGATTGGATATATCGGTCCACTCCTTCTGATACCTCCCCCACAAAGTGTCAAAATTTTGAATATCCTAAAAGCTCATAAAACGCGAAATTAACATCCTATTCCATTCAGACTTGGTGCATCGCAATATTTTCATCAACACAAGATCTATTATAAAGATGGTAGAGATCGTACCATTTCTTCTGGTACCTCTCGCCCACATAGGGTTAAAGATTTTGAACAACAAAACGCTCAAAGAAAGCGAAATAAGCATCCAACTCTCTTCAAATTTCACACTCACAAACATTTTTGCTAATACAAGATCTGTTGTGAAGATGATATATGTCTGCGAACCCCTTCTAATACCTCACTCACAAAGGGTCGCAATTTTCAATACTTTTATCTGTCGTAACTTGTGAAACATGTCAGCGATTCTTTACAACTAAATATTTCTCTCAACCAGATACCTGGGATGAATATGAAATTTATGATTCCCCATACAATTGGATATAAATTTTCGATTTTCTTGTAATTTTGAAGATGAAGTATGAAAATAGATGAAAGTATGAAAATGGAATACTTTGGTGGACTATATTTGGTACCTCAGGCACACAAATCTTATATAAAGTGAACAATGTAACTAATAAAGTCCATACCTGGTACGTCGCAATATTTATACCATATTTATTTAGGACCAATGCGAAGTGGACAATATTGACACATTCCTATGGAACCTACTCCAAAAAGGGTCAACAATTTGCATAATCATAACACAAGTCAAAATATATTTAAATAATCGAACATTGGCTGAGGGTATACATCTGTTGGCTAAACCGATTGATTCTTTTTAACTAACTTCAATATAAATTTTCGTACTGATATTTAAAAAGGCGATTTTTAGCTATTCTCTCTTTGACAACACTGGTTTAAACAACTCACGCACATTTCGTGTTTTGTTTCACTGTAAAACGTTTTCAGTTTATTCAATAATTTAGCCAAAAGAACAAGTTATTCGAATTATTCAATTTTATTATCAAAATTTGTCTTATGTTTTGAGCTTCTTCCATTTTATGTGTTCGGCGACAAATTTCATATTTTCTTTTCATATCGAGCAATTATGTGCATTAAAAACACCTTCACCTTTTTATAAAAAAAAAACTTTCTGTTTCTCCTACTTCTTTACTCTGGGTTATATCTCTAATTTGTATCTTATTGTCTTTCCGTCATGATATTTTAAAAATAGAACAATAGATAATGTGTGATTTGACCACTGTCCTGGTTAAAGCATCTCTGGCGATGGTTCTTCTAACTAGAGAACCACATTATAACTAAAGAAATAAATAAGTTATAGGATTAATGTTAATCCCTAGCTTTTTTCTTACTTCATTTAATTTCCTCTACCTTTTGGTTGCTCCATCTTAAATAGTTTCATCACATCATTGATTAATTAATTTCATTGGGCACAACCTCCATTTTGTTGTTGGTCTGTACTACGTACATAGTAAGGCTAAAGTTCTATTTTGTATTGTCTTCGCCATTACATTAATTTCTTTCTTTATTTTAATAAAAAAAAGATTACATCTTACATTAGGATAAGCAGATAAAGCTGAAATGGTTTGCAGATGACCTCTGATTATCACATACTTAATGAAATTCGAATTCCAGATTAAAATTGATGCAGAACTAATTTTCGGTAACGCAGTTGTTCTTAAATTACAACTTCTTCAACTTTCTTCAATCCCCGAGCGCATTTACCAAGTGCTACCTGTGTTACCGACCCACAAAAGCATATCTTTGCTGATGATGATGACGGTATTGACTAGAATTGTGCTGGATGATGAGCAATAATAGACAAAACTGCACATTACGATATGATAGAAAGCATAACCAAAAAAAATTGATGGCTTTAGGACGGAGGTTAAATGTTATACCAAGTGAAAAACATTGATAAGAAGAACGTTAGTATATTTCTTGTTTGTTCGGTAGCTTGCTTTCATACACACAAAAAAATTACACTCAATATATTTATGTATAGTCAAATCAGTAGGTGTTGTATGAATCTGTGTGTGTGTACAATTTGCTCAGGATGGAATCAAAAGCAAACAACAATGTTCAATACCTACATTTGCATCACAGCGATGTTAGCGAAAAGAAAATATGAATTTAATTCTATTTATATATAAAATAAATAAATATCATATATCCTTTGAATTCAAAATTTCGATTTAACAATGAGAGTAAATTTTTATTTTTCGTAAGATATGTGTGGAGACCTTGGAATCTTTTGGGTCGTGCTAATGGTTTTATATGAATCTAGTTGAAATCGGTGCGCTTTGCTACCCTTTTTGGTTAGTAGGATTCTAGGTAGCAATATATATGAACCTATATACTTCCCCGTAATAATCGTATCCTCAATTTAATTACTGTGTAGTTTTTTTTAATGTTTGCCTTGTACCATAGCAAAGTCGTGGTGGGTATATGTTCCTAAATTAAATAATATCCGATTCTGAAACTTTTTCAATATAAATTGATAAATACATTTTTAGAACAAATTCAATCACACATTCCAAATGTCATTGATATTTCACGAACAAAACGTGTTTGAGGCATCAAGTACATGAAATCGGGCGAAAATATATATGAGAGCTATATCCAAATCTGAACCGATTTCAATATAATTTGGCAAATAAATTTTTAGACCAAATTTCATCACAAATTCCACATCATATTGCAATTTGGCGTACACAGCGTGTTTGATGCATCAAAAACATAAAATCGGCGGAAAATATATATGGCAGCTATATCCAAATCTGAACCGATTTCAATATAATTTGACATATTTTTTTTCGTTTCAAATTCCATTACACATTCCAAATTCCATTAAAATTAGAAATGCATAGCGTGTTTGTTGGGTCAAATACATGAAATCGGCCGAAAATGTAGATGGGAGCTATATTCAAATCTGAACCGATTTCAATATAATTTGGCAAATAAATTTTGTATACCAAATTCCATCACACATTCCACATGATATTGAAATTTGGCGTACACAGTGTGTTTGATGCATCAAATACATAAAATCGGCCGAAAATATATATGGCAGCTATATCCAAATCTGAACCAATATCAATATAATTTGACATATGTTTGTTCGTTTCAAATTCCATTACACATTCCAAATTCCATTAAAATTAGAAATACATAGCGTGTTTGTTGGGTCAAATACATGAAATCGGCCGAAAATGTAGATGGGAGCTATATTCAAATCTGAACCGATTTCAATATAATTTGGCAAATAAATTTTTTAGACGAATTCCATCACACGATTTCAATATAATTTGGCAAATTTATTTTTGTTTCAAATTTCGTTACGCATTCCAGTTTCAAGTGTAATTTCTAAATTTTATATGGTCTATGGTACTTTCAGGCGATGTTGTTGTTTTCAGAAAAATCTGTTCAGCGTTCGAGTCGATAAATTACAAACAAACAAACATTTTCCTCTTTTATGGATATAGAAATTTCCTCATTTATAGATTTTGAATTGATTTCTACAAACATTAAAGTAGAAGGCATTTGTACCAGGATTCCAGAATAAATTCGGTTGCTTCCAAGATAACTTCACTTGGATGTACAAAACCCACTCTATTTGGGCTGATATAACACATTTGTTTCACAACAGACGTTAAATCGGGTAGGTGATATATCCAAATCGGAATAGATCAATTTGAGCTATATTTGATATCTTACCGGTCGAAGATAAATGTGGAAGCTATATTTAAATTTGGATCAATCATCATCAATTTCAATGGCTCTCATCCGAAGAACTTAATCAATCTTGCTTATAAAAACAGACAGTGGGAAATGTATAAATCAATGCAGAATGTGATTCTATGCTGATCATCAAAAGGGACTATCTATACATCTCGTTTCCTTTTGCCTGTTATAAACAAACGCACAAAGACATAATACCCTGTACCACAATGTGGAGTAGGGTATAAAAAGCATCTGCTGCAGCTGTTGGCAATCTGTCAAATGGCCTTCTTCCGTGGTGATAATGTAGCTAAAATCATCAAAATATCGAATATCATGGGGGCTATACGAAGACCTGCACAGACAATTTTCTGTCATAGGCTGCAGTATCCATTACGAACTTCGAATACTAAATTTGAAACAATTCCGGTGAATAATGTGCCAAAATCATCAAAATACCGGATATCGGGAGGTACCGTTATATGGGGGCTATACGAAGACGTGAAGACCTGCACAGACAATTTTCTGTCATAGGCTGCAGTATCCATTACGAATTTCAAATACCACATTTGAAACAATTCCGGTGAATAATGTCGCTAAAATCATCAAAATACCGAATATCGGGAGGTACCGTTATATGGGGGCTATACGAAGACGTGGACCTGCACAGACAATTTTCTGTTATAGGCTGCAGTATCCATTACGAAATTCAAATACCAAATTTGAAAAAATTCAGGTCAATAATGCCGCTGAAATCACCAAAATACCGAAAATAGGGACATATCATTATATGGGGCTATGCCAAAACGTGGACCTATATGGCCCATTTTCCGTACCATAAGTCCTGCAGACATAATATACATTTGAGTAAAATTCTATCAAACTACTTCATTTCGTTCGGAGCTAGAGTGATTTCACAAACGGACAGACTGACGGACATCGCTAAATCGACGTAGACATCATTTGAAATGGAAGTGCCTATCAAAATTTCAAAACACGATTTCTACGACTTTATATTTTTTTTTTTTTTTTTGAAAACTTGTATTTTTTGATACAACGTGTTTCCCAAATATATCTGGGTAACATCAAATTGTTCCACCGAACTTTTCTATTATTCTATTATGTACCTTTATTTATCCTGGTTTATGAAAACGAAGCTCCGTATCAAAAAAATGTAACCGTGCCTGACCCAAAGTCAAAATAATATTTCGGAAATCAGGTTAAAAATTATATACCTCTCTAAAAGAATTTAAAAAAAAAATTACCAAACTACAGAAGATTTTGAAAACTTTTATTGTTTTTATTAATCCCACATGTATCAAGGATGATTCATTTCTTCGATATTTAGATGCCGCTCAGGATGAGGATAATACAATCGAATGTAGAACATTGTTTTCGGTACAAAGTGGCAATTCACATGGAAAGCGAGGTCATTGAACTTTACATACCTACTTAGAATTACGTTATTTTAAGAAATCCTATAACACTATGAAACAAAAAACAAAATAGAAAGTTTTCACCAAAACAGCTGTTCAGCGATATTCTACATGTGTATGTGGGTGGGAAACACAGATGGGATATACCAACATATAGGTATTACTCTCAACAATATGTTCCTCCTACACCGAACAAAGCCCTCAGAAAATGTAAAAATGTTAACGAGGGTAAGCTTGCGATAAGAAAACAACAACAAAATACGCCAATGGATGACAAATTAGCATTTTCATGATAATTCTTATCGTTTACAAAACCTCCCGGAATTTTGAATTAGAACAACAACAAAAAAATATATTAATATTTTGGTGTCATTTACATACCTCATTATCCTTGTTATTACGTATGCCACGAACCAGATCAGTGAGATTTTTATCAAACATACGTTCGAAATTGCCTTTAACTTTTTTCAAAGCCATTGTGACGATGAATGCAGTCAAAAAAAATAATCGGTGATGAAAACAGCAACAACAATCTGCAAAATCACGACCGACCGACCGATCAAATCGTAAACACAATTTATTTGGAAAATTAAAAAAAAAGACAACAAAACTTGGGCTTAACTCTAGTTTAATAAAAACTCTTCAATTTTTTCGAAAATTTTTTCAGTGGTAGGTATTTTAACCATGATCCCGGGAAACTATTTTTTTCTTGGGGGACGGACCTGGGACCCCAGATTTTTGACCCGAAAGTCCGGGTTTGAGACCCCGACTAGACCCGGATCCACTTACCCGATATAGACAATGTGGGTATCGTTGGAAAGCTTATGGAAATACCTATCCAACAAGTGGTCACATGATGGGGTAAGATGTTACGGTTCGGAAGTTATAGTCAAATTATCGATTTTTTGGACCCGGATTTTTTATAAAACCCCCAAAAAGTCAAAAAAGGGTCCATTATGGGGGACAACAAAATTGATGCCAAATTATAGCTGACACTTCCACCTTTCCAAAAAGGTTCAATTTGTGCTAATACCTTTACTGAGTCCAGAGATATGGGTCTTTCCATCCGCATAACCCGATTCTAACCAGTTCATTAAAACTATGTTTTCAATAAAAAAAGGTATATTTTGCGTAAGAATGAAATTCAGAAATCTTTGGTTCGCGTTAGCCGGTGTGGGACATACCCAGAGGAGAAAATCTCAAGCCCCGGCCGAAGGCCGGCTATTTACAAAAAGTGTCAAATTTAGAAAACTTTGGTTCGCGTTAGCCGGTGTGGGACATACCCAGAGCAGAAAATCTCAAGCCCCGGCCGAAGGCCGGCTATATACAAAAAGTGTCAAATTTAGAAAACTTTGGTTCGCGTTAGCCGGTTTAGGACATACCCAGAGGAGAAAATCTCAAGACCCGGCCGAAGGCCGGCTACTTTCAAAAGGTATCCAATTTAGAAAACTTTGGTTCGCGTTAGCCGGTGTAGGACATACCCAGAGGAGAAAATCTCAAGCCCCGGCCGAAGGCCGGCTACTTACAAAAGGTATCCAATTTAGAAAACTTTGGTTCGCGTTAGCCGGTGTAGGACATACCTAGAGGAGAAAATCTCAAGCCCCGGCCGAAGGCCGCCTACTTACAAAAGGTATCCAATTTAGAAAACTTTGGTTCGCGTTAGCCGGTGTGGGACATACCCAGAGGAGAAAATCTCAAGCCCCGGCCGAAGGCCGGCTATATACAAAAAGTGTGAAATTTAGAAAACTTTGGTTCGCGTTAGCCGGTGTGGGACATACCCAGAGGAGAAAATCTCAAGCCCCGGCCGAAGGCCGGCTATATACAAAAAGTGTCAAATTTAGAAAACTTTGGTTCGCGTTAGCCGGTTTAGGACATACCCAGAGGAGAAAATCTCAAGCCCCGGCCGAAGGCCGGCTACTTACAAAAGGTATCCAATTTAGAAAGCTTTGGTTCGCGTTAGCCGGTGTCGGACATACCCATAGGTGAAAACCTCAAGCCCCGGCCGAAGGCCTGTTATTTACAAAAAGTGCCAAATTTAGAAAACTTTTGTTATTCCGACGACTGCTACGCGAAATAAACACTTTTTTTATTAAAAACATCATTTTAATGAACTGGTTAGAATCGGGTTATGCGGATGGAAAGACCCATATCTCTGGAACCGAAAAAGGTGTTTGCACAAATTGTAGCATTTTGGAAAGGTAAGAGTGCTATAATTTGGAAACAATTTTGTTGACCCCCATAATGGGCCCTTTTTTGACTTTTTGGGGGTTTCATAAAAAATCCGGGTCCAAAAAATCGATAATTTGACTATAACTTCCGAACCATGACAACTTACCCCTTCATGTGACCACTTGTTGGATAGGTATTTCCATAAGCTTTCAATCGATACCCATATTGTCTATATCGGGTGAGTGGATCCGGGTCCAGGCGGGGTCTTGATCCCGGACTTTCGGGTCAAAAATCTGGGGCCCCGGGTCCGTCCCCCAAGAAAAAAATAGTTTCCCGGGATCAGGGTAAAAATACCTACCTCTGGAAAAAATTTCGAAAAAATCTAAGAGTTTTTACTAAACTAGAGTTGTTCCAAAACTTGTTTCTTTTTATTTTCCGCTGCTGGGTGTATGTATTATTTTTTACGGTAATTTTTTTCTGTTTTTTCTTCTTCTAGTGTGTGGTACAAGAACAACAACTAAAACGCCATCAACCAGCAACGGCCACTACTAGACAACAAATGGTATGGCAGAGCGAGCCACCAACAACCAAGAAGTGCAAAGAAAACACACAGCTTTGATGATGTCGACAGATTTTCGCGATTTTTTTATGAATTGATTTTTTTCTTCTTCTGCACTTGACTGAATGCACTACCAACACCTTCACTTTTTCATATGGTATTTGTATGCATTAAAAACCAATAGATATTAATTCATTTAATGATATTTTCTATTAACAACAGTATTTGCAATTCTCTTAAATGTATTCAGTTAATATTTTTAACATTTTTTCCGATTAAAATACGCGAAAAAAATGTATAGAAGTTGCTTTTTTCCTTTCTGAAAGTTTTTTGTACAGGGTTCGAAAAGTCGACTTTCGACTTATCGATTAATCGACATGCAGATAACAGAGACGACCGTTTAACTTGATCGCCATTAGTTGTTACAACAGTACATTAAGTGCATGGGCCACATAACAAGTTTTTCTTAATATTAAAATAAAATATGAAGTTATTTGGGTAATATACTTTATGTGGAATAACAGTACGTTTATATATATGAGGGTTAACCCACTGGATTTGGATTTAAATTGTCATATCCATTACTTTTACTTCAAATAAATCCTCTCAAAGTAGGTTAACCCTACGAAAAGTTCTAACGTAATATACTTTATGTGAAATAAAACTATATTAAAATTCAGTGCCGGGCTAAAAATTTCAATGTAATTGTTGACTTACCGAAGAGTAAAACTTTTTACATTTGCTGATAAATTTGCATATTTTACTCGAAGAACACAGAGCATAGCTATTTATTGCAGTACCGTTCTAGTCATCGACACAGCTGCTAGTACAATGAACTGTCAAACCAATTTTGGAATTGAAAATTTTGATGGAAAAAATACTGAAATTTGTATAAACCGTTGAAAAATACATGTCATAACAACCTCCGATTGGCGTCGGATTAGAAAATATATAAAAATCTATTTATTTTTGAAAGAACGCTTTAAAATGTTGACATATCAATGTTCCCAAGCCTTGATACATCTACCTGTATTTAGTTCAGATAAATTTCACTTTTAACGCTTATATTAGAAAAAAATGACGTAAAACGTAGACATAGTGAGGTAGAATTATCAGGAACCTTGTGCAGTCACATGTTTACTTTTCGTTCAAAAATATACCTTTGACATCATCCCATAGTCATAAATCCACTGTCAAAAGTCAAATTATAAAACTTTAGAAAAAAAAAAAACATAAAATTCAGAAAAATTCATAAAATCTTTATTTGTATTGAGGTTTGAAGAGTATTTCATGCAAATGTTGACCGCGACTACACCTCAAATGGCATTAACTGAAGATGTTTTACAGTGAAACAAAACGTGCGTGAACATGTCACAGAAAAGAATTCAGATCGAAAGTGGAATTAGTTTCGTTTCTTTTTTCGGAGTAAAACCACTTTAGCCCCCATATAAAGTTACCTTCCGATATTCGGTATTTTGATAATTTTAGCGACATTATTCACCGGAATTGTTTCAAATATGGTATTTGAAGTTCGTAATGAATACTACAGCCTATGTTGGAAAATTTTCTGTGCATGTCCAAGTTTCGGTATAGCCCCATTTAATGGTACCTCCCGATATTTGGTATTTTGATGATTTTAGCGACATTATTCACCGGAATTGTTTCAAATTTGGTAATTGAAATTCGTAATGAATACTACAGCCTAAGACAGAAAATGTCTATGCAGGTCCATGTTTTGATGTAGCCCCCATATTTACAAGTTTCTCATTTGAATATTGTAATGGCTTATGACAAAAGTTCAAAAGTCCACGTCGTCATATAGACATTAATATAACGGCTACATTCGTTAATTTTAAGAATTTAACAGAATTTTTAGGGGATTTTTTATTTGAAAATTGCCAAATTCGTTCTAAATGGTGGAGGTTATTCGTTCGGTTCGGCCGTGCTGAACTTACAGCTTTTTTACTTGTCATTCCTCTAATATTGCCATATTTACACTTGTCATTCCCCTAATGTTGCCATATTTACACTAAATAATAAGATTTTCGTAATTCACCAAATCGGAATCTGAAGATGCATACATAAAAACGATCGATATTTAGTAACGGAATTGCAAACATTCCGTTCGGAATTTGTGACATTCCGGATAATTTCAATTAGAATATTAATCAAATTTGATCGATTAATGACAAGACGAGTTGAAATAGTTTGTAACACTCATCTTCTCTTCAGACTTCTCCCCACATCCATCTAGGGTTTCTTTTATTAAAATCATTGCAGAACCCACACACATGACAAGGTAAGCACATACTAGGGCTTAAATAAATCAAACAGTCTTACATTAAATTTAAAAGTGAAATATTCATATGCGTATATTTTTAAAAAAATGTTTCTTCATTAGGATTAGAGATAATCATAATCATTGGTATTTTTCTTTTTTTTTATTTTGACCTTTAAATACATATATAATAATAAAACATAATTCTTTCACTGTCGTTGACTAAATAAAATGATAAAACTAAACAAAATAAAACTAATTAAAGAATTTAAAATATTATTTTGATATACTTATTGTATAACTAATGTAATTTTAACAAGAACTAGTTGAAATTATAAAATAATGTTGACTTTTTCGATTTTGTTGTAGTTTGTGTTTAATAATTGTATCGAATTTTACTCTTTAGAATGGCCAATTAATATGATTGCAAAGATCATAGTATTTAACAAAGAAATCAAAGTCATTGGTAACAAATGAAACTGGTTAGATATTCAGAACAAAAATCAAAAACATATTAATTACTACCAAAGAAAAAAATATATAGTACATAAAACTTATCTTAATTAAGGGGGTTACATATAGAAAGTTGTTGTTAGTAGTTTACTTTTTTGTTGTTTCTCTTTTTTACGCTCTTAATTAAAAATTTAAATTTTTCCAAAATGAAAAACAATTAACAAATCAACAACAAGAGGATTTTTCAGCCTCGGCTACAACCAAATTGAAATCATGACTATTTGGTCGGGCAAAACCGGTTTTGATGCCATCCCAACCATCTTCTACCTTATATTCGCCGGAACGTATGCGGGCATAGACTTCTTGGGTAACCATACGAAATGCTTCTTCGACATTCAAACCTGTTCGGGCCGATGTCTCGACGAAATGCAAACCGTGTTGTTTGGCAAATGCTTGTGCCTCCTCGAACGACACTTCACGTTGGCCGCCAGCATTCACCAGATCCAATTTACAGCCAACCAATGCAAATACGGGACGATGTGGTTCGATATGTCGTTGGGCCTCCATCATCCATAATGGTATATGTTCAAAACTGGCATGATTTGATATATCGTAGACAAGCAAAACGCCAACTGAATTACGATAATAGGATTTGGTTATAGAGCGAAAACGTTCCTGACCAGCCGTATCCCAAAGTTGCAGTTTGATCTGGGTACCATCTTTCATTTCGATGAGACGGGCAAAAAAGTCCACACCAACTGTTGGATCGGAAAGCTATTTGCGGAAGTAGAGAACAAAAAAAGCTATTACAATACATTTCCAGATCGAAAGTTGTTATGGAAACTATTTGTCTTGAGTGTTTAAATAGATCTATTTGTTTATTAAACAAAAATAGCGACAACGCTGGTTTCACATCTAACTCTACAAGTGTAATCTTTGTTTCAGTGCCCATGCAGCATCCCTCGCCTCCATGCATGGATATCAATATTACATAATGTGATTCTATAGAATCCGATCAGCCATACATTAAACGAGGAAACGCACAATGGACTCTCAAATCAGAATAACATTTGTTGCTTTGCAATTGACTACAACAACAATGACCTACCCACCCCCTTCCATTCGACTTACCTCTGCAAATTTTCCATCTGTGAAAAATTTCAACAGCGAACTTTTGCCCACAGTAGAATCTCCAATTAATATCAAACGAAATTGATAATCGAAAATAGGCTCCACCATGCTTGCTTATTACTGAACAAATCTGGGAAGAGTGTTGTTGACCAAATCAATAGACACAAAGGTGGTGCTGAGCCCCCCAAAAAGTAAGTGCACAGAATTAGCTTCGTACGTTTTGTATTTTAATTTGCGTAGTTTTTTTCTCGTCTAACGACAGACAACAAAAGAAATGCAAACACTTTTTACAATAACATTTTTTGTTAGAGTTTGCAAAGTTTTCCAGTCGAACGAATGCAGGATTGTAGGTGGATTTTGATGTATTTTTGTTTTCAATTGCAATATAAATCGTCCTTTTCTCGTGTAATATTTTTCAATTATGTTTACTTTTTCGTTGAAAATGGTATAGTTAGTTGTTTTTGTTAAACATTACTGATAAAAAATAAAAGGGGTTAGGAATCTATAAATCGTTTTCTTGCTAATCGAGAGTAATCGATTCGGTGTAGAGCAGGTGGCACACTGACGTGCAAGTATGTAAGTTTTTATGTTCTAGGCAATTTATATTTGGTTGTTTCCCGATTTCTTATTCGTAAAAACTAATGTCGAGAATTACAAAGGGAGTATAAGAATAGGGAAACTAGTAAAAGTGTCAAAATTTAATGGCAGTTCCTCAGAATTAGCAAATCATAAGTCGGTAAAAAAATAAATTAATCAAAAAAGTTGTTTCTTTGTTGTATGAAAATATATTAATTTAAAATTGCCGTAAAAATGTATCCATGAAGTATTATATGCTCTGTTCAAGTACCTGCAAGAATCTACTAGTTTTGAAATTTTCTCCGATATTATGAAGGGAAAGTCGGTTATCGTACATTACATTACACTCTTGCATTGCTGAAACACTCCAATAGTCACAATGTAATCAATGAGAATTAAAAAAACTGGTTTGTTTCAGTACCTGCAAAAATCTACTAGTTTTGCAATTTTCTCTGATATCATAAAGAAAAAATCGGTTATCGTAGTAAAAACTTTTAAATTTTTGCAGTTGGCAAAAAATTCAGACATTTTTACAGGTCGTATTATCCTAATTACAGCGATATAATTTTTTCAGGAGGAATTCAATACTTCCCCAGATAAAGAGGTTCCAAAGTTGCATTTTTACTTTGCTATTTGTAAAGCGATAATCGAATAAAAACTTCAAAATATCACTACAGGTTGGTTTTTGTAACTTAATTAGTACAACAAACATTTTCGGAAGTGGGTCCACACTTCCTGATATATAGGGTGCCAACATTTTATAGCAACTCTCATTTTTTTAGATTTAATCCTTTTTTTAAATAGCCGGTATTCGCCGGGCTTGAGCTTTTCTCCTCTGAGGTATGTCCAACACCGGCTTCGCGAACCAAAGGCTTTTGAAATAGCCGGCCTCTGGGCTATGTCCAACACCGACTTGGCGAACCCAAGTTAATTTTAAGTGGCCAGGGCTTGTGATTTTCTCAAACCAAAGGCCTCTGGCCGAGGCTTGGAATTTTCTCCTCTGAGATATGTCCAACGCCGACTTTGCGAACCAAAATATATGGAAGGTGCTTGTTAAAATTTAGATATATCGGGAAATAGGGCCCACCTCCCGAAAATGTTTTTTTTTTTTTTGGTTGCAATCAGGATACAAAAACCTACCTGAAGTGACAGTTTGAAGTTTTTATTCCGATCATCGATCGAGAAATAGCAACTAAAAAATTGTTTTTTTGGAAATTTAGGAACCCTATATTTTGAGATGTATTGATTAGCACGACCTACCGGTAACAATTTCGGAATTTTCCGCCAGCCCGAGCTAAACTTATATATGTTCTATATATCTCTAAAGGTCTATCGCTACAAAAGCTGTAGATTTTATCGATGCATACGTTGCAATAAGCATTTTGAAAACACCAGAATTTGAATATTTTCTGAACAATTTTTATATTAGTGAAAAGAATACACACACAAAAACAAAAAAAAAGTTGATATATTTCATTTCATTTATTTATTTATATGTTGCAATATGTTATATTAATAGTAAGTTTACATATAAAAAGGTTAAACCACTTGATTTGGATTAAAAATGTCATATCCATTACTTCAAAAAAATTCTCTTAAAGTAGGTTAACCCTACAAAATGCTTTAACGTAATCATGGCATAAGCCAATAAAATATAAAACTCTCAATCATATGATATCATAGCCCTACCATGGTAGAACTATGGAGGTAAAGTCAAAGTTGGGAATGCTAATTTTAAATGAGGTTAACTTTTAGTTCATTGTACCATGGTTTCTATGCTTTGCCCTGTATTTATTCGCCATGGCTACTGGGTAACAAATATGTATCTAACATCACTAATAATAAAAAACAGAACAGGACAAAATCAACCTATGGAGCACTATAGAAAAACAACACGTGTGGAGTAAATCATATCATTTTAAAGAGAAAATACAAAATATTCATTAAAGTACAGGAAAAAAATATTAGCAATGACTGAATCGAGAGAAAAAATTAAATATCTAGTCGCCGATACAACAGCTTTCATTAATGCCGTGCAATTGAATGTAAGTTTCCCATTGTTATGTTCATTGGACATCTTCTTTAAACCGTCTTGAATTACGTTGCAGGATTATGCTGAAAATATTCTAACAGCTCCCGATGTAGTAAACGAAGTACGAAATAAAAGACAAATTCGACGTCTCTGTGTTTTGCCATATGACCTGCAAGTACGTGAACCACGAACGGAAAGTGTCAAGCACTGCGTCGAATTTGCCAAAAAGACTGGTGATTATGCATCATTGTCGGGCATCGATATTAAGGTTATTGCTTTGGCGTATGAACTGGAAGCCGATAATGTGGGTACTGATCACCTCAGGAAGGAGCCGGTAATGCCACAGGTTGTTGCATCCAAAGAAAAACCCCAAGAACTACAGGATAGTACAAAATTGCCGGGTTGGTATAATAATGGTGGTAATACTGATTCCGAAGATGATGACGAGGAAGCTGAGGAAAGCAATGGTGAGGAAGATAACGAACAGGAAGCGGAAGGAGATAATGTGGACAAAGTAAAAGAATCAATAGAAAAACAAATTGAAAACCCAGATGAACAACAGGATGTGCCCGAGGTGACGCAAGAGGAGCTGGAGGCATTATTCGAAAAACTGAAATGTGAAAATGCTGAAGATGATGCCAATTGTGATATATTGGTACCACAATCCAAAGAAGATGAGGAGGCCGAGGATGATGATTCCGAGAGTGAAACAAATAATGACCAAAAAGATTTGAAGTCACCAAATAACTCAGCTACTAAAGGAGACGAAGAAAAAAATTACAATGGCGTTGAAGACGAAGAAGATGATGGCGGCTGGATTACACCTTCAAACATAAAGAAAGTCAAAAAATCGATGGAGGGCAAAGTAGAGGCGGATATTACACCACTGGTTGCATGCATGTCTACCGATTATGCTGTACAAAATACTTTGAAACAAATGAATCTAAATATTTGTGCCCTCAATGGGCGTGTCATTAAGCATTTGCGTACCTATATTCTGAGATGTTACGCCTGTTTCAAAACCACTTCTGTTATGACCAAAGTATTTTGTCCAAATTGCGGTAATAAAACACTTAAACGGGTAGCTGTTAGCCTGGATGAGAATGGCAAACAGGTGATACACATAAACACCAGACGTCCCCTGACAACAAAATACAAAAATCAAAGTATTCCCCTTTTCCGTGGCGGTAAACATTCACGTAATCCCATACTTTTTGAAGATCAACCCATGCCACGTCAAATGCCTTCCCGTGTTGCCAAGACTAAAACGAATGCACTGGAAGAAGATTATATTGCTGGCTTTTCTCCTTTTGCAATGCGTGATGTTGATTCCAAGTCAGCCATGTTGCGTGCCAAGGGGCATGTCAAGGAATGGGCTCGCAATAACACCTACGAAGAAGATAGGCGCCGTAAACATTATAATCGTTTGTATAAGTAAATATTAATGTATAATTCTATTTTAAGATATATAATTTTATCTTTCCCTTGGATTTTTTATTGTGATTTACGAAAGTGTAAATATATAAAACGAAATATATAGTTGAATATTTAAGTTAAACCTGTTGTCTTTATGATAGTTTAACACAGGTCTCAGTCCCTGGATATTCGGGTAAATCTAGTTGATATTTTTCTCGCAAGGCTGGTGGTACAAATCTGCCGCCTAAATAGTGATGAGGTCCCTTGAAGAACTTAGCACACAACTTGGGGGCCGTCAATGATATCAAAAGACTAGGTTCAAAATCACATTCGTTGTTTTTGCCATTTTCCACATGCCAACCACTTGGTATGTCAATGCTGTACAGTGCAGTGGATTGGGAAATAAATGAGTGGGAGAAATTCAACAAATACCTATATTTACACCTACCTCGCTATTGGTAATTTAGTATTTTGCAGAACATTTATAATTGGAACAAACGTCTCTCTAACCGGGGGTTTAAAACTAAAACCGAACAGGGCATCCACTATGAGATCATATTGTTGACTTATGTTCTCCAAATCTGACGTAGCATCAACAAATTCTATATTCATCGATTTGCACTGATGTGTTAAGTTCTCATACAACGGATTTGGCGTTGGCTTTGGATAGTAGATCCTTGGTTTATAGCCCATTAAGGAAAGGTGGCGGGCACATACCAAGCCATCGCCACCGTTATTTCCTGGCCCACAACAAACCAATACACGCGCGTATTGTGGTGCGGCATAACACTTTGCAATAGCGTGTGAACAACTCAGACCAGCCAATTCCATTAATTGATCCACACTAAATTTGTAATCATTAAACAGTTCTTGATCCACATTTATGGCTTCTTGTTGGTTTAGATATTTCATGGCTTTTAGAATGGATGTGGTATAGATGCAGCGAATTGTTTTTGGGAGGAAAATCTAGAAAGAGTAAATATTACAATAATTCGCCGACATTTTTTGCATTAAAAAAAATTATTCAATCGAAAATTGATCGAATTATTGACCTACAACTATAAAAATATATACTCTGACTTATTTGCAGATAATGGAACTTAGGACATCGAGCCAAATGGTTGGTCTATATCATATGAGCCTTTTCTAGAACTGCAAAAATGTAGATGTTTTTACTACGATAATCGATATTGGCTTTATGATATCGGAGAAATTTGCAAAACTAGTAGATTCTCGGAGGTTCTGGAACAGACCAATAAATATAAAGAATATAAAGCCAAGTACTTTCTTATTCGTGGAACATACCGTTCCAGAACCTGAAAGAGTCTACAAGTTTTACAATTTTCTCCGACATCATAAAGGCAAAATCGGTTATCGTAGTAAAAAATATTACATGCTTGTAGTTCTGGAACAGACCAAGTATAAAAAATATAAACGTTTCCATATCCCCCATAAAAAAACGTAACAAGTTTAGGGGTTATCAATGCTGGTTTGGCGTTAAAAAACCAATAAAAATAAACAATATACCCAGGTGAAGGAGATTCTCCGTAATTATTTATTTTTATCTGTTATCGGCTGGGAACTGTTTACCTTACAATTTTCAAATAATTTTGAACGGCTTTGTCGGTTTTGTATTTGCAAAATGTTTTTTATTATTTATATTATTTATTAATATTATGCGATCATCACCAAAAGCAATATGGTTCTATTCCGGCCCAAACCCCATCTCCAATCTAAATTTCGTGAAGATCGTGATTACAAATTAACATGGACAGACGGACGGACATACATAGCTAGATCGACTCAGCTCGCCGAGATAGGAACATATACTTTCCTATGTGGGAACCAATATTTCGAGGTGTTACATAATTGTTGGCCCAATCAAACTTATAATACCCACATGGTGTTGAAGGGTATAAATACCCCGAATACCAAATCAGTTGTTGAAATAAAACATTTGGAACGTTCACGAAAACGTTTTCGTTTTCAAAAAAATAAAATCCATTGAAAATTTAAAATTTTGAAAATACCGAATATAGCCGTTATATTGGGTTCTATACGACGACATGGACCTGCATAGGCAACTTTGGTCATAAACCAATTCCACTATACGATACCGTGGAAATATCGAATAGATCCTGCCTGCAGACAAAAGACTTAGCTTCTTATCTTTCCTATCTTAATCTTAATTCGTTTTGATTCTAGCGTGATTACCCCAGACGGACGGACATCGACATCGAATGCAGTTGGTTGGTCCAAGGATATGACGTTGCCATTGGTAAATGGGTAAATGGAGGGTATAAAACCGCTGTCCGACAGCTTTTAACCGGTGACAGCCCATTATATTGTTTACAAGCGTACAAAAGCATGATGGAATGGAAAATCACAAGTGGCTATCGTTAGAGCACTCCATGTCTCGTACCATCGCTCGTTACCGTGTCTCCTGGTAGCGTTGCCCGATTTATAGCAAGCAATTGTTTACAAAACAACTTTAACATTTTAACATTTCTCATTCATTGATCAGAATATATATAGTTATAGTTCGAGATGTTAAGATGTAAGACTTTCAAGGATCCTCTTACCAAAAACGGAGCTTTTTATACCCTCAGCCGTAACGTATTACACACAAATATATTATGATATTATATTAATATGGAGTCAGATTCAGACCGGTATATCACCATCTTCAAAGGGACCTGAAGAAATTGTCCGATCTCCACCACCTTACTAATGACGCCAAGGTGTATTAGAAAGAATAGAAGAATTACTTTACTTACTTGTTTTTTAAATAATCCTGTCCAACACATGTGTTCAACCCAATTCTTATACAATTTCCTGGTTGTTTTATTGGTTTTATCCCTCCTCTTATTGGTTTCCAACGAAACGAATATGAAGCCCACAAAGGAATACCCGATAAAAAATAAACAGAAAGCAAAGACTCCGGGTACTCGTTGTTTACGAATGGGACATGAGAGAATTGAACATCTTCACTAAAGAGCTCGGAACTAGTTACAAGTAAGTAAGTAAGTTAGATCGATTTATTGAGACTAAATTCATTTCGATAACATTGTTCATTGTATTATTTTGATCAAGGTAGATCTAACAGGTAATCGCATCGGCCGTCAGCTGGGCTGATGCGATTACCTAGTACATCTACCTTGGTTCATTGTATTATTTTGATTATACAAACAAGGGCTATACAGATCGTCATTGATATTTCAACGATATATGGTCGATAACCGATTTTCCCTTTATGATTTCGAGAAAAACAGCAAAACAAACACTGGAACACAGCTATTGTTGTGTACCAGAACCCATGGTACAATAAAATCAAGTTGGAGCCATGGTGCAATGAAGACAAGGTAGGCTAACTTTGAAAAATGTCAAGTATAGAAGTATAGAGATCTACCTGTTTGGCTTGTAATGTCAGAATTACTATCAAAACATTAAAAAAACCAAAACAACTTGTTGCATTGATTTTGAATAAATACTTAAAAACCGCGAAAACTGAATGAAAGGTTAAAATTACTTTTCAAAATTATGTTCTATATATCTCTAGGTTTATTTCGCTACAAAAACTTAAAACTTTGTCGATGCATACGTTGCAATAAGCATTTTAAAAACAGTCGAATTTGATAATTTTCTAAACAATTTTAATTATTATTGAAAAAAATACACACACATAAACAAATAAATGGTATGTTCCAGAACTGCAAGAATATAAAAGATTTTTTTTTCATTTCATTTATTTATTTCTATGTTGCAATAAAAAAGCCATTTGGCTAATAAGTATCACAACTAGCGGAAAACTACAAATGTTTGTGAATATTTAAAAGTTGTATATTTAAATGTATTTTTGACACTATAACTCCATCACAGAGTTGCATTTTTCCAGTTTCTTTGAAGTTATTATTGAACCATGGTTGTTACAATATGAATTTTTCAACATCTTTAACGAATTTGAATAATTTCTTATTCAAAATTATCAATTTAGAAATAGGCTTGACTATTCATTGTCCCATCAGTTGACTATCAGTTTGACTATTCATTGTCCCATCAGACCAAGTATAAAAAATATAAACGTTTCCATATCCCCCATAAAAAACGTAACAAGTTTAGGGGTTATCAATGCCGGTTTGGCGTTAAAAAGCCAATAAAAATAAACAATATACCCAGGTGAAGGAGATTCTCCGCAATTATTTATTTTTATCTGTTATCGGCTGGGAACTGTTTACCTTACAATTTTCAAATAATTTTGAACGGCTTCGTCGGTTTTGTATTTGCAAAATATTTTTAAAATTCATTGTTCATTGTATTATTTTGATTATACAAACAAGGGCTATACAGATCGTCATTGATATTTCAAAGATATATGGTCGATAACAGATTTTCCCTTTATGATTTCGAGAAAAACAGCAAAACAAACACTGGAACACAGCTATTGTAGTGTACCAGAACCCATGGTACAATAAAATCAAGTTGGAGCCATGGTGCAATGAAGACAAGGTAGGCTTACTTTGAAAAACGTCAAGTATAGAGGTCTATATGTTTGGCTTGCAATGTCAGAATTACTATCAAAACATTAAAAAACCAAAACAACTTCTTGCATTGATTTTGAATAAATACTTAAAAACCGCGAAAACTGAATGAAAGGTTAAAATTTCTTTTCAAAATTATGTTCTATATATCTCTAAAGGTTTATTTGGCTACAAAAACTTTAAATTTTGTCGATGCATACGTTGCAATAAGCACTTTAAAAACAGTCGAATTTGATAATTTTCTAAACAATTTTAATTATTATTGAATAAAATACACACACATAAACAAATAAATGGTATGTTCCAGAACTGCCAGAATGTAAAAGATATTTTTTTTCATTTCATTTATTTATTTCTATGTTGCAATAAAAAAGCCATTTGGCCAATAAGTATCACAACTAGCGGAAAACTACAAATGTTTGTGAATATTTAAAGGTTAAATATTTAAAAGTCTATTTGGCACTATAACTCCATCACAGAGTTGCATTTTTCTAGTTTCTTTAAAGTTATTATTGAACCATGGTTGTTACAATATGAATTTTTCAACATCTTTAACGAATTTGAATAACTTCTCATCCATAATTTTCAATTTTGAAATAGGTTTGACTATTCATTTTCCCATTAGTTGTGTCGATGCGACTATCTGTATACTTCTACCATGATAAAGTATGTTACCTTCACTTTCTTTGCTGGGTTAAGCCTACAGGGCTTCTATTGTGATTGAAATTTATTCAATGTTATCAGACGATGCATTCACAATCACCGTTTTATTTTGACAGCTCGCCATCTCTCTACGTTCTCAGAAAGCAGCAAAGAAAACAAAAAAAAAGACTTTATATTCGGAAAGAAAATTATTTTGCTGAAAAGAAAATTAATCGTTTAAAGTTTTTCTATCGCGTTGTTAACGTCCGGAGAGTATTGAAGAATAGTGGAGAATGCAATTTCATATAAAAAACTGCAATCTTGCGGAATAAGTGAAATGTTTGAAATCTGGTCGTCTGGCTGGATGTATATCCATATATCCGTCGTCATAAAAGGAAAGGCAACATAAACAAGTTTGAAGCCACCAGCTAAACGGCCAAGGTTTATTATTACTAGCCCGAAATTCCAAAGGATTTTCTGGAATAGTTTTTGTAAGAAGTCGATAAGAGAAAAACACGGAAACACCAAAAATGAATCAAGCCTCAAATGCATCGGGTACTACCCACACCACTATGACCATTTTGGATGATGGCAATAGTTCCATTGGCAGCACTTCCATATTGGGAAATGGCTATGATTTCGAACACGACCATGAACAAGACCATGACACAACTAGCAATACAACAATATCGCAGAATTCTCAGTGCTATACAGAAAGAATGCGACAGAGCAATGTACCTATAGTAGACACTGATATAGTCACGCATCGGATTTATTGTTATCGCAAGCGAGTTTACATCGAATATGATCATTTGCAGTCGGCCAGTTGTGAGGAAATTTGCATTGATCTCAGTCGCCGATTGAGTATATTGCCAAATACAAGGCTACTGTTTGGCTTAAGGGTATTCAGCGATGAAAACAATGAACAATGGTGTCTGCCGGGGCAGCCCTTGAGTCCTGGCGTGGATTATTGTTTTCGCATGCGTTTCAAAGTGCCCCTCATCGACGGCCAACTGAAGTCCATGGACCCAAATGCCTATGAATATCTGTACAATCAAATGCGTTATGACATGGTCCACGAATGCATACCATCGATACGTTATCCCAAGAAAAAGGATAATGTTATGGGTCTGGGTGCTGTCGATATGTACATTGATTATCTAGAACAACGAGGAACCGTAGATCGCATTGAATCGAATTATAAACGTTATTTGCCCCGCCCCTTGGTTAAGGCGCACATATTTGTAAAACGTAAAATCTGTAACTCATTTCGTTCTCTGCGAGAGAGAAACATTGACCTGGAACGTGTCAAGTGGAATTATGTATTGGAATTGAATAATTTGGCACCGGATTATTTATTGGAAACATTTGTGGGTTTTGTGGATTTTATACCGGGCGATATTTTGGCAAGAGTACCCAGCGATGTTGGTGGGGGCGGTGGTGGTGGTGAAGTTGGTGGTCATGTTCAACCAAATCAAAATCAAACAGTTAAAGTTTGTATTAAACTGGATTTATTTGATAGTTCAGAGCCGGGTTTGAAGGTGGCCAGACGAACATGTAAAGATAATTTGGAGGTAAGTTTGTATTGCCTCGTTTGCTTACTATTTCGATGCATTGCGGAACATAAAATAAACATCTACAAATGCACGTATTAAAATGAGATTTTGAGGAGTATAAATAAATGCAAAGAGATGCTCAGTGTCATAAATGGCAAAAAAAAAAACTATTATTGCTACGTTGTGTATGGTTGTTTATCAACCTATCAAGTATATAACAAAAAACCCAGAGTGCAGCAGCTATTCAAGGAAATGTAGTCTATTAATAATTGAAATAATAGGTGCCTATCTTTATTGTTAAAGAAAAAAAGATTTTGTTCTATTGGATTTGTATTAGGGAATTTAAAAACCAGTAAGGAAAAGTAAAAAGTCGGTCGGGGCCGACTATATGATACCCTACACCACAATGCATATTTATTAGAACCACCGCAACAAAAGAATTTATTTGAAGTATATCATAACACCTATCAACATTTGGCTTTAGAGCAGTTCTAATTTGGTTTCAATACAATTTGACGGAGACATTTTAATCTTTAATACCAAATAAATTCCATGTCATTAAAAATTATAAAAAAATATATATAGCGCAGCCGAGTCCTACAAACTGGAAACGTACGTCCCAAAATTCAATCCATTTGGGCTGATATTAGCCATTATTTGCACAATAAACCTCAAATTGGATTAAGGATATATATCGGAGATATATCCAAATCTTGCAATTCTTGATAAAATTTGGGAAAGGTAATTCCGAGCTCTATAAGATATTTACTATCAAATATCATTGTTGTTGAATTCATATTACGAATGTGGAGGACTTAAACAGCAAATCGGATGAAATCTAAATATGGGACCTATACCTATATCTGAACCGATTTTCTCCGAATTCAATATGCTTGCTTTTAGATTGAATTCCGTCGGATGTACCAAAATTCAGGTCATTTGGGCTGATATTGTCTATTTGGTGCACAATTAACCCGAGGATATATGTGGGAGCTATATCCAAATCTGAACAGATCATGATAAAATTTGGCAGAGGTATTTCTGGGCTGTATCTGATATATGTTATCAAATATCATTGTTGTCGAATACATATTACGAATGTGAGGGACTTAAACACCAAATCGGATGAAACCTATATCTGAACCGATGTTCTCCGAATTTGATGTACTTGTTTCTAGACCGAATTTAGACGGATGTACCAAAATTCAGGACTTTTGGACTGATATTGGCTATTTGGTGCACAATTAACCCGAAATCGGTGGAAGATATACATGGGATCTATATCCAAATCTGAATCGATCTTGATAAAATTTGGCAGAGGTATTTCTGGGCTGCTACTGATATCTGGTAACAAATATCATTGTTGTCGAATGAATATTACGAATATGAGGGCCTTAAACACCAAATCGGAAGAAACCTATATCTGAAACGATGTTCTCCAAATTCGATGTACTTGTTTCTAGACCGAATTCAGACGGATGTACCAAAATTCAGGACTTTTGGACTGATATAGGCCATTTAGTGCACATTTAACCCGAAATCAGTTTGGAGATTTATATGGGAGCTACATCCAAATCCGGACCGATCTTGATAAAATTTAGCAGAGGTATTTCTGGGCTGTATCTGATATCTGGTACAAAATATCATTGTTGTCGAATGCATATTACGAATGTGAGGGACCAAATCGGATGAAACATATATATGGGAGTTATATCCAAATCTTAGCCGATCTCAATAAAATTTGGCAAAGTTATTTCCGAGCTCAATAAGATATCTGGTACCAAATATCATTGTTGTCGAGTGCATATTACGAATGTGGGGGACTTAAACACCAAATCGGATAAAACATATTATGAAACATATATATGGGAGCTATAGCTATATCTGACCGATTTTCTCCGAATTCGATGTACTTGCTTCTAGACTGAATTCGGTCGGATGTAACAAAATTCAGGACTTGTGGACTGATATAGGCAATTTGGTGCACAATTAACCTGAAATCGGTTGAAGCTATATGTGGGCGTTATATCCAAATCCGGACCGATCTTGATAAAATTTAGCAGATGTATATCTGGGCTGTATCTGATATCTGGTTCCAAATATCATTGTTGTCGAATGCATATTACGAATGTGAGGGACCAAATCGGATAAAACATATATATGAACCGATTTTCACCAAAATTCGATTTACTTGATTCTATACTGAATTCGGTTGTATGTGCCAAAAATCAGGTCATTAATATTGGCCATTTGGTGCACAAATTGGTTGAAGATATGGGAGCTATATCTAAGTCTGATCCGATTATCACCAATAGGGAACGTCCCTGGGTCAAACAAATATTGTTTGAGAAATTTCCTTTGCAATCGGATAATAAATGCGATTTGCATTATGCTTATGTTCGGACGGAACGACATACAGACTGACATGCATAAATCGATTCAGAAAGTGATTCTATGAAGGTCCTCAAAAGTAACTATGGGTATATCTCGCTTCCTTCTCTATGTTACAAACAAATGCACAAAGACATAATACCCTTAACACTATGTGGTGTAGGGTATAACAATTATTTGGAAATAACGAGAACATGCTTATTTAGTAGCGGAAGCCTACTTGGCATTGAAATGCAGATCATATTTCTCTGTTTGGGGTTTATAAAGAAATCTGCCAAATCGAAATAAGGTTTGAGTCCAAATGTGTAATTTACACAAACCCCTTTTGGGATCTAGGAAGGTTAATTTGTCTTCAAACACTTCGTAGTTAGGTAATGTATCACTTCTTCTGGTACATCAAAATGTCAAAACCCTCAGACTTAGATCAGATATGAAAATTGACAAAATCGACCTTTCCCTTCTGGACCTTCCCACAAATAAAATAATTCAAAAAATCAATACTTTTTTTTTTGAGCAAAAAATTAAAAATAAAAACAAAAAGTTCGACCGGTCCGAACTTTAAATACCCTCCACCGTATGAAACGAATTTAGTTTTTTAATTTTTAAAAATTTTTAATTTAATTAAAATCAAATCCGCTCGAAAAGAAAACTGTGACATCCCAATATTTTTATCAGTATTTGCTGATGTGAAATACTTCGGTCCACTATATCTGGTATATCCGCGTGAGAGATACCCGAAATAATTCAATAGACATATATTGTCTGAGGGTATACATCCGTCGACTGAAACTTTTTAACTTTTTTTAGTTTATTTATAAATAGATCTGTATACGTGCATCTAATGAAATGTTTTTTCTTCCTCATTTTTTTTTCGCAGTGGGTTCTCGTCAGCAAACTGGAAAATATTTATGCTGTCTACACCCGTGGGGTCAGCCCCAATACAATAAACTGCCGTTTGGAAATAACCGGCATGCCAAATGGTTATCGTATTGAATTTGACAGTAAAATTCATTTGGAAGCATTCATTTCTTATCTATCTGGTTATATGAGGTAAATATATCTGAACATGTCGAAGACATATTGTTTTGAATGCTAATGATTGAATTGAACTGAATTGTTTGTTTGTTTGTTGTTTTTTTTTTTGTTCTTTTGCATAGATTAACAACGAAATGGATGGTGAATTTGTGTATGCAATATATTACACCCTCCTTGGAGGAGTTAATGACACTACACTGTCATGGTCCAATTGGGTGGGTATTTATTTTTTAGATATTTGCAAAAAAGAATCCATGTCCTATTGTTGATGTTTTTCTTCATTTTTGCTTACTTTCACAGCGGCGCCTTTTCATTTGCCAAAATACGGGAACAGGGCGACAAATGTGGCAGTTATATTATACGGCAGTGTGAACGAGAATATGATACATATTATATTGATATCAATACAAAATCGTAAGTAAACATTTGTTTTTTTTTTCTTTTTTCCTTTCATATCTACATGCATGGGATACAATTATGCGTTATTTATAAGTGTTTACCTTTTGGTTGTCTTCGATCTTTGTTGATATAAAGATATAGATATTTGTTTATGATTTGTTGCTTTATTTATCATTGAAGAAGCATAATCTGATTTTATATAAAGAAGGTTAAATATTTTCTATACAAAAAAGAAGGGTGTTTCCTTTTTTTTTATGGAGATAAATTGTAAGGGGCTCCTGTATGAGTACAGGAAATGTGTTCATTGAATAATCTTGCATTTATAGAAATTCGCTTGTGTGCCCTTTTTATATAATCTACTACGTGTAGCCTCTATGTATAGAAGGCTGTTAACATGACTTTTTTCTGAAGGTCTTGTAATGTCATTGTATATGTAAACGCCTGCCATAAACGAAACTTCATCTATAAAAGATTTCAATAATATTTTAAAAGCATTGTTCCTATGTCAATGGGACCATCATTTTTTCATACCCTCCAAAAATAATTTTAGACATAACAAAGTATATACAGGGTGAGATGAAAAATATTGCAACAAAGTCAAACGCAATAATTTTTACATCTTCTTTTAAATTTTATTGAATGAAAGCAAAAAATATCGGAAATTGTATCAAATTTTAGAATAAGTTTAGATTTGTTCGAATTGGTGACATTTGGCACGAATTATTTCCTTCAAATGGCCAATGAAACCGTCACACGCTGTCCGAATGTTGCTTTGTGGTATTTTGGCCCTTTCCCGTCGAAGCGCTTGCTTGAGGTGATCGACACTTTGGTATTTTTTAGTGCCAACCTTGCTTTCCAAAATACTCCAGACACTATAGTCCAACGGATTGGTATCCGGAGATTTTGGAGGGAAAGCGGGGAACCTCAACCTTTCGCCACGCGCCACGAACCTTGGTTGGCGCGTGCTGAATGCGATGGTGCTGAGTCTTGTTGGAATGTCCAAGGTCTGCGGCCAAAATTATTGGATGCCCAAGGCTTTAATACACCCTCCAGAATATTTTCGCCATAATATTCGGCATTTATTCTGATGCCACGGTCGATTAATACAAGCGGAGAGCGACCATCGGCTGTTATGACGGTCCACACCATCACCATGGCCGGCGCTTGAGGCTTGAGTTCTGGTGGCAACCGAAGGTGGACAATTTCAGCTGACCTCTTTGGCAAGTAAACACGATCATGTTGTTTGTTTACAAACTGCTGGACAACGAACGTTTTCATCAATATCGGCCCTCTCCTTCTGATACCTCGTCTACAAACGCATTAAAATTTTGACTAACCAAAACAGTTATAAAATGCGAAAAACCATCCGATTCTTTTCCAATTTCACACATTGCTATATTTCTATCAATACAATATATAAAGTAAATATGGGACATATCGGTCCACTCTTTCTGGTACCTTCTCTACAAAGGGATCATCATTTTGAATAACCAAAACGCTTCTAAAATGTGAATAAAAAACTTCCAATTCCAACTCTCTTCATACTTTGCACGTTCCAATATTTCAACCAATACAACCCCTGGTGTGAAGATGGAACATATCGGTCCACTTCGTCTGGTACCTCGCCCTCGATGGCGTCAAAATTTTGAATAATAAAAACGCAAAGTATCCACCTGATTCTTTTGAAATTTCACACTTTGCATTATTTCTACAAATACAAGATTTAAAGTAAATATGGGACATATCGGCTCACTCCTTCTGGTACCCCACAAATGGGTGTACATTTTCAATAACCAAAACGCTCCAAAAAATTCCAATTCTCTTCAAACTTCATATGTTTCAATATTCCATTTAGAACATGATCTGGTGTGAAGATGAAATATATCGGTCCAATTCCTCTGCTACCTCCCAAACAAAGGGTTTAAATTTTGATATTTCCAATATTTCTACTAACACAAGATCAGGGGTGAAGATGAAACAAATCGGTCCACTCCCTCTGATACCTTCCTCACCAAGCAATCAAAATTCAATTCAACAATTATTCCCATAAAATCGGAAATAAGGGTTCGATTTTCTTTAAATTTTGGCCATGTCAATATTTTAGATTAGATGAAGTGGGAAAATGGAATACTTCGGTCCACTATATGTGGTGGTGTGCTCACCTTTTAAAATGATCACATATCTAATATTAAGTCAAGGATGTAGTCGATGATGTAGACCAAATCTGGTACTACGTATATCAGATTTGGCAAAAGGCTACACAATTTGAATCATGAAAATGCAAGTCAAAATATATTTAAATGATCGAACATTGGCTAAGGGTATACATCTGTCGGCAAAGCCGAGTTTTTAACTCGTTTTTTTTTCCTTTTTTTTTCTTACTTATCCCCACAGAATTTCCGAAGGTCTGCAGCCGTTAAAATTCAAAACAGAAACATTTAAAATAACAAAAAAAGTTACTCTATCGAATACCAGTCCATGTGTGCGAACAGTAAAATGGATTTTACACTACAATGGTAGCATGGAAGCATTTGACAAATTAACCGAACTGGCCAAGTTCATACCAACTGAATCGGATAGAAAATCTCGTATATCACCCTCCGATAATGACAGATCACCACTGTTGTTGATATGTTTGCCAAAAAATGTGCAATCGAAAAAGACTGAGAAAGAGTTAAGCGAAGCTGAACTCCAACGAGAACGTGTTAAAATATTAGATTTATCCAAGGATCTACAATGGTATCACAGTAAGTAGAGTGGTCTCCAGTTTATAAAAATTGAGAAGAAGCTGTTTTAATGGTTTGTTTTTAGATTCTTCACGAGACTGTGACAATGGGCGCATGATAAAAATGAAAGCCGATTGGATACAAAACGATGGCTATAAAGATGTTACGGTCACACTGAAAGTTCTCAAATTTGAAGATGATTTTCCGGTACATACTCAATTTATTCATCTTATTATATTAAAAAATAATTGATTTAATTTCGTATTACAGTTATTTAGAAGTTTAGCAAATACACTGAGTCGCATTCAATCACCCCATATCATTAAACTTTTCGGCATAACACTGGACTCCCCCTATACAATGGTCATGGAATATTCCGAATTTGGTCCTCTAAATAAATTCCTTATGGATAATAAAACAAAAGTCTCGTTACGTCAATTAATCGATGTTGTCTATGGTTTAGCCAGGGGATTTTTTTATTTGGTAAGTAAGGAAGAAACGTGACAAAGAATCTTTATTTGCAATCCATTCATTTTGCAGAGAAACCATCACATTACCCATGGCTATTTGCGGTGCTCTAATTTATATGTTACCAAATTTGATCCGAAAACAAAACTGCTCGAAGCCAAAATATGTGGACCAGGATTTCCGCGACCGTATCGTAAGGATGAGTGAGTAAATGATTATTATATCACTTAGTATTAAGAGCCGATCCAGTCAAACAAAAAAAAGCATTGTTCGACAAAACAGACGAACAATTCAACATTTTTAAAATTAGTGGCCAAGGCCCATTCTACTTCTTTGCCATCTGGTTATACACTCAGCCATGTGGCTAGAGAGGGTATATATCATTTGAAACGTGCCTCATCGAAATAACGGTTCTAGAACCTAGGTCTCTTTGCACCAAATCCGTTTCAAAAGTCGATTTAGAGTTTTCCGTCTGACTGGTGCGCACGATAACTCTCAAAGGGAGTATCCGATTTGATTCAAACTTGGTACATCATAATATTATTGTCAAAATTAGATCGAGTTCGGAGATGGGTACTATCGGTCTACCCCTTCTGGTACTTCCCACACAAAATGTCAAAATTTTCAAAGAAAATCATTTATTGCACAGAAAGAAAAAGGATAATCCGATTTTGCTCCAACTTTCATCAGTGCTAGGTCAGGGGGAAAATGGACATTATTGGTCCACTCCATCATGTACCTCCCCCACAAAGAGTCAAATATTTGAATAATTATAAAATATGATGTCATTGTCCGATTGTCTTCAAATTACACACATGACAATGTTTTTATTAATCAAGGGCTGGTGTGAAGATGGAGTATATCGGTCCACTCCTTCCGCTACCTCTCCCACAAAGGATCACAATTTTGAATATCTATGAAGCTCATAAAAAACGAAATTATCAACCGATTCCATTCAGACTTGGCACATATCAATATTTCTGTTAACACTAGATCTGTTATAAAGATGGTAGAGATCGGACCACTCCTTCTGATACCTCCCCCACAAAGGGTCATAGTTTTGAATAACCAAAACGATCATAAAATCCGAAAAAAAGTATCCGGTTCTCTTCATTGTTCACATATCCCATGATGATGGATGAAGATATGCTGTGAAGATAAGATATATCGGTCCACTCCTTCTGGTATCTCCCCCACAAAGGGTCAAAATTTTTAATATCCACGAAGCTCATAAACGCGAAACTAACATCCGATTCCATTCAGACTTGGCATGTCTCAATATTTCTGTCAGCACTAGATTTGCTATAACAATGGTAGAGATCGGACCATTCCTTCTGGTACCTCCCTTACAAAGGGTCAAAGTTTTGAATAACCAAAACAATCATAAAATCCGAAATAAGCATCCAGATCTCTTCATATTTCACACATCCCATTATTTCTACTAACACAATATATGCTGCGAAGATGAGATATATCGGTCCACTCCTTCTGGTGCCTCCCCCACAAAGGGTCACAATTTTGAATATCCATGAAGATCATAAAACGCGAAATTAACATCCGATTCCATGCAGACTTGGCACCTCTCATTATTTCTATCAACACAAGATCAGTTATAAAGATGGTAGAGATCGGACCATTCCTTCTGATACCTCCCCCACAAAGGGTTAAAGTTTGGAATAACCAAAACGATTATAAAATTCGAAATAAACATCCAGATCTTTTCATATTTCACACATCCCATTATTTCTATTAACATAAGATATGCTGTTAAGATAAAATATATCGGTCCACTCCTTCTGGTACCTCCTCCACAAAGGGTCACACTTTTGAATATCCATGAAGCTCATAAAACACGAAACTAACATCCGATTCCATTCATAAAGATGGTATATGTCGGAACATGTCTTCTTGTACCTCCCCCACAGAGGGCTAAAATTTAAAAAACCAAAACCATCATAAAATCCGTAATAGGCATCCAGATCTCTTCATAATTCACACATCCCATTATTTCTACTAACACAAGATATGCTGCGAAGATGGGATAAATTGGTCCGTTCCTTCTAGTTCCTCCCTTATATTGGGTTCAAGATTTTGAAAATCTAACCGCACAACGAAAGCAAAATAAGCATCCATACCAGTCTAGTAGCGTGTTTTAATTCTTAATATTTATTATGTTGCGTTCTTCTGATTATTTTTAGACTTCCATGGATACCTTTCGAATATCATCGCAATTTAAATGCTGCCAAAAAGGATCCGGACATAGATATTTGGGCCTTTGGCACAACAGTATGGGAAATATTTGCACGAGGCAAACCCATTGGCAATGTAACAACAGAAATGCTAAGACAAAACTACAATAAATGTGGTGGCATATTGGAGAAACCCGACGATTGTCCCCAGGAAATGTTTGAAGTGATGATGGATGGTTGGAATACAGATCCAGAGAGGACATTTGATTATATGCAAATATTAAGGCATTTAATTGCGGCCCAAGAAGCTTTAATGGACAAATCATCATCATCGAATGGTGTTAATGTGGATGAGAATTTCGAAGCGGAGCTGGGTAAGAATCGGATTTTTTTCTTTTTTTTTTTGTTGTTGTTGAAAATCAATTCATTTCAATTTCAGAAGAAACCTCAAATGAACATGCCCGCCACAATGGTATTGCCAATGAAAGTAATGTCTTTAGTTTCCCCAGCTACTTCAATGCAACGAATTCCGTTTTGGAAATACCAAATGGCAAGGTTATATTTCGACAGCGAATTGGTGAGGGCCATTATGGTACAGTGCATTTGGGTGAGGTGCGTTATAATAGTCCAAACAATGCTCGTGAATATGTGGCCATAAAAACTCTGAAATCAGCCCGAGCTCCTCAGCTTAGCTATGATTTTATGCGTGAAATTGAAATAATGGAGGTATGTAAGCCAACAAAAAATGGTGTATCATAAATTGTATAATGTTCCTTTTTCAGTCCTTGGACCATCCCAATATTGTTAAAATTAAACATTGGATACAACGACCATTCTGCATAATTATGGAATATTTGGAAAGTGGTTCATTTTTAGTTTATCTCACATCGAAAAAACCAAATCTCACCAATGAAATTCTACTGGGTTTTGCATTGGACATTGCCAAGGTACTCCAGAAGTTTAACTTCGATGTAAATAAATGGTAGCACTCATTTCGTTTTACTTTCAGGGCATGGATTATTTGGCCAGCAAAAATATAATACATCGTGATTTGGCGGCCCGCAACATTTTGGTTGACCGAGATAGTGTGAAAATTTCCGACTTCGGTTTGGCCCAGCGTGCTGATTCCGATGGCTATTATGTGGCACACAGTAGTCGTGAAATACCAATTAAATGGTATTACTTTACGTTTTTGGCTTAAGAGAAATGTTATTTTATATTATATTTTCGTTTTTAGGTATTCCCCCGAAGCAATCAAAAGAGATGCCAAATTTTCATCACAATCTGATGTGTGGTCGTATGGTGTCACACTATTCGAAATGTTTTCCAGAGGCGAATCACCAAATTTAGATCCAAATATAGATTTAACACAGGACGAATTTCTGCTACGTCTGGAAAGAGGCGATCGGTAAGTCCCACAGAATCTTCCCTATGTATACTACCAGAACAACAAAATGGAATACAGAATTGTTTTTATACCCACAGCCATATGGCTAGAGAGGGTACGGATACGGGTAAAACGTGCATCATCAAAATAATGGTTTTAAACCCTAGGTCTCTTTGGACCAAATCCGTTTCAAGACATTTGGAGTCGATCTAGCGATGTCCCATCGTACGTCTGTCTGGCTGGCTCGTGCGCACGATAGCTCTCAAAGGGAGTATCCGATTTGATTCAAACTTGGTACATCGTAATATTATTATCAAACTTAGATCGAGTTCCGAGATGGGTAATATCGGTCCACTCCTTCTAGTACCTCCCACACAACAACATTTTCAAAGAAAATAATTTACTGCACAGAAATAGAAAGGATAATCCGATTTTGCTCCAACTTTGCAAATCCCAATATTTCCATCAGTGCTAGGTCAGGTGCGAAAATGGACAATATCGGTACACTCCATCAGGTACCTCACCCACAAAGGGTCGAAATGTTCAATATTTATATGTCTTATAAAATATTATGTAAGAGTCCGATTGTCTTCAAATTACACTCATCACCATATTTTAATTAGTCCAAGATCTGGTATGAAGATGGAATATAACGGTTCATTCCTTCTGGTACCTCCCTCACAAACGATCAAAATTTTGAAACTTCATGAAACTTATAAAACACGAAATTAACATCCGATTCCATTCAGACTTGGCATATATCAATATTTCCATTAACACAAGATCCATTATAAAGATGGTAGAGATCGGACCATTCCTACTGGTACCTCCCCCACAAAGGGTCAAAATTTTGAATAAACATTTAAATAGCATCAAATTTTAGAATATGTTTAGATTTGTTCGAAATGGTCACCTTTGGCACGAATTATGGCCTTCAAACGGCCAAATTAAACCGTTACAAGCTGCCCGAATGTTGCTCTGCGGTATTTTGGCCCATTCCCGGCGAAGAGCTTGCTTGAGGTGATCGACACTTTGGTATTTTTTAGTGCCAACCTTGCTGTCCACAACACTCCAGACACAATGGTCCAACGGATTGGTATCCGGAGATTTTGGTAACCATTGTGCTCTAGTAATGAAGCGAGGAACCTCATTTTGTAACCATTCTTGGGTGGCGCGTGCTGAGTGCGGTGAGGTGCTGAGTCCTGTTGGAATGTCCAAGGTCTGCGGCCAAAATGCTTGCGTGCGCAAGGCTTTAATACACCCTTCAGAATAGTTCCGCGATAATATTCGGCATTTATTCTGATGCCACAATCGATTAATACGAGCGGAAAGCGACCATCGTCTGTTATGGCGGCCCACACCATCATTATGGCCGGCTTGTGGCTTGAGTCCTGGTGGCCAACCGAAGGTGCACATTTTCAGCTGGACCGAGACACAAAATATTTATTCACATTTAAATTCTGGAGTGCTCTAACTATAGCCACTTGTGGTTTTCCAGCCAAATGTAAAGAAATCACACTATCAATATTTAAGGAGTTAGGGCCAGTTTAAAATTCCTATTATTTCACACTTAAAAAAGTGATCACAAATAATGGCTAAAAACGCTGAAAACTCAATATTTAAGGAGTTATGTCCATTTTAAAGTTTTTATTAATTCACTCTTAAAAAGTGATCACAAATAATAGCTAAAAACGCTGAAAACTCAATAATTAAGGAGTTATGGCCATTTTAAAATTCCTATTATTTCACACTTAAAAAAGTGATCACAAATAATGGCTAAAAACGCTGAAAACTCAATATTTAAGGAGTTATGGCCATTTTAAAGTTTTTATTAATTCACTCTTAAAAAGTGATCACAAATAATAGCTAAAAACGCTGAAAACTCAATATTTGAGGAGTTATGGCCATTTTAAAATTCCTATTATTTCACACTTAAAAAGTGATCACAAATAATGGCTAAAAACGCTGAAAACTCAATATTTAAGGAGTTATTGCCACTTTAAAGTTTTTATTAATTCACTCTTTAAAAAGTGATCACAAATAATAACTAAAAACGCTGAAAACTCAATATTTAAGGAGTTATGGTCATTTTAAAATTCTTACTAATTCACACTTAAAAAAGTGATCAGAAATAATAGCTAAAAACGCTGAAAACTCAATATTTATGGGGTTATGGCCAATTTAAAATTCTTACTAATTCACACTTAAAAAAGTGATCACAAATAATAGGTAAAACGCTGAAAACTCATATGGCCATTTTAAAATTCTTACTAATTCACACTTAAAAAAGTGATCACAAATAATATCTAAAAACGCTAAAAACTCAATATTTAAGGAGTTATGGCCATTTCGAATAACTTTTTTTTTCTAATGAGCTGTCACTGGAATACTTTTAACAGCTGTCGGACGAGTGGCTTAGAAATGACAGCAGTCTGAAGTTGGTTGCAGTTTTTTCATCTCACTCTGTGCATGTTCGATTTTCTTGTAATTTTGCCCATACCAATATTTTTATCTGAATTAGATGAAGCACGAAAATGGAATACTTCAGTCGACTTTATCTGGTACCTCACGTATATTTTCATATTTTCTAAAAATGATCACATATCTCACATAAAGTGAAGGAAGTAATGGATATAGTCCAAACCTGGCACGTCGCAATATTTATATCACATTTATTTAGGTACGATACGAAATAAACAATATTGGCCCATTCCTTCGGAACCAACTCCATAGGGAGTTAACAATTTAAATAATCACAACAAAACTCAAAATATATTTTTAAATAATCGAATATTGGCTGAGGGTGTACATCTTTTCGGCTAAACCGACTGATACTTCTTAACTTGTTTCCGTTATTTTTAAAACTTTCACTCTTTGTTTACTTTCAGCTTAAGGCAACCCAGTTTATGTCCCAACAATGTTTACGAACGTCTTATGAAGCCATGTTGGCATGCCAATCCAAAGATGCGACCCACTTTTCGCGATCTCATTGGTGTTATACAGTCAATTAGGAATGAAATCAATAATACTATACCAAAGCCCGATTTTAATAATATCTCTCCACCCACATCTCCCACATCATTAAATTAAATTACAACACGTATAAGTAAAACCAACAAAAAAAAAAGAAAAAACGAAACTCAAGTGCAAGTCTTTTTTTATTAGAAAAACAAAAATACAAATATTTAGCTATAAGCATTAAATAAGATAAACTACAAATTTTTATTTTTAATATGTATAGTTGTTGTAAGAGAAACAGGAGAAAAAAAAACACAAACAATAGTATGCAATGTCCATAAAACTCGACTATTTCAATCTCGTTGTAAATGTTTTTAAAATTAACTTAATTTTGTTACACAACAAATCATTTGCTATGATATTTTTTATGTATATATATTTTTTTATTTAGTTTATTTTTGCTTTAAATTTTTAAATTTATTTTAAGTGCCTTTTAAATAAAATACCACAAAAAAAAACTAAATACAATATGTGTGTAAAAATAATTTAGCTTTTATATATCTATTTTTGTAATAAAATGTTAGTATAATTTTTAGTAATATTTGAATATTTTCTATGTTTAATATATTGTTTTTTGGTTGTTTTACAAAACTATCAGCTACGTATGTATGTTTGCTATGTAAATTCTAAATACTTTCTTTTAGGCTTTGTTTTTTTTTTTTTTTTTTTTGTAATGCAAAATAAATGTTATCCATGGCACAGTAAAAAATTAAATAAATGCAATTGCAACCATCGAAATTCAACACAGATCATTACAAAAGAAAAGAGTGTCAACTAAATTCTGCATCCCACTAGAAATCACTCTAATCACACGCAATGATAATACGACGACGATTATACCACTCAAAAGAAAAGAAAACTTGATCAGCCAATTGATGTATGGTCTTGCCTTGTACTTTTTTATAATCACAAATATTTAAATACAATTTAAATATATACAAAACAAATGTAAATTATTTTTATTAATGTATGTTGTAAAAAAAAACAAAACAAAGAAACAGCCATTTTAAATTTAGAATAACTCTACTGTCTATTTTTTTTTTTCAAATGTAATATATAATTATAAATGAAATCAAATTTCACAATACACTAATTATATAGTAATCAAATAAACAACAACACACACATTGTAAGAAAAAAAGGAAAATAAATACAAATTTTAAATGTGTACTTTTAAAATAAAAAATTGTTTAATGATTTTTTGAAGTAAGAGCCATGGTACTATGAAATCAAGATGGGGTACAACTGTCAATCGATTTCAATTTTTATACCCTACACAATAACATGGAGGTGATATTAATCTATTAAATTCGTTTGTAACTCGTGGAAGTAATAATTTTACACCCAAAAAAAGTAAGTGAAAAAAAGTAAGAAGAAAAAAAAGTAATGAAAAAACTGCAACCAACTTCAGACTGTTGTCATTTCTAAGCCACTCGTCCGAGAGCTCTTAAAATTATTCCAGTGACAGTTCGTTATTTTGTTTACAAGCTTACAATAGCATTTTGTGGAGAATTTTCCAGCACAAAAAAAGGTAATTCGTGATGAAATTCAGGCGTGATAGTATGATTTCTTTGTATTAGGCTGGAAACCCATAACCAATTTGTCCCCCCATTAAAAGAATTAAAATAAAGGAAGCACCACCGATTTTACAAGTTTTATAAATAAAAATGTTGGAAATAGTCTTTTATTTTCATATTACATATAAATATTTACGTTTTTCACATTTTGTAAAGTTGTTCTCCAAAAACAATTATGCCATGTTTACGTTAGAACTTTTTGTAGGGTTAACCTACTTTGAGAGGATTTATTTGAAGTTAAAGTAATGGATATGACAATTTAAATCCAAATCCAGTGGGTTAACCCTCATATATATAAACGTACTGTTAGTCTTGCTAATTTCACAACAAAAATTTTCAAATCGAAAGCACAAAAAAAAATAAATAAACAATGTAAAACATCTAATTGAATGTCGATGAATGAGAAGAAGAAGAGTTGCAAGTGATTGCAAGAAGAAATTTGTCCAGCAAGAATTTGCAAACTCTCACAGAAAGAACTGTCAAAATTTCTCTCTTCAACCGCTCTCTTTTGCAGAACTTTCGGGTAACAAGCGACTTCCGGTAACAATTGTTACAAATTTTAGGGTAACCAGACACACCTATTTTTTGCTTTCATTCAATAAAATTAAAAGAAAAGTAAAAATTATGGCGTTTGACTTTGTTGCAGTTTTTTTATCTCACCCGGAATAGGTTCACGTTTTGCAATAGGCTCCATATAACTGTGCCGGCAGATTTAAGGTTTTTTTGGGTGTTTTAGCGACAAATTCAAACTGATTTTTTTGTAAATTGGGAGTATTTGTTCACCAGTATGTAGTAAACATCCCTGCAGAGTACTGTACATTTATGACCAAGTTTTGGTATAGACTCCTTATAACTGCATGATTTGCACACACCTTTGTGTAGTCCCCATATAACGGTTCTTCCCAATATTCAGAATTTTGATGATTATAGCTACATTTTCGGAATTCGTATTGTCATCTCTTTTTCTGACAGATCATTGGCTGTAAAGGCTCACGTTTTCGTATAGCCCAATATAAACGTAACACCTGATATTCGGAATTTTTTAATTTATTGCGGCATTTTTTAACGAAATTTTTTGCATTTTGCAAGTTCATTCCAAATGGAGGAGGGTATTAAAAGTTCGACACTTTTTAAATGGTTACTTTTTTTAAAAAAAAAATTTAAGTTACAAGTTTGCATGAAAACAATTTCCAACTGCAAAATCAAAAAACATTCCGAAAACAAAAATTCTCGCATTCCAGTACCTGCTAGAATCTACTAGTTTTGATATTTTCTTCGATGTCTCAAAGGAAAAATCGGTTATCTTTGTAAAAACTTTTACAGTCTTTTGATATCGAAAATAATTTCAAGGCTAGTAGATTTCAAGGTTCTGGAACTGATCACCATAGAATCTCATAGAATGTGATAAAACTCAACTTTAAGCATTCATCTCTATTATCTTATTTATATCTTATTCAACCAATCAATATACATCTCTATTATTACTTCTTATTTTAATTTCTTTACATTATTTATAGCTATCAGTTCAGAATGTTAAAAGCGGTTTTAGTTGGCCCAACTGGCCTGTCAGTTGGAGCCTTCGGCATTTTTCTTCTTCAAAGCTTCCATGACACCGGCAAAATTTGCCGTCTTCTTTTTAACCGATTTTGATTTGGGTGTACCATGGCGTCGCAAAGGTTGGGCAATATCATCACTGAAGTCAAAATCATTGGGTTTCATGGGACTGAAATGTAACCAAATATAGTCAGTTTTCCTTGTTGTTTTTTAGAGATCTAATTTCCACTTACTCATGTGTTTCGGTAACATCTGTGGAGAGGCTAGGTTCTTTGCTACTGCTTTTTATGTCCGGTGAGGGAGGTCGTCGCCCTGGACATTCCCATTCTAATTCCAAAATTGCGCCATTTTCCAGCATATTATAATAGGTTTCCAGTTCCTCGGCCGAGGGAAAGAAATCGTTGTCCTTCAGGGACGATTCTACCGAAGAAGACACTTCTGCGGACATTATGCGAATTGGAGAGGCGATAGACTCGGTGTGTGTAGTTCCAATGTTACAAACAAGAACAGAGTGATAAAAGAAAATGTCCAATAAAAGATAAACTGAAAACCAAATGCCTGAGTTTACGAATGAAGTGAGGAAAACAAAGAGGCGATGATGAGAGAAAGAGAAAGAAAAATCTGGTTGTTCATAATGGGGAAGTAGGGATTGCTAGGTACGGAAAACAACATCGATGTTTTCTGTGTCAAATAATCGATGTAACGAATTACGTCGATAACATATCAATCGATGTCAATTTTTTTATCGTTTTTTGACAACCAAACATCTGTCAACATGTTCATTATATTTGAGGTTATATAAAAGAAAAAAATCATTCGCTGCTGTAATTCGGCCAAATTTTTTTTAATTCATCTATAGACAAATTACCAAACAATTTACTTAAAATAAAATGTCGGACTTCGATTCATTGGGCTCTTCTTCGGGTGACAAGGAATTGCAAGAATTCCTAATGATTGAAAAACAAAAGGCGCAAGTTAACGCACAGGTATGAAGAACAATCTTGTTTTTAATTGGATGTAATAATTTATGAATGAAAACACATTAACATCATTACGCATTTCAGATACACGAGTTCAATGAAATCTGTTGGGATAAATGCATAGGTAAACCAAGCTCGAAATTGGATAGTGCCACCGAAACTTGCCTGGCCAACTGTGTGGATCGTTTTATTGACACTTCACTGCTGATAACACAGCGTTTTGCCCAATTGCTGCAAAAGAATCAATGAACGTAATCATGCACATCGGATATAGAATACGACAGTACAATAATTCCTAGATGGAATTTTATAGTCAACCACTTCATACTAGACACGTTTTTAGGATATTCCAAAAAGAAAAAAATATTGCAATTGGAAAGCTGCTAAAAGGGTTTTCAATTTTTATGAGAACAATGAATGGTAAATTTTGTTTTGGTTTTGATGTTTTTGTTTTATTTAAAACAAATAAAATTTACTGATTTAAATTGTAATCAAAAACTAATATTTTATATTTTCGATTTTTTTTTTCTCAGTTTCATTAAATGTCAGATGAACATTTACTTAGTAAATTATAAATAAGGTATTCGGCTTAAATGGATTTTAGGGTACTCTCTCGTATTTTGGCGGGTAGCCTACTCTTGTAATAAGGCGAGCTAGAGATTCGGATTGATACCCATATTGCCTTGGTTGTTCTTACAAATTTTAAAATTATACCAGAAACTAACGGAACTTTGGAAGCCCATGACTGGGAGAGTATGCACTTCGCAAAAAAAATCGCAGTACTCATAATCCCAAGATATAGCTGTGATTCATTTTTTAAAATGATTGACGAAGATGTCTCTAGACCGGCATTCATTGTACATTTTATAAAAATCAACCATAGATTGTGCATAAATTGGCTTATTTCTGCAATATGTTCCACTATTCTTACAAAACAACATTTCTAATTAATGCCTACAACATTCCTTTTTCGCTAAGCACATTTTTCCAAGAGACTTCCAACGTCGTTACATTGATATCAAGAAATTTATTTTCCTAATTCTTAGTGCTAATTTACAAAATACATTTAAAACAAAACAATCTCAAACGAAAACTAACTTTTGTCAGACATGATACCCTTTGATTTCTTAAGATTTCGATAAAGTTCAACAAGCTTTTGACGTTCTTTTTCCAACATATTTCTGGTGTGTTCGGGTAAATCTTTTCGTTTTCCTCTCATTTGTTCTTTAGTGACGCGGCCAGGAGATTTTGTTGTCTTAGTACTGCTGCCGCTAGGTTTGCTATTTGATGTTGAGCTTTCTTCATCAAGCAAAGATTTAAGTAATAAGTTATTTTTCTTTCCGGGCTAAAACGAAAATTGTTTCCAAATAAGATATCCTTTCTAAAAATATGAACTTTAAACCTACCCTTGGTACTGTTTCATTTTTCTCTGCTTTTCTGGGCAATGTTAGGGCTGTTGGTGGTGCATGTACGATTTCGCCAAATTTAAAAACGTCTCTTTGGTACTCTACAGTTTCTTTCGATGTTTCCTGTTTGCGTTCCTCTTCATCCTCTTGGATGGCTTGCTTAATTAATTGCTTAGCCAGTTTGGGATCAATGGGTTTGACGTCCTTTTCGTTTTTCTTTTTGTTAGCTTTTCCGCCTTTTCGTTTTTGCTTTAGCAATTCATCAATTTCATTTGGGGGTTTCTTTTTTATTGAGATCGCTCCAGTTTTTGGATCACGCACTACTTTTACACCATATTTAGCCTCGTATTGGGCTTCTTTCAAACTGGCAGATGTAATGCGATTAACGCGTTTCAAATAATCAACATCGTCTTCGCCGGGCATTTGTTTGATGGTTTTGAACTTATTGCCTTCATCAGTTTTGTTATTCTTGCGATTGGTCTTGGCTTCTTTCGGTTTGTCTTCCACGCCACTGTGTATACGCTTGATTTTCTTACCCGATTTTGCCTCTTCCGTCAGTTTCTTCAATTGTTTCATTTTAAACGATAGTGGTTGATCATTATCCCTGCTGGGCGGCGCATTAACAATGTTCTTTAGCCTGTAAATATAATTGCAAGGGGAATTAAGAGAGTAGACATGGAGCTCTATAGAAGATTTATATTACTTCTTTTCCTTTTCTTCTAATTGACGCAGAGGATCACGTATGCCATGATGTTTCCTTGCTGGAATTTTACGTTTCCTTGCCATAATTGGGGTTTCCTAGTTTTATATTGTTTTGTTGTTTATTTAAGAATGGAAAGAATGGATCGGACACATGTGCTAGATTGTGTTGTTCCTAAACAATTCAAAAAGACAATTCACAAAACAGAACCTTGGAAACTAGTTCATATTCACATGCACATGAAATGGGGATAGGTAAGACGATTTTCGATTTATCGATTACAGCGACAGTCTCTGCTTCATGGAGAGATGAGTAAAGTGAATAGACATGGCGCTGGTTTGTTCCAGAACTGCAAGAATGTAAAAGTTTTTACTATGATAACCCATTTTCGATATGATATCGAAAAAATATTAAAAATGAGAGAAAAGACAGTAATGAAAACAAAAATTGCTGAAAACAATTGCACCGCCTTTACACGGTGCAATTTTTAGCTGGCATTTTTATCAATTCTCTTTTAAATTTTCTGCGTAAATCTTCGCGCCTTTACACGGTGGCATTTTACGATAATAGTGCTTGGCATTTTTTCTGACATTTTATTTTATTCAGTATTTCGTATAGAGCTAATTGTTTGTAACAGATATTTATAAAGAAGTGATTTAAAATTAAGTGTGTGAATCTAAAGAAGAAATGATGGAAAAAGTTATTGAGGTGTTAAATATTGCATTATTAACTTTTATTTTAACTTTCTTTTTTTTACTTTTTAATACTTCCAATTAATTTTCATATAATTCAATCACTAAAAACATCACAATAAAAGAAACGCATTAAAAATTACAATAAAGAAGCGATATGAAATGTCAAAATTATAAAAAATTCGGAAGAAGCAAAAAGAGAAATGCAAAGAAAATGGCATGTAACCCTGTGCGGTGGCTCATCGTGCCATTTTTTCTTCTATCCTTGTCTCTCTACACCTTTTACCAACAAACAAAAATGGCATGGTTAAAAAATGTCACCGTGTAAAGGCAGTGTTGCTTTGAATAATTGCAAGAGGTAAGTTCAAAAGAGAACTCCAACATTCAATGCGAGTAAAAACAGCAAGCCTAATGTGGCGTTTCCACTGCACTTGATTCGCTCTCTATTCGTTGTTTGACCCTTAACTATGAAAAAACTACTTAATTCTTCACACAAAATTTCCTGAGCGAACACTCGTATTTGTACATTGTTCAAATCAAATCACTCTCAGAACAACGAAAAAATGTGTCCCATCCCTAACAAATGAGAGCATTTATCGAAAAAATAAATTATGACATTTAAAAATTGAAAATAGAAAAATTTGATGAAATTTTAAAAATTTTTGGGAAGACTGAAAATTATGAATGAAAACTACAATGTTGAATAGCGTATGTACATTCAAACGAAAGTAAATTTTGTTTTCTCTCTCATCCGAGGTACGCATATTGTCCACGAGTTGAAATTTCCACAGGAAACTGGAAACAAAAGAGGCAATATTTTCAAAATGTTTGTATCGGCAGAAAAAATGTTTGACAAGTGTCTCTCCAGCAAAATTAAAAAACAGAAAAATACAAAAATATGTTAAAAATGTCAACATTTACACAAAAAGTTGAAAACGTGAATGAAAACTATAAAATTAATGATCTAATAAATCTTTGGGAGAAAAACAATCATTTCTTCTACTCATATTACTGAGAATTTAATGTATTTTAGTATAAATTCCCATTAAAATCAACAAACAAAATTTTTGAAAAAATGAATTATTTTACTATGAATTACGAATCGTGAATTACGAATGAACGGGTTAATTCGTGTACCTAATTCTGAGAGCGAACAACGTTGTTCGGTTTTCAATGGAAACATGCTATTAATCAGGACAAACTACTGCATACTCTACTTTAAACTGCTGCTATAACATGGCATTTATCTGAAATGGATATGATTGGAGTATTCGATGTGTAGCCGAGCCATTTTAGAGTCAAGGTGGTACACTTATCGATTTATAGATATATAATATATCGATTTTTTTATCATCTCTAGTTCTTATGTTGTGCGGGTGCACATTGAGGTGTAGCATCTTTTTCTGATAGTAACGTTTAAAAAATAATTCTGACAGCTATTTCTACATAAATTTCCAATAATTGAATGAATTATTATTTATATTCAAAAGTCCTACCATTTCACAGGAGAGATTAAATAACATCAACAAAGCCGCTCTCTTCCGATAATTGTCACAATTATCCCGTTCAATCGAAGAAAGGATTATTGTGCTATTGCCATCTCTAGTTTTCATTAAATGTAAAATGGCGACAATTTCCCATAACTAATTGCTGGACGGCTTAGTTTTTGCCAATAAGTAGATACAATTTTCCGAGGAAAACAAGAAAAACTGCCTAGGAATTGTTTCATCAACATTTCCCCTGTGTTATATGCAAGAATAAACACGTTGTACTGAATCTAAATTTGTTGTTCTGCATTGACAAAGTTTCTTGTGTTTGGAGAAGAGGAAAAAATTGTCGGGTGTAATAATGTGGAACCAGTGGTCGCAGTATGCGACACAACCGCCGTTACCAATAACAGCAGCACCGCCACCACCCCCTAGTGATCCGATTCAAACGGCACCACCTCCACCCGGTCCAACTGCCCCAATGATAGGGGCTGCGGCTCCACCGCCCACAGCTGCAGCTGCCGTTGTAAATCCCGCTGCTGCCGCTGTAGCAGCGAACCCGTATTCTCAATATACCGCTGCTCAGTATGCTGCCTTGACACCAGAACAACAATACACTCTGCAGCAACACTGGCAACAATGGCAAAAATATCAGGAAGAATATGCTAAGTGGCATGCTCAGTATGGAGAACAGGTAAGCAGGCAAAATGTTCATTCATTTCCAATAGCTTAAATTAATTGTTGTTGTTGTTGTTGTTTATGTTTTATTAGTATAAACGAGAAATGGAGGCAGCGACCAAGCCGGCAGCTGCACAGACCGCCGTGGTGCCGGCTCCAGGATATCCAGGTTTTATTGGTCCAGTTCCACCAACTGCAGCACAAGAGGCTGAAGCCAAAGCAGCAGTTAATGCAACGAAGATAACTGGACAACCGCAATTGTACAATCAACCTCCACCCCAAATTGTAGCGGGTAATCAGTATACAGCTGCTAGACCACCACCACCAATTACAAATTCACAACAACCACAAGGGCCGCCACAACCGCCACAGTCTCAACCTTCGTATCAACAACCACCACCCCAGTGGCAAAGTCATCAATCCTATAATCAACCACCTCCAAATTTCAATGCTTCTTTGGCACCACCTGTAAATTATCAAAATACCAATGCCCCGAATCAATGGCAAACTGGTCCTCCACCCTTCTCGAATCAGCGAAATCAACCGCCACCACCACCTACAGAATCATTTGGAGGTCCAAATAAGGGAGCAGATGCTAATAAGCCGGGTCCAAATGAATGGAACAACAGAGACAGTTTTGGTGGTCCTGACAATATGAACCGTGGTGGCAGACCTGCAGAAAAGTGGGAAGAGGGTCCACCACCTAATCGTGGAAATCCCAATATGGGTCCTAATGATTGGCAGCAGGGCAGGGCACCTCCCAATGTCCGAGGACCTAATAATTGGCAGGATGATTCCAAAGGTCGTGATAACCCAGATGCGGACGATTGGCAAAATTCACGTAGTAATTCTAGAAATCGTAATCGTAGTAATGAGCGTGATGAACGTTGGAGAGGTGGTCGTGGGGATGCAGATGGTCCCTGGAGGGGAGACCATGGCAACAATGGTCCTTCCAACAATCGCGACGATAATCGGTTTAACAATTGGAATGACAATCGTGGCAGAAATGAACCCAATGATTGGCGAGACGGTCCAAATAATAATCGTGGAAATAATCGAAACAATAGAGACGATGATAATCGTGACATGGGTCCGAATAATCGTTTCAATGCTGGCGGTTGGGATAATAATGCCCGAGGTCCCAGAAATTGGCCAGATGGTCCAAACAATCAAGGGAATAATTGGAATAACAATAACAATCCTAATAATCGCTTTGGTGGACCACCCAACAACCAAGGAGGAAATTCTGGTGGCCGACCTGTACCCGACATTGACGAAGAAATGTTCGATCGTCAATTTAAACAATGGGAAGAACAATTTGAGGATTGGAAGCGAGCCAATGCCAATCATCCTGATCGTGAAATGTACGAACGCTATGAACAAGAATTCGAGAAACAACGTAAGCGTATCATCGAAAGACGCGAGCAAATGCGTCGCCGTAAAATGGAACGCATGGGATTGGATCCAAATCAGGCACCGCCATCAGCGAACATGCCAGGTAATAGTGCTAGGCCTGGGCCATACAGTAGAGATTCGTCTAGAAACCGCGATGATTCTACATCATCACATCGCGGAAATCGAGAAGATGATAGATCAGTACATGATGATGAAGATGACGAAGTTAAAAATGATTCTAAATCCCAAACATTGGATGATAGAGATGCGGATGACTCGGCTACAGACAAAGATATGAATGACACTGCCAATAAAGCACAACCCAATGCGCCAGTTTCAATTAAATTTAATGTTCAGAAAAACACTCCGTTGGGAAAACGTAAATCTCGGTTTGATAACAATGGTCCTACGCCCAGCAAGGTGGGAAAACCACTCAACAAAGGTGCCAACGATCCAACGGAAGTTATAAATCTTGATGATGACGACGATGATGATGCTGTGGACAGTAGAAAACAATCCGAATCGGAATCTGCAACGGAAACAATGACTGAAATATTTAAGAAATCTGATGGTATACCAGGATTGGATTTGGTCAACGATGGAAGTGCTGCTTCTGTGCCGGAACAATCAAAAGATAAATCCGAGGAGAATGAAGATGCCCCGAAGAATACCATAAAGAAAAATGATAAACCAATTGCTGAAGTAAGACCCGCTACTGCTGCAGTTATACCGGATATTTCTAAGACCCTAAACGATCCAGAATTTATGAAGAAAATTTCTGAGGCTGTGGCAAAGGCTCAGGGTAAAGACGATGTAGTAGGACCAAAACCGATGCAGCGTGGTGATTGGCAGCGCAATAATCAACCGGATATCGACAATGAAAACTCAAATGATAGATTTTCCGGAACAAAATCATTTGTTGAAGATGAAAACTCTAATGCCAGTTATGGGCGATCTTCTAGGCAAGGAATGGATGACGATATACGCCAAGAAAACTTTGGACCAAATCGAGGAGGTGGTAATAATTGGGGTCCAAATGAGGGACCAGGACCCTGGAGAAATAATGATTTCAATAACAGTGGCCCCAACAATTGGAGAAATAATGGTGGTCCCAATAATGGTAATTGGGGGCCTAATGGTCCTGGTGGAGGACCGAACAATAACAACTGGGGGCCTAATGGACCTGGTGGAGGACCGAACAATAACAATTGGGGTCCTAATGGACCTGGTGGAGGACCGAACAACAATAACTGGGGTCCAAACAATAACAATTGGGGACCTAATGGCCCTGGTGGAGGTCCAAATAACAACTGGGGTCCCAATGGGGGCGGTCCCAATAACTGGGGCCCTAATGGTGGTGGCCCCAACAACTGGGGTCCTAATGGCGGTGGACCCAACAATTGGGGACCAAACAATAGAGGTGGACCCAACAATTGGGGTCCAAATAACAGAGGCGGCGGTGGTCCCAATAACGGTGGCGGTCCTTGGGGTAGAAATGGTGGAGGCCCTTGGGGCAATAATGGTCCTAATAATAACAATGGTCCCTGGGCAAACAACAATGGACCTTGGTCTAACAATGGAGGCCCCAACAATAACGGCCCATGGTCAAACAACTCGGGTCCGGGTCCAGGTCCTTGGAATAACAGTGGAGGTGGCGGCAATGGCCCCAATAACAATTGGCCAAACAACAATAATTTTGGACCAAATTTCCGTGGTCCCAATAACAATCGCAATTTTGGCCCCAATGGACCCAACAACTCAAACTTTGGTCCAAATGGTCCCAACAGCCCCAATATGGGCCCGAACAATCGTAACAACAATGGCCCAAATAATACGCCTGTACGCAATTTTGGCCGTGATGGTCCTCAAAATCAATCGGACGACTCAACAAATAATGCTCAAACACCACGTAATATCAACAATCCATTCCGGCGCAATGAAAGCTCCAAGACGCCCTCATTGGATGGTGGCAATTCCCCAAAACCATGGACAAAAGGCGGAGGGTAAGTTATTTATACAAATATCCTTAATTTTATTGTGAGAGTAAATATTTTCCTCTAAACATATACGAATTTCTGAATGGAATAACATTAAGCCTAATAGCTAAGATTAAGCCTAAAAGCATGCAATATGAAATTATCGAACAATTTGCATTGCCTTTTGTAGCATATTATCATTGGGAAATGATTTCCTTGCCTTTATTTGAAAGGTATATAGTTGGTAAAGTCCTTCCGATTACATTCTTGTTTTGTCACAAGGTCCAATAAATGATCTCTGTGATATATCTATGAATATATATGAATACATATGTAAACCAAACCTACCAACCAGTCAAAGAAACTTGTAGTTGTCCCTATTAAGACTATTTTACTCTACTGATACCACCATGTTCACGTTGACAGTTAACAATATTGGAATTTATTCCATTTCTTTTCCTCTCTTTTCATTGTTTGCTACACTACAACTCTACGTAATCTACTGAAACGAAACATAAAAACAAATTACGTTACGAATGTATATTCTCCGGTTAATGTTGGGTTTTATAGCGGTAACAATAAACCTAAGTTTGATGATAACAAAAGGACAAACAGGAACCGTCGTCGAAAATAGGCAACCGACCACAGTTTATCAGTAAAATAAAAACAAAAATATATATATCCTTAAAAGTAAACTGAAGAATAACAAGAAAATTGCAATTATTTTAAGTTTTTTTTGTCTCTCTCTCTCCCCCTATCACTTTATATGAATTATTACATATAATTGATTCTTGTAAGATTGATCGGATAAGTGATTCTTTTAAAATGAAAAAAAAAAAACGAAATACTACATCCCATTATATATACACACACACACTACCACATATGCACACCACAATTCTCTTACATTATACGGCTATGTTTTCTTTTGAGCTATTACAGCTTTGTGTTGTATAAATGCAAAAAAAAGAAAAACAATTTAATAGCACCCTTTTAGAGATTGTTTGATGTTAGTAGTTAAACATACCAACATAATGAAAAACAATAAAACAAATGTGTCTCTTTATTTTACTTAATGTTTAAGTAATAAATATTTAATTGATTTTTCAAGAATTCCGGTTTAATAACAACTAAACTATGAAGAATTTTTGCCAATAAATGAAATAAAGTTAATGAAAACAACTTCGATTTTAATTACAAAGACAAAAATGATAACAGACAAAACTTGGTTTTTGAATTTCCCGGCAAAAAAAAAAAAAAAAAAAAGCTCATTACAAATTGAATTATTAATCCATTATTTTAACAAAGAGGCCTCTAACAAATCGACAGAAAAGTAGCTATTCCTTGTTGTAGGCAACGAATATTTACTTAGTTGTCGATTTGCTTTTGTGGCCAAGAAATAACTATTTATTTCGAGTTGGGTTAGTAGTGCCATTTGTAAAGAGCCCCACTCACTATACAGAAAGCTTGAAAGCATTTTGAAAATGCCTGTGCAATTTTTGGATTGAAGAAAATACAAATAGTTTTGATTTTGATTATGAAAGCCCTTTAAATCTGATGAATGGAGTTTACCAGATTGAATATTGTTCCAGAATCTGCAAGAATGTACTACTTTTGCATTTTTGTTTTCAATTCCATTGGCTGTATATTCAGATTGATAGTGAGTGGGGGCTTAATGTTTCTTTACTGGGAAGAATTGAAAACGCCATTGTATTCGGCCTTGTCGAATATCCGAATATAGCTCGGTAATATCAGGTATCGAAGAGTTTAGAAATTGTGTAGATATTCGGCCATATTACGGTTGTCGTCGTCGTGCCAAAATGAAGTCGAGGCGACAATAATGATATTAGGGTGGTCGTTTTTTGTCGATAGCGATTTTAACAACAGCAAAGGTTAGGTTAGGTTAAAGGACGCGCAGTTACCATATGGCAACCGCTTCACTCGGAGACCTATAGGTCCATTGTGTTCATCCTGGAAAAATAGTAAGAAACAAGGAAGGAGTGGTTGATAGAAAGGGGTGAAGTTAAGAGATAGAGTTATAGAGTGTGATCTACGGCTGAGGAATTTGCCGTGTTGTCTTTAGCCACTTGAATCTTTTGGCTAATTGAAGGATTACTATAGGGTCAGTGTTAGAAAAAGAAGACAGATCATGTGACACTAGTTCTCCCACCAGTCTGTGTCTCACATTAATGAGTGCTGGGCAGTGGCAGAGCAAGTGTTCGACTATCTCGATTTCTTCTTCATCTTGACAGATCCTACAGTAGTCAATGTCGTCGCTATCCCATTCCAAGGTCATTGCCCTTACCTTACGGTGATTTGTGATGATACCCACCACAAGTTTTAGATCAGGTTTCGACAATGACAGTAGCGACTTTGTTCTCTTCTCTGAGAGTGTGGGCCAGATTCTTTTGGAGATGGTGCAACCCATTTCGTCCAGCCATTTTTGTTGGATTCTCTCAGAGTAATGTTTGTGAATGACCTGTAGGAAATGGCACAGTGGTGGTTTAACCGAGTTATCTACTTCAATTGTAGTTGATTCGGATCCTAGCAGTCTAGTTACCTGGGATGTTATAATGACCAGGAACCCAACAGAGCTTAATGGACAACCCAGTGTTTTCCAAGGCTTTCCTGCAGTTAAAAACAGCCCTAGACTTAATAGTAAAGGAATTTAAGGCCTTCAGTTCTGCTTGACTATCGACATGTATAGTCACCGGACCGGTGACCTCAGTATTCCTCGTGACCAGCAGGTCTGTGGCCTTTTTGACCGCAAAGATTTCCGCCTGAAATACGCTACAGTTGTTTCCAAGCTAGTAGGATTCACGAACATTAAGGGTATCACAGAAGACACCAGCTCCCGTTCCACACTCCATCTTTGAACCGTCGGTATAAACAGCTATGCCGCGAAAAAGTGGGTTGTTATGGGCCCAGGCGTTGTATTGGCTACCACTCTAGATTTTTGACTCGAGTGTCCGGGTTCAAGACCCGGATCCACTAATCCGATATAGGCAATATAGGTATCGTTTGAAAGCTTACCCAATATAGACAATATAGGTATCGCTTAGATAAGACGTTTCCAACAAGTTGTTTGCCACACATCACCGAAGGCCGGCTACTTACAACAACTTTTAAATTTAGAAAACTTTAGTTCGCGTAGCCGGTTGAACATACCCAGAAGAGAATATCTCTGGACCCAGAAAAGGTTTTAGTACAAATTGTGGCATTTGGGAAAAGCAAAAGTGTCATCATCATTGGCATCAATTTTGTTGATAAAAAATCGGGTCTAAAAAATCAATGATTTGACTATAACTTCCGAACAGCTTCAAATAACCCCATCAACTGACGATTTGTTTAATAGGTATTTTCATAAGCCATACTGTCTACATTGGGTAAGAGGATCCGAGTCTTGAACACTGACTTTCGGGTCAAAAATCTGGGGTCCCGGGTCAGAAATATATATAGTTTCCCGGAATCAGGGTAAAAAATATCTACCGCTGCAAAAAAATTTTTTAAAAAATTTGGCGAAATTTTTATTAGCACATGCTGAAGGCAGTCCTTGTTAATTCTGCAGTAATTTAGAAATCTAAAAGAACACATTAAGTACATATTTTAATTAAAATATGTAGTTACTTGGACTCAGACAATGCAAATCTGTTTGTTTGCTGCCTTAGCACTCGATGCTGCAATTTTTCTTATCTTTTTTGTGTTGCAAACTTTTTTTTTAACTGTCGATGTCGCTTCTATGCCTTGCACATAACGTCGACGACGACTATAGAAACGACAACCGTAATTGGGCCTGTTTATATAGATGATTTCTACATTTTGTATGATTGTGAACAGCTAAAGATGGTGATCCTGAAACTTTTTTCGTTTACATGATGGATAGATTATTAAGGAGACAATGTAACGTCTTCCCTAAGACCTAGCTAATATCTATTACATGTGTGAATTTTTTTTAATAATATCTACACTTTTTTATAAAGAAAAATAACTTAAGATATTCTATTTAAAATATTTGGATCTTAGATGACTAAATCTTTTATGGCAAAATATATATGCACATTTTCTATACGAAGATATACAGTATTCCTCATGTGTATACAGATTATTGATTTTTCTTTTCAGTTAAAATAATTTTTACATATCGTAGTTTTGTAAAGCAATTCCGTCATAGGATTGAATTAAAACTGGACCTATTATGTTTGACAATAACAAGATTTAAGATTTGTTCACGTGGTTCATATTTACTGTGAAAAATTTTAAATGTATTTAAACGAAAAATTTTAAATGTAGAGATTTTTGGAAATTTAGTCCAGGCGTTGTTTTTGAAAATTTATATTTAAAGGATCAGAAATGTTCAAAAACATTGTTCATACAGGGGACACACTTTTGCATTCAATATCAAAAAATTTTCGATTGAAATTAATTTCTGATATTGATAGAAACAACTGGTGTTCAATTCTAAATTCGATATTCAGTCATTTCTACCAAAATTTGCTATTAAATCAAACTAAAATTTAAATTTTTAAATTAATTTCGATCGAAAGTTTTTCGATATCGAATGAGAGAATTTGTCTCCAGTATTGCGCCAAACAAAGGTAATCCATTTGAAATGAAAAGAAATGCCAAAAAATTTATGAAAACAGGTTCATAGTTTTAGTATGTTGTTTTTGTCCAAAAGAAGTCTGTTATATAGAGATTGATTTCAATAATTTTGGTATTACAGTGCATTGAAACAATAAAATTGATTGATAGAATTTTGGCTTGAAGAACATTAGAATTTTGATGGAAACAATCGCAATCTAATTCAAAACAGAGACGTTCGAAATGTAAACTTTTTAATTTTTTTCTTTCTGTGCTTGTCTGTGAACGTCCCTGATTCACACATTCGATATTTAGTTGTTTCTCCATATATTTTTCTCGGCTTTATAACTACACATAGGGAAATGACATTTCCATCGGTCCGAATAAATTTAATTCAAGTACATAACATTTGCATATGCTACAACTACTCAGGCAAAGTCTTATTTAGTAGTATGCTGAATTTATAGAATTTTGAATAAAAATGCTTTAAAAGCCATGAGGCAACAAATTTTTTACACTTTGGCTCCGATACTAATACAATGGACATATCAAAAGTTGTTATAAGATTTTAAAATATGAGGTGATAAATAGATAAACATTTTTAAGTTCTCGCATTACGTGGCTGTAATGCATTAATTTTTGTAAGGTAGATGTTACGTTAGGAAATATGCTGGTACACCGTACACAAAACGTATTACCCTTTTAATAGCAGGCCTAATTTTGTCTAAAATCACTTTCTAATGCCTGGTAGTAGGTATATACTGAAGATATTCCGATGTAACATCGGAAATATGTTTCTTTTTACATTATCGACAAATGTTTTCTAATGTTTAAGTACTTGTTTCTTAATTTGTTACAATGGTTTGATGATTTGTAATTAATAAATTAAATCAAAAAATTTTTCAGTTAAAATTTTTAAGCAGAATTTATGTCTAAAATAAAAAAGGCTGAAGTATTTTTATGCATATACAAGCTCACATAAGTATTTTAAAGATCAATATCTACCAAAATGTTTAATGCCCAAGAAGTAATTGAAACATGGGTTCAAGTGATTCCGAGCCACAACATTTGTGGACGAAGGAAATCATGATTTTTATAGGGGCGTGGTACCGCTGGGACGCAGTCTATTTCGCATCATGACCATGTCCTCGACATGGATTATTTACGTATTAGAGTCACGTATATAAAGAAAAATTATAAAAGAAATTATAAACCTTTGAGAAGTTGAATGCAAATCTGGTGTTGCTGAAATATGTAGAACAGAATATCTTTCTCATGGCTCTATGTACATCCTCCTAAACTGATTTAATTTTATTTTGCTGGTGTTTTCTTCTATAAAGGGCGATTTTTTTATGAGCTATGGAAATAAGTGATTAAAAAAACAGGAAGTAAAAGTCAAAAGTCGGCTATAATATACCCTACAACACTATGCATATTTAGTAGAGCTCCCGTAAAAAAGAGCATTTAGAGCAGTTATAGTTTGCTATAGATTGCATGATATCACTTGGCGAAGGATTATATTAAAAAAATATACATCGGAGCCGACTTGCACAAAATGGAAATGTACGTCCCGAAATCCACTTCATTTGGACTGAAATCGGATTAAGGATATATATGGAAATCTGAACCGATCTTAACAAAACTTGATACACTTACTTCAGAGCTGTATCTGATATCTGGTACTCAAGATCATTGTTGCATATTACGCTTGTGAGGGACTTTAAACCTCAAATCGGATAAAACATATACATATATGGAAGCTATAGCTATATCCGAACCGATTTACATAAGTTTGAAATTTTAGTTTATAGGGTGAATTCTGTCGTAATTGCCGAAATTCAACCCATTTGGGCTGATATTAGCCATTTGCTGCACAATAAACCTGATATCGGATAAAGATATATATGGGATAAAATTTGACAGAGATATTTTCGAGCAGTATCTAATGTCTGTTACCAAATATCATTCTTCTGGAGTGCATATTACGCATGTGAGGGACTTACAACCCCAAATCGAATGAAACATATATATGGGAGTTTTATAGCTATATCTGAACCGATTTTCTTCAAATTTGATTTACTTGTTTCGAGACTGAATTCTGTGGCATGTTATTTTAGCCATTTGGTGTACAATTAACCCGAAATCATCGGTTGAAGATATATGGGAGCTACATCTAAATCTGATACGATTATCACCAATTTCAATATGGTTCGTCCTTGGGGATAATAAATGCGACCTGCATTTTGTTCACAAGTATACATGGACGGACAGATGGACAGACATGTATAAATCGACTCAGAAAGTGAAACCACTATGTGGTGTAGGGTATAAAAACTTAAAATTTAGAAAAATGCATGAAATCTTTATTTGAATTGAAATTTTGGCGCGACTGTCCTAAAATTGTCCAACATTTCTGCAGGCACTTTACAAATATTCAATGTTGTCTTTTAATGCGTCAATTGAAGCGGGCTCACCTCTCAATAAGTTCATTGTTACGCGTGCTGTGTGACATGTGGCTTGTCATGCATTCAAGCTCTTGGATTTTGAGCAAAAAATTTGAATAGTGTCATTTATAGTAGAAGTACGTACGGTCTAATGATGCCACCAGCCCATAAACCGCATCTAACTGTGACGTTTTCTGGATGCATTCGTACCTTTGAAATAATCCTGGTGATCTTTACAATAAAATTGACAATTCTGCTTATTTACATACCCATTGAGCCAAACATTAGTTTTGTCGCTGAACACAATGAAAAAATCTCTTAAGATTAAACTAAACTAAAAAATCTCAAGATATAGCTGCAAATCCCATAGCCCTAGCCCATTAAAATAGCTACGAAAGACGCATTAATGAAATATGCCAAAGTTGGGGGCTAAAATGTCCTGTTAAAAGTTAAATGAAATGGCTGGCAATAATTGCGCGAAATACCATGCAAAATGTTAGGCAAAATTCCATGATTAGGATCAAAAAATGATTTGAGATTATGAAGTCAGAAATAGAAAAGTTTAAAAATATAAGGTCTGCTTGTAAATGCCTACAATGAAATTTAAAAAACTGAGATACAAATATTTTTGAAGCTACATTTGTCACGTACAGTCTTATTTCAGTTTTGTGACTGCAGAAAAGTCTTTGCAATGTAAAAACCTGAATTACTTGTGGGCGATGAAAATTTGCTGTTTCAAAATGAATCTGAAAAACATGCTTCCTTAAATGAGATTAGAATGCGAGAATTACTATTCTAAGGCAGTTAACTAACATAGCTAAATTCTATGTCATACCATCTAGATCTGTTTTTATATTATTTATGTGTCATGGAATGGATCCCATTTCTGATTCCCGATAAAGCATTGCTGGCTTCAAAAGAGTTTCTTTGGGCTATATGAAACGACGATTAAAATATATAAAGAAAATAAGAAAAGTAGCTTAACCGAATCCAAAATCCAACAACATTTCTTTCGTGAAAGACATATGTTACGTTGAAAACGTAAATTGATGAAAATAAATTGATTATTTGTAATCGATGAAATGTAAATCAAATAATTCAAATATTTGAATACCAATTTCATTTATCAATACGTCACTGATTTGAAATGTACGTTAAGTATTAGAAAAGTATTATATACTCTATTTAAACTTCTGATAGTTTGTTTGCTAAGAAATGATTAATTTCGCACATTACAACTTACAACAAGTTGTAATGCAACAATGTGTTGCAAGCCAGCAGAGGCAAAAACCAAAACCTCAAAATAAGAGATCTTTTATGATTAACTTTTATTTCATATTGTGTGTGTATATTTTTCTGATACCAAAAAAAAAAAGAATAACAAAAACAAAAGAAATGAAATAAGTTTTATTTATAAAATAAAAAAATGCTAAGAAACGAATGAATTTTTATCCTACTGTTGTGGTTAAACACAAACACACAAAATTCAATGATTACAACACAGATCCTTTGGTGGTGGTGGTGATGCAAACAATTTCGATTATGGCGACAATTACTTCCGACCAGTACAAGTCATTGATTATGCAAACAATGCTAATGCACCACCAAAAGTGATCGATTATGGACATAAGCCAGTAACTGGTGGTGCTGCTGCTACAACAGATGATGCTAACTTTAGGCCCATGAAAATTTTCAATTATGATCATGCCTCGAAACCCAATAATGCCAAAGGTGGTGGCGGCGGTCCCAATGCTGGCAATAAGCGTGGTAAAAATCGTCGAAATAAACGCAAACAGCAACAACAACAGCAGCAGCATAATCGTGGAGATCAATCACAAAACAAACAACAACAGTCTAACAACAATAACTCTAATGCAAATGATAACTCAAATCCAAATCAAAAGGTAAGAACTAAAAAATTTCCCCTTAACAAAATCCAGAAATTCTGATTAAGAAAATTATTTTTTTTCTAGAATGCCGAACAAAACAATGCAAACTCTTCAGAAAACCAAGAACAGCATCACAATAATGATGAAGAACAACTTGAAGATATTTCCGATAATGAAGAGTAAGTACAAAGCAAAAATAGTTTTTTGAATTCGAGACAAACAACACATTTTTTTGTGAATTGGGTTTCTAAGATTTTTTTTTATTTGTAATTCATTTTTTTTATTTTTTTTTATTTGTTTTTTTTTTAATTTATTTTTTTTAATTTATTTTTTAAATTATTATTTTTTTTCTTAATTTATTTGAAAAAATGTTAAGGGCATGTGTTGAGGCGTCAACTTAATTATATTACTCAACTAACTCATAACCGGTTTAATAGAACACTAATTATTAAATTTTAGAATTAGACCTTTATAGGTTAGGTTAAAAGACCCGGGTTTGCCTTATGGTAGCAGCTCCAATCGGAGATCTGCTGCTCCATCCTAAATTAGAAAAAGAGAAAATATAAGATATTGGACAAATAATATGATAATTAAATAGTAGTCCACCACCAAAAGTTCATCGTGTTGCTACCTAAATCTTCTGGCTAGCTGAAGAATTAGTGCTGGCTCCGTGTTAGAGCATGAAGACAGATCGTGTGCTATTTGCTCTACCACGAATGTCATGTCTCACATTGATAAGAGTTTGTCAGTGGCAGAGCAATTATCAATTTTGTCCTTAAATTGGCAGATCCTACAGTAATCAGTACCGTGGCTACTCCATGTAGAAGTTATGGCTCTTACAATTTGGGCACCGTAACATTACGTTTGGTTTATCCCACTGCACCAGTTCTGCTTACCAAAAGTGGGCACATTATATCACAACCACACCTTCATACCAAGACCTGTGATGTTTCAGGTTTCGACATGGAGATGAGCGATCTTCTTCTCTTCTCGGAGATTATAGGACAGATTTTTTTAGGGACATTACATTCTCTTTCATCTAACCATTTTGTTGGAATTTCCCGGAGGAGTAGGGTTCGTGTATCGAACAAATGGAGTGGCACGGGGGTAGTCTAATCGAGTTCTATACTTCAATGTCTGTTGTTTCGAATCCCCCATTTGCCAATTCATCTGCTGGAATATTGTAATGATCTGGAACGCAACAGAGGTTGATGGACAACACAGACCCTATAGAAGTTTTTTCTTTCCGGCAGCTTTCTTTCTCGCTTTGCTTGCAACTTGGAGGTCTTCTTTGAAGGTCGTCGTCATTTTTGGGTCTTCAACTGGTTTCACCACTTTTCTACAGGTGGGGATACTGCTTATCAGAAGTTCCCGTCAACCTTTTTATTGGTCTACGGTTCCGTTCACCTTACCTCACCTTTCATTTCCCTTGCCTTAGAGGGTAATACCTTCGGGTTTGGCATCTTAGAGACCTTCTTTAGTTCGCTCTACTTCAATATCACGTTTCCATGTAGGTTGGGATTTCTCGCAGTCATCGCCTCTTTTAGGACCTCGGCTGGTTTAACCTTCACCACTGTTATGCATGTGGGGTCCTGCTTATCTGGAGTTCCGGCAGCCTTTTTATTGATCTACAGTTTCGGTAACCTAACCTCAGCCTTCATTTCCCCTACCATGGAGGGTAATGCTGTCGGATTTGGCGTCTTAGAGGCCATCTTTGGTCCGCTCTCCTTCAATATTAATTTTCCATACAGGCTGGGGTTTCCCGCAATCGTCGCCCTTTTTAGGACCTCGACTAGTTTCACCTTCACCACTCTTCTGCATGTGGGGATCTTACTTATTGGGAGTTACCTTAGTATTGCGTTAGGATATGTAATCTCGAACTACCTAACGAACTTTAGGTTCGTCCTGGATAAGCTGCAACTCCTTATAAATGAGCTGTAATGGATTCCCATCGACATATTGACAAAAGTATTTAAAAGCTCGCCGTTATGCCTTTTTATTCCTTGCCTCCTTGTATTTGCCATTTTTGGCGACACTTCCTTTTAAATGTCGACGCTCTGTCATACTGAACGGTCTCCTGCCTTGAGAGCATGGCGCTTTCAGGATCGTGTGGGCGTTTTAAAAATTCTGTCGAATTTCCTTAAACAATATGGATGGATTTTTTAAAGAATATTTTTTCAAAGGATCAACGTGGAATTTTTAAAGAATATTTTTTCAAGGATCAACGTGGATTTTTTAAAGAATATTTTTTCAAGGATCAACGTGGATATTTTAAAGAATATTTTTTCAAGGATCAACGTGGATTTTTTAAAGAATATTTTTTCAAGGATCAACGTGGATATTTTAAAGAATATTTTTTCAAGGATCAACGTGGATTTTTTAAAGAATATTTTTTCAAGGATCAACGTGGATTTTTTAAAGAATATTTTTCAAGGATCAACGTGGATTTTTTAAAGAATATTTTTTCAAGGATCAACGTGGATTTTTTAAAGAATATTTTTTCAAGGATCAACGTGGATTTTTTATAGAATATTTTTTCAAGGATCAACGTGGATTTTTTAAAGAATATTTTTTCAAGAATCAACGTGGATTTTTTAAAGAATATTTTTTCGAGGATCAACGTGGATTTTTAGAGAATATATTTTCAAGGACCAATGTGAATTTTTTAAAAGAATATTTTTTTTCAAAGACCAAGGTGGATTTTTTTAAAGAGTATTTTTTTCAAAGATCAACGTGGATTTTTTAGAGAATATTTTTTTCAAGGACCAACATAGATTTTTGAAGAGTATTTTTTTCAAGGACCAACATAGATTTTTGAAGAGTATTTTTTTCAAGGACCAACGTAGATTTTTGAAGAGTATTTTTTAAGGACCAACGTGGATTTTGTAAAGAATATTTTTTTCAAGGATCAAGGTGAATTTTTTAATGAATATTTTTTCAAGGATCAACGTAGATTTTCTAAAGAGTATTTTTTTTCAAGGATCAAGGTGAATTTTTTAATGAATATTTTTTCAAGGATCAACGTAGATTTTCTAAAGAGTATTTTTTTTCAAGGATCAAGGTGAATTTTTTAAAGAATATTTTTTCAAAGGATCAACGTGGAATTTTTAAAGAATATTTTTTCAAGGATCAACGTGGATTTTTTAAAGAATATTTTTTCAAGGATCAACGTGGATATTTTAAAGAATATTTTTTCAAGGATCAACGTGGATTTTTTAAAGAATATTTTTTCAAGGATCAACGTGGATATTTTAAAGAATATTTTTTCAAGGATCAACGTGGATTTTTTAAAGAATATTTTTTCAAGGATCAACGTGGATTTTTTAAAGAATATTTTTCAAGGATCAACGTGGATTTTTTAAAGAATATTTTTTCAAGGATCAACGTGGATTTTTTAAAGAATATTTTTTCAAGGATCAACGTGGATTTTTTATAGAATATTTTTTCAAGGATCAACGTGGATTTTTTAAAGAATATTTTTTCAAGAATCAACGTGGATTTTTTAAAGAATATTTTTTCAAGGATCAACGTGGATTTTTAGAGAATATATTTTCAAGGACCAATGTGAATTTTTTAAAAGAATATTTTTTTTCAAAGACCAAGGTGGATTTTTTTAAAGAGTATTTTTTTCAAAGATCAACGTGGATTTTTTAGAGAATATTTTTTTCAAGGACCAACATAGATTTTTGAAGAGTATTTTTTTCAAGGACCAACATAGATTTTTGAAGAGTATTTTTTTCAAGGACCAACGTAGATTTTTGAAGAGTATTTTTTCAAGGACCAACGTGGATTTTGTAAAGAATATTTTTTTCAAGGATCAAGGTGAATTTTTTAATGAATATTTTTTCAAGGATCAACGTAGATTTTCTAAAGAGTATTTTTTTCAAGGATCAAGGTGAATTTTTTAAATAATATTTTTTTTCAAGGATCAACGTGGATTTTTTAAAGAACATTTTTTCAAGGATCAACGTGGATTTTTTAAAGAACATTTTTTTAAGGATAAGCGTGGATTTTTTAAAGAACATTTTTTTAAGGATCAACGTGGATTTTTTAAAGAATATTTTTTTCAAGGATCAACGTGGATTTTTTAAAGAATATTTTTTTCAAGGATCAACGTGGATTTTTTAAAGAGCATTTTTCAAGGATCAACGTGGGTTTTTTTAAAGAATATTTTTTCAAGGATTAACGTGGGTTTTTTTAAAGAATATTTTTTCAAGGATCAACGTGGATTTTTTAAAGAACATTTTTTCAAGGATCAACGTGGATTTTTTAAAGAACATTTTTTCAAGGATCAACGTGGATTTTTTAAAGAATATTTTTTCAAGGATCAAGGTGGATTTTTTAAAGAATCTTTTTTCAAGGATCAACGTGGATTTTTTAAAGAAGATTTTTTTCAAGGATCAACGTGGATTTTTTAAAGAATATTTTTTCAAGGATCAACGTGGATTTTTTAAAGAATATTTTTTCAAGGATCATTTTTTCGATTGAAAATTTTGGTATTTTTCACATATAAATTATGGTCCATTGCATCCTCTAAATATTGTCCGACGACCATCGATAGCCTTCTACCCTGTCCTAAACTCTAACCCCATGCGTCAGCTGGTCAATAATTGTGACATATAAAGTGACTGCAACATCAGAAAAATGTTCTGTTTTTGTCCCAATTCAAAAAGTTTTTTTTGCGAATGTCTCCCAAATAAACATTTCGTGAGAATCGGACCATCCCTATAGGGCGAAATCTGCTTAGTGAGATCGATATACTACGTGGTAGGCCTAGGACCAATATTTTGAGGTATTGGAAACACAGAGTGTAATTTAGGGTATAGACAGCTTAAAATGTTCCTTCTTGACTTTTTCACATCTTGTCATTCTTTGACGGAGATTATAAACCTTTTGAATTTTTGTTTATTTTATAATTTTGATGACGTCTCAACAACTTGCAAATTTAATTACTGTGGGACCAAATAGTTGATACTCAAGTATTTAATTTTTATTGTTTTTTTATCCTCCCGTCCTCTCCCAAAAGTTTACCCGATCAAATGGACGAAGATGAATATGCACAACAACAACATAGTCCAGCTCCACCACCGCCGCCCTTGTACAGCGGCTCAAGACCTGGAGGTCAAGCCCAGTTTTCATCATCATTAGCATCGCACTCATCCATATTCCCCTCGACTGCCGAAGCCAATGAAACTATTACACAAATGTCTGGGGATCATGTTCAAATGTCCATACCCACTGTGGAGAATAATAACACAATCTCAATTGAAGAAATTCTCTTGCCACCGGGACGTGATACACGTCCGAAAAAGATATGCATTATTTTGAGAGGTCCACCGGGTAGTGGCAAATCGTATGTTGCCAAGCTGATCAAAGAGAAGGAAAAGGAAATGAGTGGTAATAATCCGCGTGTTTTGAGCATCGATGATTATTTCTTAATTGAAAATGATTATGAAGAGAAGTGTCCGAAGACGGGCAAGAAGGTAAGTGTTTTATGAAGTCATAAGAAATTCTACAAATGAAGAACTGGAAACAAAAGAATATTTTAATAAGAGAAAGCTCATTTTAAAAGGCAGAGGGTATGTCTAAATGTCATGTTTAAACAGGGTGAGATAAAAGACTGAAATTCAGTTAAAAACCATAATTTTTACATTTTTTTAATTTTATTGAATGAAAATGAAAATGTCGGAAATAGCATCAAATTTTAGAATAAGTTTAGATTTGTTTGAATTGGTCACCTTTGCCACGAATTATGGCCTTCAAACGGCCAATGACCGTCACACGCTGCCAGAATGTTGCTCTGCGGTATTTTGGCACATTCCCGGCGAAGCGCTTGCTTGAGGTGATCGCCACTTTGGCATTTTTTAGTGCCAACCTTTCTTTCCAAAATACTCCAGACTCAATAGTCCAACGGATTGGTATCCGGAGATTTTGGTGGCCATTGTGCACTGAAAATGAAACGAGGAACCTCATTATGTAACCATTCTTGGGTGGCGCGTGCTGAGTGCGATGGTGCTGAGTCCTGTTGGAATGTTCAAGCTCTGCGGCCAAAATGTTTGAGTGCCCAAGGCTTTAATAGAGCCTCCAGAATATTTTCGCGATAATATTCGGCATTTATTCTGATGACACGGTCGATTACTACGAGCGGAGAGCGACCATCGGCTGTTATGGCAGCCCATACCATCATCATGGCCGGCGCTTGAGTTCTGGTGGCCAACCGAAGGTGCACATTTTCAGCTGAACTCTTTGGCAAGTAAACACGATAATTTTGTTTGTTTACAAACTGCTGGACAACGAATGTTTTCTCATCGGAGGCAACCAAATTCGGAAGTTAAACACTTCCGGCCAAGCGAAGCAACTCTTTAGCTCTTGTGAGTCTATTTTCTTTCTGTTGCGGTGTAAGTTCTGGCACTTTTTGGAATTTCGATGGCTTTACGCCGAGCTCATTTTTCAATACTTGACGAATGGAATATTGCGATATGTTCAGTTCACGAGTCATTTTCCGACACGCGTGAATTCCATTACGAATAACTTTTTTTCCTGGAAAATTCTCAACAAATGGCTTTTGTACGCTTGTCAACAATATAATTAGCTGTCACTGGAATAATTGGTTCAGAAATGACAGCAGTCTGAAGTTTGTTGCAGTTTTTTTTATTTTAACCCTTTATAATACAGATTACCTTGATGGTGTGGAAGAGGATGTGCTGTAAGCGGTGACTGACGAGAGACGGACCAGTATTTAGATGTTTTCAGAACATATCGCTTGCAAAAAGTCATTTATTGTCTGATGGACTCCCCAAAAATGGCTCCAAACGGCATTTCTGGCTACATTGCGGCTTCAAGTAAAATATTCCTATAGAAATCGTTTAAAGCCACATTAGGCCTTTGTAGTATTTATTTATGTTGGAGTCTATGTTTACAGTCTGTAAACGAAAGTATGACACTCACAAGAGATGACCAATTCTGTCGATTTCCTACCCCGAATAGAAAAAAGTTTTAAGTAAAAGCACTTGAATCGTGTTTGATTAGCTTGCCTGCCTGTTTAAAGAAAATGAGCTTTCTCTTCGTGCAAACATTCGAAATTATCACTTTCTTCCTCTACAATTTGATCACCCTCCCCATTACAGATACCCAAGAAGGAGATACTCTATGAATATGACAAGGATATGGAGGAGACCTATATGCAATATTTGATTAAATCATTTAAGAAAACAATACTTGATAATTTTTACGATTTCATTGTTATTGACTGCAATAATAATTCACTGAGGACATTGAATGAATTTTATTGTCATGCCAAAGATTCTGGATATGTGGTAAGTGGTTGGATTGACAGTTGTCATCTATCTACAGGTAGTGCTCGTCGTACACTACTACTTTCTTTAAAAATATACAAGATGTTCCTAATGTTTATGTGTGTTTGCCTGGGGCGTACGTCTCTCTTTCTCTTTTGCTTCTATTTTTTTTTTTTTGGAAATTTGTTTTCTAGCCCTATATTATAGATTTATTCTGTGATTTGGATATTTGCCTGGAAAATAACGTTCACGAACGTACAGAGGCCGATATTAAGGAGATCATTGACACCTGGAATCCCACCCCGTTCCATTATATTAAACTGGACATTGCCAGTTTGGTGGAGAATGTTGTGGAAATGGAAGATGTAGAAGACATGCCTGTGGTAAATATGCATTTTTTGTCAATTCGAATGTAATAATATTCCTATTTCAGCATTTTCAATTTAATTCAATTGACATATTCTACGAAAATATTTTGTCAAAGATTTTTTGCTAGTTATGAAATGTGTAAAGAATATTACATATGATTTTCCTTAGATTAGTTTTATATTGAAATCTATTTTCTGTGAAATTTATTTGAACATTTATTCTTAAGATGATGACAATTATTTTTAAGTATATTTAAATTTTTGAGCTTGACAGGTGTTGAAAAAAACATTGACAATAATATCCCTTTTATTGACAGAGGGATAGTGTTTCCTAAAATGGCATTGACGTTTATAAAAAGTCGATGTTTCTAGGAAGGTATCATAAGTTAATGTAACGTTAGCCATTGTTTATAACCATTTTTTATTTGAAACACCTAAGAAACATAAATTCTATTTGTGTGTTTTTTATAAAAAGTGAGTTTTATAAAGAGATTTTCCTCCGATATAAAATTGAGGTTATGTTCTTGTTTTGTTATGGACTTGAGTAATATTTTTTTTGATTGTTTTACAAAGACATTCTCGACCTCTATTATCTGAATTTCAGCTAAATATTGATATAATCTTATTAAGAACTCTTCACATTCAGTGCTGATTTTTGCAAATCTACTTATTCATATGCATACATCCCTAAAAAAAATAAAAATTTAATTTAAGTAATGTTTTAGTTTTTAAGTGTTTCTTAAATATTTTTATACTAATAATTTTATTTTGCAGCTTGACTGAAAAAAAATTTCCAAGGGCTATGTTTGTGGAGACTTTTTATGTAGCTTATGTCTAAATAACGACAACAGCGATATGAAAATAATAACTTAAACACAGTGTCCCTTTAGATTCTTAAAAACATAAGAGATAACATTTGTTTCGAAGAAAGTGTTCCTACACTCTGAAATCTTCTGAAATGAAAATGATAAACAAAAGCGGAAGCCAATGGTATATGTATAAAAAATAAATCTACGTGAAGTGATACATAACATTAAAACAACAATAAAGGAATTAAGCCTAACCATTTTGCAACAACAAAATATTATAGTATCCCGAACAAACAAGCCAACACTGTTCTATTAGGTTTTATGTTAGAATAAATATTGTGAACCAGGAATCTATTACCGATAACAAGGTTGGAATTTCTAATTCCCAATTGCCACAGAACATGGCATCTGTATAGTACTTGTTCGAGCGTACCTACAGGGTGCGATAAAAAATGCAACAAAGTTAAACGCCATAATTTTTAAATTTTTCTGGCCCATTGTCGGCGAAGCGCTTAATATGCGGCATTTATTCTGATGCCATTCTGACGAGCGGAAAGCGATCATCGGCTGTTATGGCGACCTATGGCGGATCATCACCATGGCCGGCGCTTGAGTTCTGGTGGCCATCCGAAGGTGCATATTTTCAGCTGACCTCTTTGACAAGTAAACACGATCATTTTGTTTGTTTACAAACTGCTGGACAACGAATGTTTTCTCATCAGAGTAACCCAAATTCGACAGTTCACCACTTTCGGCCAAGCGAAGCAACTCTTTAGGTCTTTTGAGTCTATTTTTTTCTGTTGCGGTGTAAGTTCTTGCACTTTTTGGAATTTCAATGGCTTACCCCGAGCTCATTTTTCAATATTTGTCGAATGGAATATTGCGATATGTTCAGCTGACGAGCCATTTTTCGGCCATATTGTTTGACATTAATAAACTAATTAAAGCAGCTATACCATATTATTCTTGTACCTTAATGTTGCAATGTTCCCTAAGGCTTCTTGACTATACCATATTAGGTCGATAATTGGAAAAAATTATTAAAGTATTTTTTTATATGTGTATTCCGAGAAGAAGACTGAATAAAAAAAAGATATGTGTCTCGTATTGATGATATAATATGACACAAAAAAGTTGGTGAAGATCAGAAGGGTATTTGGCATTCTCAGAGGTTCAAAAATGGATGCAATGCGCTCAACATGTAAATATGCTTTCGGTGAAGAACCTGCTTGGGTGTTACCGTGAGAGTTATCCCAACTATCTTATGGCGGATACAACTCCCCCACCCAGGCGTGTCAGGAAGGACTTACACGATCTAGAGAGGGAGGTCCAACGCTATAAGAAAGAACCTCTAGATCAGGAAGCCTGTCAGGCAGGTCTGAGTGGTATTCATTCCGATGCAGTCGCAGATCCCACTAGATGGGGGGAGTCTACCCCCCATCCATTGCAGCTGAAGAACGTCAGCTGCCTAGACAAACCAGGGTAGTTTTGGCGCAATTTCGTTCAAGATGGTGTAGTCGTCTCAATTTGTGTTGGGCACGAATTGATGACTCTTTAATTGCACAGCCAAAACTACCCAACTCACTCCAGAATATCTGTGGTTATAGCCCGTTAAAGTTGCTGAATTTTTAAACCAAACAAAACCTACCCAACTCACTCCAAAAGATCTCTGGTTACAGCCCATTAAGGTAGCCGAAGTTTTAAACCTGGAGCTTGAACCTGATAAGCATAATACAAACATCTATATGTACTATTGCTACAACAACAACCTTTCAGCCTCTAGATTAACAGGCCTATCAAGCGGGACTGAATAGTATTCACTCTAACGCGGTCTCAGAAGTCTTTGAAGGATATAGAGTGATTACTCTACTAGGAAGCCATCCCCCGATAAACGCGAGTAGTTTTGGCTCAATTACGATCCGGATGGTGCAACCGCCTAAATTCCTAACAGCGATGTGCAGAACATCTGCCCAGCTTGTGGCACAGGCCCACATGACACGCTGCACCTATTTCGCTGTCCAGCCAAGCCTACTCAACCTAACTCCAGTCTCGTTATGGACACAAACCATAAAGATTGCATCCTTTTTGAGACTGGACTTAGAGGCAGAACCAGATTGAATGGAGTCAGAGATTGGAAACAGAACGAACACAGCTGTATGAGCTGCTACAACAACAACAACCATTCAGTCAAATCAACACTGCACCCGAATATCCACGGATTCGGGGTAATATATTGCCGTTACCTAGCACGATTGATTCTTTTATTGCAGACAAAGAACATAGCCCGACTAGAAAACGCTCGGAAGGATAATATTGCATCATGGCAACCCGTGGCCATTTTGAAAGTCCGGTCTCTCTCAGATCGAATCAGTTTTTGTTACGGAATCCATTGGCTATCAGAGCTAAGAATAGGATATGTTTGGACAAGGGGAATATGTCTGATAGGGACGATTGTTGCCGGTCTGATTTCGAATGATGCTTCGTACATAGTATGAAATGAGAGTGGAAAATGGAGATACGGACAGATACGGGTCAGGACTATTACACTAAAAGTAATTCTAAATATGAGGATCGTATTTTTTTGTCAAACCTCAAAGTCAACAAGAAGATTTTGATATCTTATGTTTGAAAAGAATTCATGAAGTGCCACGCAATTACAAATCCGCATAATACTTCTCTATTTTCGATTTAATAAATAATGACGTTTTGTTTTCACATTAATTTCGGTATAAAATCCATTTTGATTAAGAAAACTACATTCTGTTGCTGTGGTGGAATCGGATTTAGAAGACCAAAACGACCATGATAACGAACAAAATAAAATTCATTATTGAAAAAACACTGTTAAAAATTAATTAATTAAATAAAAATGTGATGGAATAAAAACAAATATGATCTTGTAAGCAAAAATCCGGAGTACTGTAAGCTAGATTGCAGAAACGTTTTTGGTTTTGAATTTTCAAACATTAGACATGCCTGATGGAAAGTGACATTTGCTGTCTCATTACGCTCATGAAATTCAGAAGTGCCTGTTCTATACTCAGATTACAAAATGATTTGTAATCTGAAACAAAAAATACAAAATATTGACAGTAGAAACCTTAGAATTTTGGAAGTATTCCCAAAATTACGCAAATTGCATAAAATGAAGAAAATATAATATGGAAATATTTATATAATTGAAAAGATATATATGTATATTTTCGGAAATACTATAAGAAAATGTTCTAATATGCATATTTTAAGGTAATTTTAAGTTTTAGCAATAAGATGAACATATGCACGATGCAGTCACGACATCGAATTCAGCGAGTTCTGCAAATGTTGTGGACATTCTGAGCAGTACTCAACATTAATATGAAATGTAGTATTTTAAGAAGTCTTCAATTTCGAAATTCTTATATAAACAATGAGTATGTTGTTTAACGCTAATGAAAAGCCATTTTCTCTTTATTTCAAAACTAATGGGAAAATCATATGTCTTTGAATCATATCATTTATAATTAAGATCCTACAATATTGCTTTTATCAAGAAACTATTTCGTTTTGAAAAGAATTAATCTATACCTTTAATTATATAGGATATGATGTGTCATCTTTTTTATACACACACACACATATATATATCATTAATCCCTTTATGATTTGACAAAATTTCATTTTTTCTAGGATGACAATACGGTGAACGCGAATGCCGAGAATGCTACAGGTCAAACAGCCAATGATAATGAAAAGGAATCTGGAACAGCAGGTGAAACCACAAATGATGATAATACTAAAGATTCCCAAGGCAATGGTGATAATCAAGATGAGGGTGGTGACGAGGCCGAAGAAAACAGCAATGATTCCACAGAAAATGTATGTAATAAATATGTCATGAAAATTATTTACTTATTTATATATGATACGACGACGAGATTTTATTTTATTCAATTTTCTTCTTTTCAGTGTGGATTTTTGAAAAGCAAATGGGAAACTGATACAACCACCGAGAATTTGGGTAAGTGTTTATAGATTTTTATGTATATTATTGTATTTGACGATTTTTTTTTTCATGTATTACAGCCCGCTTGGATGGCACCAGTAAATTGAATTTAAAACGTAAACCAACCATGGAGGAGTATTTACAAATGGATGAATGGGAACCCGTACCAACTAAAAGCAAAGGCAAAAAGAGGGTAAGTACTTCTAGTAATATATTGAACCCCATTGGTTTAGAAGAGTATATAATGACTAGCTGTAATATTGACAGTTAAAATATTTTTTATCAAGTTTGTTGTCCAACTCTAACAATCACGTATTCTAACCAAACATACGAGCATTTAAAGAATTTTGTAAAGTCAAAGTGTGCTCTCTTCTAAGGACTAGCAGAGCTATAAAAGTATATTTTCCCAAGGACTAGCAGAGCTATTGGCGTGGACTGGTTAAAGAATATTATTCCAAGGACCAGCTGAGCTATAAAAGTGGATTTTTTTTAAAGAATATTATTCCAAAGACTATCTGAGCTATAAAAGTGAATTTTTTAAAGACATATTTTTCAAGGACTTGCTTTTATAAAGAATATTTTCCTAAGGAATATTAGATGAATAAACATGGATTTGTATAAAAGCAATAGTGGAGCTATAAACGTGGATTATCTAAAGAATATTTTTCCAAATACTAGCAGAGGTATTAGCGGCTATATTTGTAAACTTTTTTAAAGAAAAATTTTAGTTTTATGTTTATCTTTGATTTCTCTTCTATTGAGCTTACGATCCGTCACTAGGGTAAAAAAAGTTTTTTTTGTCATAGGAGTTATTTTTTAAAAAAATAACTCCTGTGGAGAATATACCAGATAAAAAACAAGGGAACTTATGAGGATTGGTAGCTCTTTCCGAAACCTTGGTATTCCCTGCCCTACCCCTGTTCAACATTTACCATCGTTCTCCACCAGTAAACAAACGTTGTTTTTATAAAAACAACAATAATGTGATTAAGCCTGACCATTTTGCAACAACAAAATTCTATGGTATCCCAAACAAACATCCCAACACTGTTCGAATATTTGAATAGCTATAAACCCGCAATTTTTATACCCTCAGCCATATGGCTAAAGAGGGTATAAATCATTTGATACCGCCAAAACGTGCCTAATCGAAATAACGATTTTAGACCAAATCCGTTTTAGGACATTTGGAGTCGATCTAGCGATGTCTGTCCGTCTGTCTGTCTAGCTGGCGCGCACGATAACTCTCGAAGGGAGTGTCCGATTTGATCCAAATTTGGTAGATCGTAATATTATTGTTAAACTTGGATCGATTTTGGACAAGGGCGATATTGGTCCACTCCTTCTGGTACCTCCCCCACCAAAAGGTCGAAATTTTCAAAGAAAATATTTTGCTGCACAGAATGTGAGGGGATGATCCGATTTTTCACCAACTTTGCGAATCCTAATATTTTTGTCAGTGCTAGGTCAGGTGCGAAAATGGACAATATCGGTCAACTTCATCAAGTACCTACCCAACAAAGGGTCAAAATTTTGAATAATTTTAACTCTTATAAAATGTGATGTAAGAGTCCGATTATCTTGAAATTACAAACATCACAATATTTTTATTAACCCAAGGCCTGGTGTGAAGATGGAATATATCGGTTCACTCCTTCTGGTACCTCCCCCACAAAGGGTCAAAATTTTGAATATCCATGAAGCTCATAAAACACGAAATTACTATTCGATTCCATTCAGACTTGGTACATCTCAATATTTTCATCAACGCAAGATATGTTATAAAGATGGTAGAGATCGGACCAATTCTTCTAGTAGCTCCCCCACAAAGCCAACACTGGTTTGAATAACAAAAACGCTCATAAAATCCGAAATAGGTATCCGGTTGTCCTCAAATTACAAACATCACAATATTTTTTTTAATCCAAGGTCTGCTGTGAAGATGGGATATATCTGTCCACCCCATCAAGCACCTCCCCCACAAAGGGTCAAAATTTTGAACATTTATTTAATATAAAGTGAAGGAAGTAACCAATATAGTCCAAACCTGGCACGTCGCATTATCTTTATCATATTTATTTAGATCCGATACGCAACGAACAATATTGGTCCATTCCTTCGGAACCTACTCCATAGAGGTTCAACAATTCGAATAATCATCAGAGGTCTAAATATATTTAAGCAATCGATCATTGGATGAGGGTATACATGTGTCGGCAAAAACCGACTGATACTTTTTAAATTGTTTTTTTTTTTCATAGTTTTGGAAAAATATGCTTCAAAACTCCACGGTTCTAGGCTCTGACTGTCTTTAAAATACTATTCTTTAAAAATTCAGTGTAATCCAAAATCCAGTCATTCTTGAAAATTCAGAATTCCACGTTCATAGCTATAATATTCGATAGAAAAATATTTTTTGAAGTCCTCGTTTATAGCTCAAATAGTCCTTAGAAAAATGTTCCTTAAAATTCCATGCTTATTTCTATAATAATCCTTAAAAATGTTGCTAAAACCACCAGAAATATAGCTCTAACGAGCTTTAAAAATAACTTAAAAAATCCACATTTATTTTGCTTTGATGAGCAATGAAAAAATCTCTCAAAAATTTCCGATTTTAGCTATGTTGAGCTTTGAAAAAGAATCTTAAAAATCCAAGAGTATCCAAATAATATTCTTAAATTGATGATCCGCGAAAGTTACCCTAAAATTATTCCTTACAAATTTTAGAAAAAGCTCTCGCTAAACAGAATTTAAATAAAATTTAAGGATTGGGATTTTAATCGTATTAGGAAGTAAATTTCAGGGAATAAATCATAAAAATAATATAAAATAGCCTTAATTACATTTTTATATTTCGCCTAAAAGTATGCTACATTTTTCAATAAAATAATGCTAATAATCCCTTCTTATTTCTTTATTTCCAGGTCCGTTGGGCTGACATCGAAGAGAAACGTGAACAGGAAAAAATGCGTGCTGTCGGTTTTGTTGTTGGTCAAACGGATTGGAAACGTATGATGGATCCAAATGCTGCCAAACGTGCTCTGAACAAAACCAAATACATTGAACGTGTCAATAAGCAGAGACGTTAAACACAAGCCTATCTCCACTGCTCGCTCTCAAAAACAAATTCTTAAATTTCATACATCCCATAGCGTAATATTCTTGTTTTTTTTTTTTTTTTTTTCATTGCAAAAATATCCTATTTTCATTTATATTAAGTATAGCAGCAACACCCTAGTAGTGATTTATGTGTTATTTGCATTGTCGTACGATAACAATTAAATGAAAAATGCTAACAAAATATTATTAAACGTGATGTTTTTGAACAAAATAATACCTTTTATCTTCCCATATGGATAAATAGAGCTACTACATTTATTACATGTAATTATTATAAGGCATTTTAAAATAAAATTATGAATTACTTTCAATATTTACGCAATGTATGACGTATATTTGAAATCGAATGTGTTTTTTATTGGTGTTATTTCTTTAAGCGTGTGGTATTTAGTTGCTCGTGTCAATAATGTGGGTTTGGGCGGAAAATGAAGGGAAAAAGCTGTGTTTCTCAGACTTCTCTTCATATTTTAAAAGACTAAATTAAAAAATCGAGCCAAAACTTTCTTGAAAGAAAAAAGTCTTTGGAAGATGCTTTAAAAATCCACTCCTTAGAATAGTATCCCTACAAAATCCACGTGTATAGTTGTTATTGTAACATCTACCCAGCGTATTGAGCTGGCCTGTATCACACGCCCGGCAGACGTTTCGCACATCTCGTGCCCAATACGAACTGGGACGACTGCACCATTCTGAGCTAAATTGTGCCAACACTACCTTCCCTGGTTTGTCTATGCAGGTTTTTCAACTGCAATGGGTAGGGGGTTGCTTTCGATGACGTCATACTTACGTACAGGGTGAGATGAAAAAACTGCAACCAACTTCAGACTACTGTCATTTCTAAGCCACTCGTCCGACAGCTGTTAAAATTATTCCAGTGACAGCATTATATTGTTTACAAGCGTACAAAAGTATTTTGGTGAGAATTGTCCAGAAAAAAAGTTATTCGTGATGGAATCCAAACGTGATAGTGCGATTTCTTTATATTTGGCTGGAAAACCACAAGTGGCTATCGTTAGACCGCCCAGCATTTAAATGTGAAAAAATCTTTTGTGTCTCGTACCATCGCTCGTTGTCGTGATACTGGTAGCGTAGCCCGACGTCAAGGAAGTGGACGGAAGAAAACAGCAACTGGATCAAAATCCGCGTCGCAGTGGCCGAAAAATGGCTCGTGAGTTGAACATATCGCAATATTCCATTCGCAAATATTGAAAAATGAGCTAGGGGTAAAGCCTTTGCCATTGAAATTCCAAAAAGTGCAAGAACTTACACCGCAGCAGAAAGAAAATAGACTCAAAAGAGCTAAAGAGTTGCTTCGCTTGGTCGAAAGTGTTTACTTGCCAAAGAGGTCAGCTGAAAATGTGGAACTTCGGTTGGCCACAAGAACTCAAGCCTTAAGCCGGCCATGGTGATGGTGTGGGCCGCCATAACAGCCGATGGTCGCTCTCCGCTCGTATTAATCGACCGTGGCATCAGAATGAATGCCGAATATTATCGCGAAGATATTCTGGAGGGTGCGTGTGACGGTTTCATTAGCCGTTTGAAGGCTATAATTCGTGCCAAAGGTGACCAATTCGAACAAATCTAAACTTATTCTAATATTTGATGCTATTTCTGACATTTTTTGCTTTCATTCAATGAAATTCAAAAAAAAATTTTAAAAATGTGAAAATTATGGCGTTTGACTTTGTTGAAATTTTTTTTTTTTACCTCTCCCTGTACATTTCCAAAACGACATTTTTTCACAAACCTACCGCCATCAGGTCAATCAATACCAAAACTTCGAAATTCTAGCTTCATCTGTTCACCCTAAACCAACATGTTCCAAATTTAGTACCATTTATTACAGTTCGCACACTTACATTTCCAAAACCACCTCCATATCTTAATCCCATATACCAAAAGAGAACTCAATAGCAAATGTTGGGAATCTAGCACTATTCCTTCACCAAATACCCAATTTATTTCAAACCACCGCCAAATCTCGAACGCAGATACCATCAGTAATCTAAATATCAAATTGCAGAATGTTATCTCTGTCCCTTCACCCAATACCAAATATAGTACCATTTAGTACTTTTCGTACAATTATGGTACATATTTCCAAAATCACCTCTTTATCACAAAACCATCACCTATAGACCAAATAAAAAATTCAAGTTTTCAGCTTCAACCGTTGATCCTAATCCAAACTGTTCCCAATTTAGTACCATTTAGTACAGTTCGCACATTTTGTACATATTTCCATAACCACCTGCGTATATCAAACTTACTCTCCTACCTTGATTCTCATACCAAATTTGAAGTGTTTAGCTCTATCCTTTCAAATAATACCAAATAGCACCTTTTAAGAACTTTTCGTAATCTTATAGTTCGAATTTCCAAAATAAAAACCTTTTTAACATTTGAGAAGTTTAGTGCCATTTTAGAACTTTTGGTAACCTTAATGTTTGAATTTCCAAAAACCCATTGGTACATCCATTGGCAATCCATCAGTGGCTCTCAATCCAACATTCAGAATTCTAGCTCATTCCTTTTTTCCAAATCCAAAATATTCAATTTTTAGTATATTTAAATAATTTTCGTACCCTTTTTCAAAATCCAAAAAATTATCACACGCCTACGGACTAAGATTGACCCTCTTACAAAATATCAAGATTCTAACTTTACCCTTTTCGCCTGGGCGTTGATTCCCAGTCAGTTGGTTAGTCAGTCAAGTACCAAATGGTACCATTTTAAAACTTTTCGTAACCTTGAAGTTCGAATTTCCAAAAACCCTTCGGTACATCCTTCTACACTCCATCAGTGAGTCTCATTCAAACTTTTAAAATTTTAGCTCTTTCCTTTTGTCCAATTCCAAAGTATTTATATTTTAGTACTTTTCGTACCCTTTTCCAAAAACCCAGCCCTTTGAGACGCCTACGCACCAAGACTGACCCTCGTGCAAATGTTCAATATTCTAGCTTCAGATATTTCGTCTGTGCATTGATTCTCAGCCAGTCGGTCAGTTATAGTGTAGTGTCAATCTAGTTCGATCGAACGAACTAGTTCCTTATCAAGTTCTATGGACTCCGGTCGTTTGTATGAAAGTTCTGCGTATGAGCGATGTGAAATATGTGAAATCACTAATACGTGCAGGAACTGGTGTACAGAACCATGAACTAAATTGACACAACTCTAGTCAGTTATTCCACTACTCTTGCTTCTATACCCTCCACCATACATAGTATGGAGCGTATATTAGGTTCATCATTCCGTTTGTAAATTATCGAAATACTCATGTCAGCCCCAACAAAGTATATATATTCTTGATCTGCATAAAATTCTAAGACGATGTCCGTCTGTCTGTTGTTATTACGCTAGAGTCAAAACGAATTAAGCTAGGAAGCTACAATTTTGCACAGGTCAGTATTTTGTCTACCGGCAGGTCAAATTCGGTGATGGGCTATATCGGTCCATGATGTCGTACAGCCCCCATTCAACGGTACCCCCGAATATTCTGTATTTTGATGATTGTAGTTTAATTTTTCATTGACATTGACTGAAAATCCACAAAAGGAGTTCCTTTTGAGTAGTTTACCCCCTGGAAGAGTATTGTCTATATAGGTTCACGCTATCGTATTCCTCCATATATCGTTACCTCCCTATATTCTGTATTATGATGATTTTTACCTACATTTTTTAATGGAATTGTCTAAAAATCCATACTAGAAGCTCTCTCTAAGCACTTTACCCCCTGAAAAAAATGTCTATATTGGTCCACGATATCGATATAGCCCACATACGACGGTACCTCCCAATATTTGTGTATTTTGATGGTTTTAGCGTCACTATTCACCGGAATTGTTTCAAATCTCATATTTAGAGTTCGTAATGGAAACTACAGTCTATGACAGAAAATTGTCCATGCAGGTACAGGTCTTCGTATAGGCCTCATATATCAGTACCTCCCTATATTCGGTATTTTGACGGTTTTAGGTACAATATTCACTAAAATTGTTTCAAATTTCGTATTTGAAATTCCTAATAGGTACTACCATGGTACAATAAAAAGGTATGGTAGAGCTACCAGCTGATTACAATTTTTTTCTAAGTGTGCCCGACTTATGCCAATTTTGTGTATGTATTTATTGTTTTGAAAAATAAAAACAAAATATTTTCAAAATCAATGAATGGAAGAAGCTTAAAATGCGGATTAACCAGATTTGCCACGGAATTGAAAGATTGAAAACTTAGGATCATATTTTTGAGAGAATATCCAGGCATTTCATTCATCTTTCGAGCTATTTGACTCATTTTAAAAATGAACAAAAAATATCAAATAAATGAAAACAAGTTTTTGGATATAATTTTGGGGCTGTATTTATGTAGTTTTACGAAGCTGTTTTACCTCCTTATTGTGCCATGGGTACTACAGCCTGTGACAGAAAATTGTCTATGCAGTTACAGGTCTTCGTATATCCCCTAAATTCGGTATTTTGATGATCTTAGCTACATTATTCTCTGGAATTGTTTGAAATTTCGTATTTGAAGTTCGCAATAGGCACTGTAAGCCATGGGAGGAAAATGTCTATGTAGATCTAGGTTTCCGTATAGCCCACATATAACGGTACCTCCCGATGTATTTCGATGATATTAGCGACTTTATTCACCAGAATTGTTTTTAATTTCTTATTTGAAGTTCGGAATCGGTACTACAGCCTATGACAGAAAATCCAGCAACACGTCTTCGTATAGCCCCTATATAAAGTTTTTTTTGAGCAGTATTTTTGGATGGATTTTATTTATTTTTAAATTTTTCAAATTCCTTCCGAATTGTGAAGTGTACAAAAAGTTCGGCCCGACCAAACTTAGCTCCTTTCTTACTTGTTTATCTGTATAGATTATTTCGATTTAGTCCATTTCACCTTTTAACCTAGCCTTTCTCTTCTTACTTTTCGTATTTCCTCATCAAAAATAACAAAAATAAAACGCCAAATCTCCAGAGAGAGCAAACCCTAACTCTAGACATTCCATTAGATGTCGGTCTAGATGTCTGTGATTGTTATGAATGTCAGTGTTAGACAACAAACTTGATAAAAATCGCATCAAAATAAAATACATTACAAAAATACACCACACTTCAAATGAAGAAGAGATAGAGAGAGAGAAGCATTTCAAAAGAGAGAGACCACACACCACACCACACCTAAACCCAAACACAAACTCTGTTAAGTAATAACAACCAAAATAACAGTTAGTCGAGTGTAAATTGTCGAATATAACGGTCACAATACGAAAAGGCTAGCGGTGAAACAAAAGGAAAACGAATAACAACAACAACGATATAAAACAGAAAAAAATCTAAATCTGAAAAATAGAGTTGTCGAAAAAAAAGAAACGTGAAAAATTGTGGCTTTTGGAAAAAAAGAATTACGCAAAAAATAGTAACTCGACAGCATAGCGGTTGTGGTGTTAAATAAAAAAAAATAGAAATAATAAAAATATTACAAAATATATATCCAAAATTATCCTTTTGCTGCCACTGGGTGTTAAAAGTATTGAAGCCAAGAAAAACAAGTGCATAATAATCATTGAAATTATTTTCAAATTTGTTTGTTGTCATTTTTGTTGTTGTGTTTTTTCTTTCATTCATTTTGCCAAAAATATTTCAAACATAACCCAAAAATAATTATAAAATAATAAATTTACAATAAAAAATCAAATCCAACGTCATCAGGAAGTCAAGCAGCCCAACAAAATTCATTTCGCCTTGTTTTGTCCACTCAATAATGGAATCAGCATGTCCAACTCCGTAGTTACATTGTCTTCATTTAATCTATTGTTTCTCACACAAGGTATGTATGAATTGAACTCGATTACGGATTAGAAAACCCTTTTTCTTCCTTGGAATTTTTGAAAATAATAACAAAAAAGTTGTAGTAAAACTTCCAACGAAATTTTACATAACCAAGTCCATTGGTGTTTGCTTTTCCTTTTTGCCTGTGTGTTTTTATTTCACTTTTTTTGTGGGGGGGTAAAGAAGCCCTTAACATTCCGTGGTATTGGAGTGGTGTATTCTTCGTTCGGATTTTCTGTTATCAGGGATGGATGTGTGAAACTCGAAATTTGCAAACTTTGATATTTATATGAACCGATTCTAGTTTTGGCTTGGGGACGTGTAACGTAATGTTGATTCCGAAAAGATAAATAAAGGGAAGGCAGATTAAGTTCGTAAATGGGCTATGTTGTTCCACTTTTTCGTATAGACCCATAGATAGAGATAAACCCATAGTTACTTTTGAGGATCTCCATAGAATCACTTTCTGAGTTGATTTATGCATGTCAGTCCGTCCGTCCGTCCGTCTGTCCATGTATTCTTGTGAACAAAATGCAGTTCGCATTTATTATCCGATTGAGATGAAATTTCCCAAGCAACATTTGTTTGGCTCCAGGACGAATCCTTTTGAAATTGGAGATAATCGGTAAAAATTTAAATACAGCTCCCATATATCTTCGTCCGATTTGCCTTTTATTGTGCACCAAACGTGTAGAATCAGCCCGAATAGTATGGAATTTTGCACATACAACCAAATTAGGCCTGAAAATAGGTATGCCAAATTTGATCGAAATCGGCTATAGCTCCCATATATATTGTTCATCCGATTTGTTATTTTTGTCCTCCGCAGCCGTAATATACACTCTGTAACAACAATATTTGGGGAAATATATCAAATGCAGCTCAGAAATACCTTTGCTAAATTTTATCGAGATCGGTTCAGATTTGGATATAGCTCCCATATATAACTTCGTCCGATTTACCTTTTATTGTACACCAAACGTCTAATATTTGCCCAAATGGGATGGAATTTGGCACATGCGATTGAATTGAGTCTAGAAGCTAGCATGCCAAATTTGATGAAGATCGGTTCAGATATAGCTATAGCTCCCATATATATTGTTCATCCGATTCATTATTTTTGTCCTCCGCAGCCGTAATATGCACTCCGTAACAACGATATTCAGGGAAATATATGAAATACAGCTCAGAAATATCTTTGCCAAATTTCATCAAGATCGGTTCTGATTTGGATATAGCTCCCATATATAACAAATGGGTAATACATGTCCGAATTTAAAAGATACAAATGCTTCGGCATATTTAGTCCTTTGAACTTTAAATTATAATTATAATCATAGCGTGTATGATTGAATTCTCCCATAAAAACTTTGAATTGTTATGTGGAGCTCTACTAAATTAGCAAAGTGGTGTAGGGTATCATAAAGTCGGCCCCGCCCGACTTTAGTGCTTTCTTTACTGGTTTTTATTTGTTTTCACTGACTTAAGTCATCGACTAACTTCGTAAAAGAACAAAGGAGCGTGAGTTATAAATTATGGACCGAAATTGGATTCAGTCAACCCAAAACTCCTTTTTTTCTTCTTTGAATTAGTCATTGACTTAAGCCAACAAAAAGCCTCAATCCTATTTTGAAAGAGAGAGACTCACTTATATGTTCTCTCAATTTCGTTACTCTCTGACTACATTGTTTTTCAATGTTACTGATTGTGTTATTGATTTGCTGAGAGCACGCGCACCTGTATAAACCATAACCTTAAGAACATGCAATGCCAAGCACTCGAACAATTTGATTTAAAAGTCTCCTGGGGAAAGAGCGGTCCTCAATTTTTTTCAGATTTCTCTTAATTTTTATCGAGTGTACATTCTTCTTAGTCCTTCCATTTCAAATTGCGGAGCCTTTGGGCAATCTAATGTCCCGAACACCATTGATTTGATAGAGAAAGAGTGATGTGTCTTTGGGCAATCTATGACCTGAACTACTTGTAATCTCTTTCAGCTTAAGCTGAGGATCTAGAGACCTAAGTCTAAATCGCCCACGAACACATTACAGTTCTCCATCAGTCATATGGCTAGAGTTGTGTGAGATAAAAAAAACTGCAACAAAGTCAAACGGCATAATTTTTAAATTTTTTTTAACTTTTATTGAATGAAAGCAAAAAATGTCGGAAATAGCATCAAATTTCGGAATAAGTTTAGATTGTTCGAATTGGTTACCTTTGGCACGAATTATGCCCTTCAAACGGCCAAACCGAAACCATCACACGCTGCCCGAATGTTGCTCTGCGATATTTTGGCCCATTGCCGGCGAAGCGCTTGTTTGAGGTGATCGACACTTTGGTATTTTTTAGTGCCAACCTTGCTTTCCAAAATACTCCGCACAGAATAGTCCAACGGATTGGTATCCGGAATCCATCGGATTGGTATCCGGCCATTGTGCGCTGGAAATGAAGCGAGGAACCTCATTTTGTAACTATTCTAGGGTGGCGCGTGCTGTGTGCGATATTGCTGAGTTTTGAATCCTGTTGTAATGTCCAAGGTCTGCGACCAAAATGTTTGCGTGCCCAAGGCTTTAATACACCCTCCAGAATATTTTCGCAAAAATATTCGGCATTTATTCTGATGCCACTGTCGATTAATACAATCGGAGAGCGACAATCGGCTGTTATGGCGGCCCACACCATCACCATGGCCGGCTTGAGGCATAAGTTCTGGTGGCCAACCGAAGGTGCACATTTCAGTTGACCTCTTTGGAAAGTAAACACGATCATTTTGTTTGTTTACAAACTGCTGGACAACGAATGTTTTCTCATCGGAGAAAATCAAATTCGACAGTTCACCACTTTCGGTCAAGCGAAGCAACTCTTTAGCTCTTTTGAGTCTATTTTCTTTCTGTTGCGGTGTAAGTTCTTGCACTTTTTGGAATCTCAATGGCTCCGAGCTCATTTTTAAATATTTGCCGAATGGAATATTGCGATATATTTAGCTCACGAGCCATTTTTCGGTTACTGCGATGCGGGTTTCGATCAAGTCGCTTCTTTACTTTTCGAACCATTTCTGCTAATGTTGCTATTTTCTTCCGTCCACTTCCTTGACATCGGGCTACGCTACCAGTATCCCAGTATCACGAGCGATGGTACGAGACACAAACGATTTATTCACATTTAAATGTTGGTGTGATCTAAGGATAGCCTCTTGTGGTTTTCCAGGCAAATATAAAGAAATCACACTATCACGCTTGAATTCCATCACGAATAACTTTTTTTCTGGAAAATTCTCACCAAAATGCTTTTGTACGCTGTCACTGGAATAATTTTAACAGCTGTCGGACTAGTGGCATAGAAATGACAGTCTGAAGTTGGTTGCAGTTTTTTGATCTCACCCTGTAGGTCAGAATTAAAAATGGACAGTATTGGTGGACTCATCTTTGCACCTTTCACAAAAAGGTAAATATTTCGTACAATTATTCCCTTAAATTGTGAAATTAATGTCCGATTTTTCATAACCTAATATTTTTGTTCTAAAAGTTCGATAAAAAAAACAAAAAGTAACCTATGTTCGGACGAGCCGAACTTTTAATACCCTGCACTATTTGGAAGGAACATGAAATTTTTTCGTCGAAAAATACCGTCTAAATTAAAACCATTATATGGGGGCTATACGAAGACGAGAACCTGCATAAGTATTTTTTTTTTGTTATTTTAAACAATTCCGGTGAATAATGTTGTTAAAATCATCAAAATACGGAACATCGGGAGGTATCGTTTTATGTGGGCTATACGACGACGTGGACTTGCATAGACAATTTTCTGTCATAGGTTGTATAGTACCTACTACGAACTTTAAAAAACTATATTTGAAACAATTCCGGTATATGATGTCGCTAATATCATCAAAATACTGAATATTGAGAGGTACCGTTGTATGGGGGATATACGAAAACGTGGCCCACATATGAACTTAACCTGCCGACTGGCAAAATACACATGTGTGCAAAATTTTAGCCTTCTATCAAAGATAGTGTGATACAACAGACAGAGACGGACGGACATTGCTAAATCGATTTTTACGCTTTGGGCCTGACATGAGTTACAAAAAATATTCATTACAAATCGTTTTACCAATTTCTTATTTTAAAAAGGGCATATCATAAAAAAGTATTAATTTGTGGTCACTACTTGGTCGTTAGCTCATAAATAGTTTGTCGATCGTTCATTGATAGCATTTTTGTATCTCATATATAATACATCTATCGACTATTATAACATTTTCCTCATTTACGAAATAAATTCTCCTCATTCATTTCTTGAATGATACAAACTTTCCATCTCTGACTGTTATTCTCATAACACTAACACCATAACAGAAGCCAACAACTTCTTCATTTGATGGGTTTTCTACCACTCTCACATCAAAGAAAAAAAAAAAAAAAAACAATAACTGACAGTTCGTTTGGTGGGTAAGCAAAGCAAAGGCCATGGTAGAAACAAACAAAAAAGGAGAAAATGACAATAGCCATAACATTGTCAAAGGGTCCATATGTGCTCAAAAACACCAACAACAACACAAAAGTTGACAACAACTTTATAAGGAATGAATGCCCAAAGGAATTCAACTCAACATTTCGAATTTGAAGCAGAAAACACAACAGATATATAGTTACACTCACTCACACACTGAGAAATGTTAGCATGATTATTTTTGTTGATGTCAACTATTTTTAGTTCTGGCGCTCTTTTTCTTGTTACTTGTTACTGTTGCTTTTTGTTTATTGGGTTCCAGTGGAGAAGAGAGAAAGAGAGTAGATTGTTTTAAGGGGAAAATGAAGAGTTAAACTGCAATTGTTATTAGAGGGAATATCAAGTAATCAAGGAGATTTTTTTTGGAAATAATTTTTTAAGGAAAATCAAAACAATAAACTGTATTCTTTTAATGAATTTTAAAGATAGTGGAGTTTTTAAAATATTTTTTCCCATAACTGTCGTGGAATTTTTTATAAT